ATAATAAATATAAAGAATTTATAATAACGTTATTATAAAGTAATAAAGCATTATATATAGTTTTTTATAATTATAAAGTGCATTGCTTTTAAAAAAACCTATTTTAAAAGGCAATTTATAATAATTATTAAATAATATAAGCTGCCCTTATAAGCTAGTAAGTTTATTATAAAGTTAATAAATATTTAAAATTAATAGCAATTTAAAAGAAAGATAAGGTAAAATAAGCCTTACTATAATTATTAACTAAGCTAAATCTAATAATATATATTATAATTTTAAATAAAACATTAAATAGCTTATAATATATTATTTTTATAAAAGTTATATAAAAGAATTTAAAAAATTCCTTCTTATTTTAAATACCTTATTATAAGAAAGTTATAAGCTTATTATAGCATTAATATAATAAGCAATTCTTAATTTAAAAGTTATAGCTAGCCTTAAAATTAAAGCATGCTATATATATTAAAAGTATAATTAATAATTTAAATTATTATTTTAGCCTTCTTAAGGAATTATTATTAACTAAATATAACCGCTTTATAGCAAATTTTATATTATAAATCTTATTAAACTTCCTTATTTTAAAGTATAGCTAATATTAATTTATTAAATAGCTATAACCTTATAAATATAATAATATAAGCATTAAAAATTACTATTAAAATTAATTAAAGTATTTTAATTATGCAATTCTTCTTTAAAGTTATTTCATTTTATTTTCATTATAATAATGCATTAAAATACTATATTTATATTTTTAGGCAATATTAAAGATTATAGCAAAAAAGGAATAAAGTTTTAATTTATTAAGCTTATCTCTTTAAAAAAAGTTAAAAGCTAATAAAATATTTAAGGCCCTTATAATTTATAAATATTATAAATAAGCGGAATATATTTTAAAGCATAAGTAATTATACTTTTAAGGCCTTAATTATTATTAATAGCTCCTTATTATAAATAATATAATTTCATTATATTAAAAAAAGCTTTATAAAGTAATAAGTAATTAAATAAAGGGCCTCTTTTTTTAAATTAATAAGCATATATTAAGAGCTATCTTTAAGCAATTTACCTTTATTATTATGTTTAGGTTTAAATTTTATTTAGCTAAAATTAATATCTTTATAAATATTACCTTAAAGTAGCAAAAGGCTATATCCTTTTTACTTTCTTATTAAAAAAAAGTCCTTTTAATAATAAAATAAAAGAAAGAGTTAATAACCTTAAAAAAGTTCTTAATAAAGTTATAATAAAAGTTTGCAAACTTTATAAAGCTTTAAACATTATAAACTATTTATAATGCCTTTTATTTTTAAATTACCTTAACCTTTTTTAAGTTTACTTAAATGCTTATTTTAATTATAATAATAAAGCTTAAATACTTTACCTTTTTTATTATAAACTTATACTTATTTTAATTTAAGTTTAATTTAATATTTTATAAGCAATATAAAACCTTTTATACTTTCCTTATATAATTTCTTTTTAAGCTTAAGGAAAATATTAATATATTATTTAAGTATATTATTATATAATCTTTTAAAATATTAATTAAGATTAAATTAATATATTATTAAAATATAATAAGCGCATTAAATAAATTAAAAGGGTAAATTAATTATTTAAATAATTTAAATTAAGTTTAAAATGCCATTAAGTATTTCTACCTTTTTATTATTTATATTTAATAAAAGGCTGCATAAATATCTAGCTTTATAAACCATTAAACGTTAAAAAAAGAGCGTAATATCTCCTTAATAAAAGGGAGGGGGTAATGGTTTTATTAGGTTATTTTATTTAAGGCATAATAATTTATATAAAACCGCTACTCTTTATTTACCTTATGTATTAAAAGGATTAACGTTATTATAAGCAAGAAGCTAGCCCTTATTTAATCTTTATTATAAAGTTTTATAACTTATTTTTATAACTTAAATAACTAATTTTAAGGTATATTATATAATAAGCTTTATAGCAATATTAATATAAATTTATTCTTTATTAATAATAAATAAATATAATAATTAAATTAATCTTAATATAATAAAAAGGTAAAAGCTTATTCTTTATTAAAAAAGCTAATAAAGTTTTATACTTTCTTTAATAAAGGCTTAACCTTGCATTACTTTATATTATTATTATTTTTTTCTTAAGAAGCTATAGCTTAAAAAATTTATATAATCTTATTTAAGCTTATTTTTATTAAAATAATATTTATTATTTTATTATAAAATAAGTAATTTATTTATACCCTTATAATTACTTTAAAAATTAATTAAGCTAAACTACTTATATTTTATTAACTTTCCTTCTTTATAACTATCCCTTAGGCCGCATTAATTATTATATAATCATAAATTAAGTTTAGCAAAATATTATAATAACATAATTAAAATAAGCTTAGTAAAAAGGGTTAAGCTATACTTAAAACTATATAAGTTAAAATAAAGACTTATTATATATTAATATTTAAAGAAAGCCATATTATATATATAATATATTAACTTTATAAAAGATTAATAATTATCTTTAAATCTTTTAAGATAAGCAAAGCTATTAACTTTAATTTTATCTTTTATACTTATTACTTACTTATAATAATATAATAATTATACTTATTATTTACTTAAGTAATAATAATATACTTATAATTTATAATAATAAAAATTAAAAAAAAAGCTTATTTAATTTATTTTATACTTATTAATATTATTTTTATATAAATTAAGCTTATAAAGAAAGCTTATATTTTTAAGTAAAATTTTACTTAAAAGCTAATCTTTTCCTTTAAAGCTAATAAAGTCCTTTTTATAAGGTATAGCTAGCTTTATAACCTAAATTTAAGTTAATATAGCTATAAAAAAGAGTTTATAATTTACTATAAAGTATTCCTATTAACTGCAATATAAGTATGCCTTGCACCTTTGCTAAGCCTTTCTTTTAAATTTAAAAATTTAAAGCGCCTTAGCTTAGCCGCTAGCTAATTAAGAAAAAAAGGCATCTTAATGCCCTTATAGCCCTTTATTCCTAGCGCTTTAACCCTTTATTATACTTATTATAATTATATTTATTATTATTATATCTTAATTCATTACTTATTATCCTTAAGTTAAGAGCTTTAAAAGGCATAAAATTAAGCCTATATATTATTAATGCTTAAAGTTTTATACCTTTAACTTATAAGCAATTTAATAATATATATTTACTACCTTATTATAATTTATATATAAGATTAATACCTTAATAACTTTATTATAAAGCTATAAAAAAAGTTAATTATAAAAATAATTTAACTTTACTTTATTTAATTACTTAAGGCCCTTAACTTATATTATTAATTATATAAAGTAAATATAAAATTAAGTAAAGTTATTATAATTTTATATTTAAAATATTTTAAGCTTAATTAAAATAGCTACCTATTAATATAAATTTTTATAATAATACTTTAAATATTTAAAAAACTTATTTATATTAAAACTATTTTAAGGCTTACCTTATTTATAAAATATTATAATATATAATTATACCTTAATAAATAGCTAACTTTATAAAAATATTTAATATTCTTAAAAACCCTTAATAAAATTTATATTAATTTATAACTTATATTATATTATAATCTTTTAAGCTAAAAAGCTATCTTAATTATTATTAAATAAGAGTTTAATTAAGAGCGGCTTATATTAAATTAAGGGTAAGTTAAGAAAATTTATATATACTTTAAGCTTTATAAGTTAATAAAGTATTATTATAAAAAGAAATATAGTAATATCGCTATTAATATTAATAAGCATTATTATAAATAGCTAAAAAGGTTAAGATGCTTCTTAAGTATTTTTATAGCTTAATATTAAAGTAAGTTAAGGAATTCCTAGTTATGCATTTTATAAAAAGATTAATATTTTAAGTATAAAGTTATTTACCTTTATAATATAAGTATCCTTTTTAATATAATTTAAAAATTGCAATTTAATATTATAAATTAGCTTTAAGTATTTATTAAAAGGTACTTAAAAAGAGTTATAAATTATAATATTTAAAAAGTAAGTTAGCCTTAAAAGGGCTTAACTTTAAATTTATCTTTTAAGTATATGCCTCATTATATAAGAGGATTGGGTGTAGTGTGGGCCCAGCATGAGCATGCATTACGGCTTGGGCAATAGCCCAAGCCCATTACAGAAAGTATTAAATATATAAGGTATGTTAATATTTAATTTTAAAGAAACATTTAAAATTTTAAGGTAATAGTGATTTTAAATAAATTTAATTAAATTTATATTATTAAAACCAGTGATTTTAATATAACTCTTTAATTTTACCCCTTTTTTAATTCCTTTTTAACTTAAGTTATTTTTAACTTTAATTTAAATGCAAATTTTTCTTCTTTTATATACTTAATTTAATAATAAAGAAAAGAAATGAAATTAAAAAAGAAGCAGCTTTCTTTTTATATATATTTTAAATAAATTAAAGTAAAATTAAAAAGTACGTATAAAAAAGGTGTGAGGTGTCAAATATAGGTCGTTAGCGCCAAAATGGAACGATTGATTGCATATGAGAGTAACGCGGGATCCCGATCCGATCCAGCAGCAGGCAATGTCCCAAAGGACAGGGACTTGTGGGGAGCTGTTGTGGGCCCTGCACAAGATTACAGGGGTCCAACAAGGTCAAAGTGGGCGCCAACCTTAATAGCTGTGCTGAATACGCGTAGAAGCTTTGCCCGACCTCGGGCGCTGGTGCTGACCCGCTTATTTACTATGGAGGATGGCTGACTACTCTTGAGTAAGTTCCAAGACCGTCATCTCCCTTGAGCGGAGGGATGCAGACAGCTGTCGTCTACTGTCTGACTGTGTGGTTGTCGCGTGCCTGGCGGTGAGACTAGACTTGCCTACTATATTGCCCCACCCCTTCCCTATCCCACCTCCTTTCCCAAAATCTACTTCTTCCAGTCTGGCCACTACACGCGACAAGCCTGCACTTCCGAGCCCGCAATGCCTTCACTACGCGTCAATTGGGGCAGGCTGACCCTGGGCCTCGTCCTGTGTGTCGCCATAGCTTTCGTCCGAGCTGAAGGCGCCAAGGATGGCCCCCTGGACGACGTCACGCTGGGGCCGCCCTTGAGCCTCGAGGAAATCGAGGATCAACTTCAAGTGTGCAACCCTCCTCCCTACGTGGTGAAGCTGGCGAACTGATAATCCTCCTCTGCAGGAGTGCCCCGTCGTCCACACCCTCACCGCCCAGAAGCTCGCCCGCCTCTCCGGCAAGACCTCCCAGGTCGCCAGGCTCTTCTCCATCCTCTTCCCCAGCAGCTCTCCCGCCATCAATGCCCTGCTTGCCACCCTCTACATATCCGGCCCGCCCAACTTTCTTCTGGCGCTATGTCCTCCGAACATCGACCCCTCTTCTCTGTCCATCATGGTGGCCTTTGCTGTCGGCGGCCTGATGGGCGACACGCTCTTCCACTTGCTCCCCGAGATCTTTCTGGGCGAGGACGACCTCGAGAAGGCCCGCTTCGTCCTCGTCGAGCCCAACCGGAATCTTCTGCTCGGCGTCGCTATTTTGGTAGGGTTCATGACTTTCGTCGCCATGGACAAGGGGCTCCGCATTGCGACCGGGGGCGACGGGGGCCACGACCACGGCCATGGTCACTCGCATGCCCACGGGAACGGCAATGACGGCGCAAAGTCCACCGCGGTTGAGGGCGTCGATGCCTCTGGCGTGAAGTCTCGGAAGAAGACAAATGGCACCACGAGTGAGAAGGAAGCTGCCCCCGAGAAGGAGCTTAACCCGAGCGTCAAGCTCGGCGGCATCCTGAACATGATTGCCGACTTTACCCACAACATCACCGACGGACTCGCAATGTCAGCCTCCTTCTATGCCTCCCCCACCGTCGGCGCAACCACCACCATGGCCGTCTTTTTTCATGAGATCCCGCATGAGGTCGGCGACTTTGCGCTCCTCGTGCAGTCGGGCTTCAGCAAGAAGGCCGCCATGGGCGCGCAGTTCATCACGGCGGTGGGCGCGCTGCTCGGCACCTGCATCGGCATCGCCGTCCAGGAGCTCGGGGGCGGCTCCGCCTCGTCCGAGCCCCTCGCCCTCAACGGCGGCATCTGGGGCACCAGTTTGACCTACGGCGACCTGCTCCTGCCTTTCACCGCGGGGACGTTCCTGTATGTGGGCACCGTGGCCGTCATACCGGAGCTGCTGGAGACGGGCAAGAACAGGCGGGAGGAGCTGGTCAAGACGCTGAGCCAGTTCGCGGCGATCGCCTTGGGCGCGGGCATCATGCTTTACATTTCGTGGCATGACTAAGGGGAGGTTTCGCTTATCGGCCCCGGGCATGTAGATGATAAGAAGTAGAACGCATTTTAGATGTATAGAAGACTGCAATGTGAGGGAGGTCAGGCTGGTGAGGATTGCCGCCGGTCTGAGAGCATTTACGGGCTGCGGTCTGACCACCATGGGTGAACTCCAAGTTCGCAGTGGTGAACCCATAGAGGATACACCCCATCCAAGCGAGAGATATTGTGTACCAGGTTTTGGGAAAGCGGTCTCTATCTGGATTGATTAGCCTAGGCGTCATTGCTGAGCTGCCTACGTAGCAGGTTCGCAGTCTCTAAGTACATCTCAGATCAGTCAACTACTTCGAAGTCGCGACTCATAATATCATAAGGCCATTCATGGGCCTCCATTCGGTATTGTGGCTCGGGACTGCTCATTGCTATACTCAGCACATCTCATCCAGTGGAACTCACATCCACCGACGAATTGAATCGGAGAACAGACGTGCCGCCTACTACCATACAGTGTCAAGCCGATCTGTCCAAACGTCACTACCATTATTGCTATTGTTTTCTCCATCTTCACTGTTTCTCTCGGCTGGTCGCGCCTTATGGTATCAGTTCAAGGCGAAGACAGAGAAGAGAATGACCCAGAGGGGAAAAGGTCCAGCCTCACGAAGCTGTGGTTCCCTCGTTCGAGACATTGATACCACAGAAAATCTCCAATGCCTTGGCGGAAGACATCTTGCCAAGCGTGATTGTGATTAGTATTATCGTGCGCTACCATAAGCTCGGGTCATGTGGTCGCTCTTCGTTTCTCAAGTCTCAATCGCACAGGCATCCACTATCGGGTCACTTGAAGCAGTGACATGACAACTAGGCTGGCAACTTGTGTGATCCTAGAGAACTTGCAACCTAGCAGCCCAGTCATCTTGAACGCGAAGTGGAGGTCTACTGTGCCATTTCGAACATTATCGTGGCGGACGTGACGCTGCTGCTTGAGGCAGCCAGGCTGTTGTTCTATCCCCACTATGCCGCCTTGAAGACGACAGTCACGATGATGACTTGTGCAGGATGGAGAATGAAAGTGTAATACTGACCTCGTCTGCCATGGCCCCAGGCTGCGCCAAATCAAATACGGAAAAAGAAAGAAGGAGAAAGAAAGGGATGAGAGGAGGTGGAAGAAACCAACAACTCTTTTTTTTTTAGGAAAAAAAAAAAGGAAAGAAGGAAAGGGTAACGCCCACGGGCAAGACGGACACGTGCGGGACCCAACTCACAAGCAAGGCGACCTCCTACATTTCGTCGTATCACCAGACCAGAGCACGCCAGTCTCGGCCTGATCGGCCGCAGCCTATTCAGGGCTACAAGCAGAGTGCTCGAGCAGTTCTTCTTGTAGGAGGAAAACCACATCAAGGCCACACCTCACCACCACACGTACCTACGCCAGCCCCCAGCCCCCGGCGGGGACCAACACGCTGACGACGACCAGGAGGGGGACAAAGCCTGAAGGGCCTGGTCCTCGCCGCGGACGGCGTTCCTGCCCGTCCACCGCCGGGAGATGCGTGCGGGACTTCTGGAGGCAGACGAACCTTGATGAGCTGAGCTGCTAAACTGGGGGTCCGTGGCGAAAACGTTCCTGGGCGAGGGCCAGGGGGTCTGGACGCGTGGAGAGGGTCTTTGGAAGGGCGCAGGGCGGGAATTGATATCGTTCCGGGTGGTTTCATGTTGCTGTGAGTCATATTCTGGGTGTCTCCTCCGCCCGCCTACGACAGCCGCCCACATCCCTGGCGCTCTGTATCTTGTTTCTGTGGGGGAAAAGCACGAGTGTTGGAAATTTGTGACACCACAGTGCAGGAAATGCTGAGGTGGGAGGCAGGGTGAGGTGTCGTGGTAGTACCAGGGGGCATTCAGCCAGAGAGGAAGGCGCTGGAGGACTACATGGGCTGGCTATAAGTCGAGGGTGGTTCCGTACCTCCCATGGCGGATGGCAGGACAGTGATGGAAAATCTGGCCGAATGTGGTACATCTCGAGGGAGACCCGAGATTGGACCAGTTCAAGTGATCCGTAGAGAAAAGAATAAACAAATTGTAAAGGCAACACGCGTTGAACATGCCCTGGGTTCTTGAGAACCGGCTGTTGTTCAAGTATTCAGGGATCCACAATCACTGTCTTCAGCATGATAGTCATTGAACGTGTGTGTGCCTCGTCTTCTTCCGTTCGAATCTGTGAACCTACCTACCTACCACATCACTCCTTGGTTAGATGCTCTTACTGGCCGAAGTGATTCATCTGGTGAAATCAATGTTTCCGGTCTCCCTCCCTCGTAAATACGGGGGCGACAACATAGAATCCTTATCATAATTCTGTGCCCCCGATCCCATTCCTGAAATGCCCTCCTTCGACAAAATGATCTGGTCAGGCCCCAACACAGCTTTGCATGATGTCGTTATAACCATGACACACCCACAAGGGGCCCTAATTCCCTAACCCCAAATCAATTACCAGACGTTGGATCAAAAGCATCTCTGCTCTAGACTCATTGGAACAAAGATGCTCCTTGCTTAGGGCATTTATCCAGCCAGGAGATCACCCTGGAACAAGTTCACCGCACGCAGCTCCTGCATGCCAAAGGTTGATCCCGAGACCAGAAGCATATTACAAACCCACGTGCATTGCCAAGTCCAAGACAAACGAGCAAATCAAAGTCACAAGGTGGGCACCATCCGCGCTGGACACCTTACGAGGCATAGTTCAAGCTCAAGGGGGAGGGACTGGACAATCAGGATCCTGGGCGGCGAGCACAGTATTCCACAGTACCAAATGTCCAATCCCACGCCGTACCATCGTCAACACACAGTTAGAGTCATTCCGGCCCCTTGTTGGCTTGGCGCGGCGCTGGTCCCAGCTGCTCGGGAACCCCTAAAGGGAGGAATAGCCGCATGCGGAAATCCTTTTTTTTTCTTTTTTCTTCCACACTTCACACTTGCCCCTGCTTATGACGCTAGCCAATGTGCTCAAGTGCTTGGACCCATGGACTTGAGGGTGAAACTTTCGCTGCCATGCTGCCAGGCTGCTCGCGCCCGCCTTAGTGTGGGCTGAGGGGGGTCCTCTTGTGATCGCGGACTGTTGCTGCTCAGTTGCGCGGGCTCTGGCTGCTCAAGGACGTTGGGGCGCTTGGACCGTACAAGTGGGTGTCGTCCCACAACATGCTGGCAGCAAAACCTGGCACTCGCTAATTGGGGAGGCCAGAAGGGCGGCCGCGGTCTGGAGACCTTACTCATGGGCTAGCTGCGGCCGACCAGGTCCGGAATCGTGGTGCGTGGGATATATCGAGATTTTCCCCTGCGGCCGTACCGTGCAGCGCATGTGACGGGGACGGAGGGGAGTGGTCCTGTACGACACGGACGTAGGTAGCACCGAACGTTGTGGTTCGGCTCTCGGGCTTGCGACATCGGCAGCCGAAGTTCATCTTGTCAATTGGTCGATCACAGTTGCTCTGCTGTTTCTGTATTTTCTGCGCACATGATGATGAATGTTGAGCAAGTGTTGGCTATGGATACGAATAGGCCTCCTTGGCTTTGGTCCTTCAGGAAGCTGCATTCAAGGTCTGGAACTGGATATCGCCGAGCAGTCAGGCGTTTGTTATGTAAATTGTGGAGATCCGAAGTTGGGAATTGCCGTTTTGGCCAGTCACCGTGAGACCTTGCGCGTGTAAGTCGTCGACAGCTCGCAACATGCAAGGTCCGTCACCGGCGGAACTAAACGCCCAAATGATACAGGATTGGCTCCTAGCTCCGACTGTTTGAAATCCAGTGCTCACGTAATTCATTGATTATGCACGCGCCTGCGTCCTGCTGGCTGCCACACGCATCTGCGCAACAACTAGCTCTAGCTCTGGGGTTTCCGCGGTCTCTTCCAGGCCTGAGGAAAGACGATGCAGTTTCTGTTGGTAATTGCATCACGGGAGCCGGGCCATAATCGAAGCCAAAGGATCAACGGGCTGGTCTGGCTCGGCCACAAGACGCCATTCTGTGTCAGGCCATCGCCAATGTTTGCGCCAACCGCCCGAATCTTCTTTGTCGACACGTGCCCCGTGCCTTGGGCCATGGCAGCCAAGTTGTGGCTCGCTGGAAGCTGACAATCTGCAGAGCTATCGTGCCTGTCAGTTGAAAAGGCCTAGACTTGTCCTCCTGGGCAAGGGCATGGAGGGGCGTTGATCCCTGCCCGTCCAGTCTTCCCATGTTGGGGTTCGTAATCCACCAGCCGATGATCCACTGGCGCAATGCAGGGATTGCTTTGTGAGTTGGGGGAACGAGAACCTTGGTCCTGACCGTGCACGCCTTTCGGCCAACGGTAGGGCGCCGACCTTCTTTTTTTGTCCCTGGTATGGCCCTACGGACGTCCGCATCCGACGGCCGCTGCGTGTTCGACACAGGCGATAATGAACACGATTATCTATGATGGTTCACAAGTGACAGTCAAGACAAAGAGATTTCAGAATCGACGGGACCTGGATCTGATGCGGATCTGGATCTGGTAGATATTATTATACTCGTCGCTCACCTCACACACACTCAAGTCTCTCTCTCACCCGGGCCGGGTCTTGACCCTTGGCAACATGGTGCAGACGAATGAGACGCACGTCACAGACTACCTATCATCCAGATCCGGGTCGGCAGACGCCCTTCAAGCCGCAACGAGTGATCAATCCTCCCACACCACCTGGCGGGCATGGCGCCGCGCCCGTGGTTCGACCAGGTGGCTGGACTAATAAATAAGCTACCAACGCCCTCCACACAACATGCTCCCCCAGACTGTGCGGAGTGGTCCACCGACTGCTTGTTCCAATGCCAGGGATGCCCAATCTGCCCCTCCGCCTCGCTTCCCCTTACCATTAGGGATTTTTGGACGGCTCTCCTACGTCGGAATGACTCAGATATTCTGAACTTTCCTTCATTTCCAATCCAGTTGAGAACCGTCACCATATGTCAGCTACTACTGTGTTGTCTGTCCCCTTGTTTCATGCGCATTTGCGTCCTGCCTCCTGCATCCTGCCGGTTGTATAAAGCCCAGCGTCGGGCCGTTGCCACCGTTTGAAGATGGTGCCTGCTGCTCCTGTCATTGGCAGCTTCTCAGAAAGGGTTTCCAAGAGACCGTTTCTTTTTTATCAGATTGAATGATTACGGGCGACCTATCAAATCAAGTCTCATCGGGCTCTTGAAGTCCACATCACCACCGCCTGACGAACAAGCCCTGCTACCTACTGTGCTGCGTCCCCACACGTTGGCTCAGTAATTGTTTTTTCACACAGGCATCTGTACTAGACACATGTCCTTGGTTGACAACATCATCCTTGCCACAAACATGCCTGCGAGAGCGAGCATGTCGACCAGCCCCAGCGAGGCCAGCTCCTCCCTGTCGGCCCACGCCAGGAAGCTCGGCTTCCCAAGGTCCGATATCCAGATCCACCTCAAGAACCACTTCAAGACCAAGACGTACACTTCGTCTTCTGTCGTGGCCGGAGATGTCACCATCACCACCCAGAGGGAGGTGCGGTTCGACACCATCGAGATCATCCTGCTCGGCTCTGCCAGGACCAAGACAGATGGCTACAGTGCACCCCATGAGTCCACGTACACCTTCTTGAAACTAATCATGCCCATCCCCGAGTCGGTATACCCCGTCCCTAGGGTCCTCGAGAGCTCAAGCACGCTGAGCGTGCCGTTCCACTTTGTGCTGCCCAACTTCCTCACCCTCGGCGCCTGCACGCACAAGGTCGAGTCCGAGCACGTCAAGGGCCAGCACCTGTGCCTCCCGCCCTCGATGGGCTCCTGGGCCAGGGGGAACTGGGAGAAGGACGACCTCTCCCCCCAGATGGCCGACATCGAGTACACCATCAGGGCCAGGGTCTGGAAGCAGCCAGAGCTGCAGGCGCGGCCCACCAAGATCATGGAGTCCATCAAGTCGATCCAGGTCCTCCCCACCTTCCCTGAGGACGCCCCGCTGAGCATCACCAAGAACGACCGGCTGTACTGCATGAGCAGGACAAAGTCCATTCGCAAGAATCTGCTCTCGGCCAAGTTGGGGAAGCTCACAATCTCGGCGGAGCAGCCCAGGGCCATCATGCTCCGTCCGGATGGGCAGGTCTCGATTGGCACCTCCGCTCAGGTCGATCTCAAGTTCGAGCCTGTGTGCGCAGGCACCCCGCCCCCGAAGATCACGGCCGTCTCGTCCAAGATCACAGCACACACCTACTTCTCGGCCGGCCCCATCAGCGCCCCACCCAACATGGGCGACTTCACAAAGGCCGGCGTCTCGGACCGCCGCGGCGTCTACTCCACCTCCGTCAACCTCCCAGCCGCGGCGCCGCTGGAGAAGCCGACCTGGATCGCCCAGCAGGCCCGCCGCGACTCGGGGTACTTCACCGACACGGCGCCCGAGAACACGGCGTCGGAGGGCGAGGACGCCGAGGACGAGGAGCGCCAGCGCCAGCAACGCGAGCGCCGGCAGCGCCGCAAGTCCAGCACCATCGCGAACCTCGTGCGGCCCTCCAAACAACAACAAAACCAGCACCAGTCCCCACCGCGCAGCTCCCCAGTCTTCCACACAGCCACGGCGCACGTCCCCGTGGCGCGCCTCCCGACGTCCAAGAAGTTCTTCGTGCCCACCTTCCACTCGTGCATCGCCTCGCGCGCCTACACGCTGCACGTGTCGCTGCAGGTGACGGCGGGCGGCGGGAGCAGCACCCTGTCGCTGGACCTGCCGCTGCAGATCGGGGTCGAGCCCGAGCGCCCGGCGCTGGGTGGCGCCGCGGCCGGGCAGGGTGAGGAGCTGCCCAGCTTCGAGGCCGCGGTGGAGGAGGCGGCCGTGGACGAGTTCTTCCGGCCGCGGGTGCTGAGCGTGCCCGAGGTCGCCTTCACGGAGACGAGCGTGCTGCCTGGGTATGGGGCCAGGTGAAGGGGGGTCGATCCTCTGGACCGAAACTGACCGAATTTCAATTCTGGCTTTTTGGCGTCTCCCGTTCTATGGCTCTGGGTTTTAGGATGCACCAGATTGCATGTGCCCTTTTCTCCTTTTTTCTCTTTTTTTGTCTTGGTTACGGTTTAACTTTTGATACCCTCGTGCTCGGGTTTGTTGACCCCACGGAATCGATCCGGTGGCTGGTCGGACAGAAAGAAGCATGGAGTTTTGTGGTCCGTCTTTACTGTGTGATGCAGTGCGATGGTTTTTGGTTCTTGAGGTCTCGGAATATCCGACGAAGAGTCTTGTCGGGTTTGTGATAGGGTGCAGATTGTACCGTTAAGGAAAATACAAACACTTTAATTCTCAAAATATGCCTGCAGCGTTGAGCCTATTGCGGTGATAATGCAGTGCAACAGCGTGTGTAGCCTCTGCTACAGAATTCTTCAGCGATTTTCGCCGACATCAATGGCGAGAACAGACCCAGCACTTGCGTGGTGACCACCACGGGAACTTTTGGGGGAAGATTATGAAAGCAGGCACATATGCTGTCAGACAGGACTTGGGATAAGTGGGTACGGTTTGTGCATCGCGGCGATCATCTCGTAGGCCGGTATTTGTGCATGCGGTGGTGTGGCTGTCCTACGGTCATTCGGTGTCACAGCCTGCGGTTGGATCCATGTATCTATTTGTAGTGACTACGCCTGGTATTTGGGCGACACAATACGCGTCTGTCTGAAGTTGAGAAGCCTTTACATGGTCTTTGCATAAATTATTTACATAGAGTTTGAACCCAAGCCAATTGGCAGCCAGTGCAAACCAATTGGGGCGGAGGGGCAGAGCGAACAAGACTGCTCGAGGGAGACACGACGGCTTGACATACAGAAACATGGGTCAGCCCGCGAGATCTCTCCACTGATACCCGGGGTCCCGGATCTCTTGGGTCTTGGCTCGCGGATGTATGTGGATTTGATTGACTGGCCGATTGACTGTGCATCCTTGGGTTGATCGGTGATCTTCCATGTCTCTTGTGAACTAGCGGGAAGTTCCTGGCGTTGTTGAGCATCGCGCCAGGCGATGGGCTCCATCGAGGGTCGGAGACACCAGACTATGTCGAGAAGGGATTTCCAGTAGGGCTGGTGGAAAAGGAGACGTCATGACGACAATGAGATCTGCATGGCACACTGTCGGCAGTGGAATCTCGAGTGTGGGGACCCGGGCGTCGAAACACTCGCCTACGATGGATATTTTCTGTAGTGGGACATCATGTCGTAGGCTCGTGGGCCTAGGCACACACACACGGTGCGTCCCTCTCGCGGCGCAGTACACCTACCGGTGTTGTTGATGTTGAGGTTTGTTGGGGAAGAGGAGAAATTCTCGAACAAACAATAGGGCGCGTGCTAGTATCGAGGCCAATTCTCGGGCCGCAGATGCTGTGTCCGTGTGTGCTGCATGGCATGGCCTAGTCTACGTGGTGTCTGGACCAGCAGACCAGACAGAGGACGCGCAATCGCGGGCGTCCGAGCCACACGCCACTTACTCGCGGCGTGTTATGCCGCGTTGCCAAAAATGCTTCTGCTGCTGACGAAAAATCGACGAAAGCGGATGTTTCGTGGAGCTGCGACAGGTCTCAGGGATGTCTCGTCGATTGCTGATCAGCTGCCGTGATCGCATACAAAGATACACACAGCCAAACTGCAGCGCTATACATATCTTACGTAGAAGCAAGAGAAGAAGAAAAGAAGGAAAAGGGGGTCGGTCCCCAGGCCAAGGAGTGAAATGAGAAATGAGCGTGGGGGAGGGGCGGGTCTGGCCCCAATGTCAGTGTCGCTGCTGCAAACGGCCGACGGAGTCGGTCATTCTGTCACCACAACTCAAATGTCACATGTATTCAGAATCAATCGGAGACCCTCCTCTTCTTGTTGTAGTCAAAATCATGCCGTCTATGCTGTGGGGTCAGACGACACCGAAGCTATTGGGGCGAGGACGGTGTAAAGAAGAGGATGGCTGGATAGAGTCAACAGACAGGCGAATGGGCGTTATTGCTACTGTATTATTAAGGTTGGGTCCGCTGCGACGGTCCCCGTCATGCGACCATGCACTGCAGGCTGCAGAGAGATGCAGCCCAGGTTGCAGAGGGGACCCGCTCTTATCGACTTATACGACCCATATCCCGCCAATCGGGGGCTCATGGGCCGGGATCTGTGGGCTAAAGTGCCATAGCTGGGGGGAGGCGCGCATCTCGAATGTTTGGTCACGGTCGCCGTCCCCTGGTCTCCTTCCTACCCTTTCCCCCCTCCCCCCTTCAACCCGTCTCGCTTACAAGAAATACCGCGGTCAAAGGGGGTCTGGCCCAGTGGATTGATTGACCGATGAACTGACTGATTGATGAACGATTGATTGACGGATTGATCGACTGGCTTGCTGGCCTGCTGCTTGTTCGCTTGCCTGCCTTTTTGCTTAGTTACCTGGCTGCCCGCTCTTCTTTCCTCCTCCTTCCACCATCCCAACCTCTCGAAACTGCCAGCCAGCCGAAGCAGACCCAATTGCCCCGTCGCCGTCGTCAGCAGCACCAACAGGAAACGGCCCACCTCTTTTACTCGGACGTCCCCTGTCCGGATCAACTGTTTCGGTCATATTTTAAAGTCTTCTTCACTGACAGACTTTCGGACTCAGCACCAGCGTCCCCATCCGCCCTCCAGAGATCAGCATCAGCTTCCAGCACACCCGATTACGCACCACTGAGCCACATATACCCCGGACCTCTGGTCCAATTACACTCGTTCAGACCACCGCTTCTTCCCTGCCGCGTCTGCCTGCTGAGGCCGAGGTCATCCTACCCGTCGCAAGTAGAGGTACCAGCGCAACACCTTTGCCCGGATACGCCTTCCTGACCGTCTGTCAATCCGTCTATCTCCGGGCTGCCACGACCACCACCCTTCTCGGTGCTTCGACCATATTGCCGTCCTCGCCTGCCGTGAATCACACTGCCGTCAAGCCAATGCGCATTTCGGAGTAACTCCCCACCGAAGCAATATCTCGACGCCGTTCTATCTGTGCCTGTGCGCGCGGTTTGCTGTATTGGACGCGCCTTTAGATACACTATACCTACTATCGCTCCCGCTCTGAGACACGCCCCTTGCCTTTGCTTATCGCCCCACCCGAACGTCTTCTCGTCGCCCAGGGCTCTGCGAGAGCATAGCTTCGAACGCGGCCGATATTCAAGGGAAGGCCCACCGCTACAATGGCACCGACAGCGAGGTCAGGGCTGCTGAGAGCGCTTCTCTTGGCTCTCCTCTGGTGTCAGATCGAAGCCTTCTATATCCCCGGTGGGTTGTCCCGTCCCAAGTGCAGCGTCTGCCTCGCCTTGGTCCCTTTGTGCTGACATGCAGCTGCTCAACAGGCTGGTCAATAAAGTCATACGGCCAAAATGAGAACATCCCTTTAATGGTGAACAAAGCATACTCGGACAATACACAACTGCAATATGCCTATTATGACCTCCCCTTCGTCTGCCCTCCAACCGGCCACCACCGTCCGGGCGCAGGGCTGCTCAGTGGCCAGAGCATCTCCCTCAACCTGGGGGAGGTCTTGCGCGGCGACCGCATCGTCATTTCCGATCTCGAGCTGTCGATGATGAAGGATAAGGAGTGCAACATGCTCTGCAGCAGGGAGGTCTCCAGGCGCGACGTCAAGTGGGCCCGGGAGCTTGTCCGGGACGGATACGTTGTCGAGTGGATCGTGGACAACCTTCCCGGAGCAACGAGCTTCGTGACAGTCGACAAGACCCGCAAATACTATGCTGCCGGATTCAAGCTTGGGTTCACGGACACGTCGTCCGGCAGGCCACGCTACTTCTTGAACAACCACCACACTATTGTTGTGCGCTACCGCAGCGCGCCAGGCAAGGCCGGCGAGAAGGGAGAAAAGGTTATTGTTGGCTTCGAGGTCTACCCCAAGAGTATCGGGTCTGCCAACCGGAGGAACAAGGATGGGTGCCCCGCGGATCTGCAGAACATTGAGCAAAGCTTTGAGCTGTACATGGCCCCTAACAAAACAGTGTCTGAAGCCGCCAACCAGCTATACTCACAGTCGTCATACCAGCCCGAGATCGACCAGGAGGACCTCGACGACGACGCCAGGATGACTATCCCCTACACGTATTCGGTCTACTTCCGCGAGGACAACACGGTCGAGTGGAACAAGCGCTGGGACCTCTACTTTGTTAACCAAGAGGAAGGCTCTCGGATTCATTGGCTGGCCATCGTCAATTCCTTCATCATCTGCGGGCTCCTGACGGGAATCGTGCTGATAATCATGGCCAAAACGATCAGGACCGAGATCAAGGGCTACAAGGACGCTCGCGCTGAGGAAGGCAAGCTTAAGCTCAAAAGAGGTGGCGGACAGCGGTCGCCGAGGCTGTCTGAGAAGAAGGCACTCGGATTGCTCGACCAGGGCGGCGACGACAACGATGCGGATGCCTCTTCCGACGACGAGGCCCTGGAGGACGTCACGGGCTGGAAATTGCTACACGCTGATGTCTTCCGGGCTCCTCACTACGGCTGGATCCTGGCTCCTCTGGTTGGGTCTGGCGTCCAGCTTCTTTTCATGGCTGTCGGACTCGTTCTGCTGAGCGCGTTGGGCATCCTGAACCCCAGTCTCCGCGGCGGATTCATCAGCTTCGGCATTGGTCTATTCGTCTTTGCTGGTCTGTTCTCTGGGTATTACTCGGCTCGGGTGTACAAGACCTTTGAGGGACAGGATTTCCTGCGCAATGCGGTGGTGACGGCTTTGCTGTTTCCCGGCCTGGCCTTTGGGCTCATTTTCATCCTGAATCTTTTCGTCTGGGCCCAGGCCTCGAGCACTGCCATCCCATTCGGGACCTTGGTCGGCCTGTTGCTGTTGTGGCTTTTCATCCAGCTTCCCCTCGTCTACGTTGGCTCCCGATATGGCTACAACCGCGGCGGCGCGTGGGAGCACCCGACGAAGACGAGCCTGATCCCACGACAGGTACCTCGACAAGCCTGGTACATTAAGCGCACGCGGTCCGTGTTGCTCGCTGGTCTCATTCCATTTGCTGTCATCTTTATCGAGCTGCTCTTCGTCTTCCAGTCCGTCTGGCAGGACAAGTCGGGCTACTACTACGTCTTCGGGTTCCTCTCCGTCGTCTCGCTCATCCTGATCGTGACGGTCGCCGAGACCACCGTTGTCACCGTCTACGTCCAACTGTGCAGCGAGAACTACAATTGGTGGTGGCAGTCGTTCCTCGTGGGCGGAGCGAGCTCGGTGTGGGTGTTCGTGTACTGCATCTGGTACTACTTTTACAAGCTGCACATCACAGGGTTTGTGAGCTCGATGCTGTTCTTCACGTATAGCTTCATGGCTTGTCTGGTGTACGGGCTTCTCACGGGCACGGTCGGCTTCCTGAGCGCCTACGCCTTTGTCAGGAGGATATATGGGTGAGTGTGCTCGAATCCGCTTGATAGTTCCTGAACCGTGAGCTGACTGTTGAACAGTGCTATTAAGGCCGATTGAGGGGCCGGCCATTGCTTGACCGGGGTGATATGGATCGCTTCCGTGATCTCTCAATGACCATCAGAGATAGATGTGACACGAGCATTGCGAAAAGAACAAAACTTCAACGGATTGATAATGAGTGTGCTTGACTGCATCGGACCCGGCGTTTCACACTGCAGGGATTCTATTAGGCGCGAATCAAACCCAGAGCTGGCGTTCTTTATCATGTTTTCGAGGGATGGTGGTAATCTGGGCTGGGGGAGAGCGCGAGCTTCTGTTGTTGCCCCCCGCCTAGCGGCTTTCGATGACATCGAACGGCAGGTGGTAATTGTGCAGCCCGGCTTCGCGACGGCGTTTCAATTGGGACTTGAATTAGGAAAGCTGGAAGGCATTTCTTGTGGGTTGGAGGGGTTTCAACGGCGAGCGAAGGTTGCGAGTACCTAGACCTTTTTTCATATCGATATTGGGAGTGGTGGATGCGATGTATAAAGTTGGAATACCTCTTACATACTTTCTAGTCTCTAATGACTCTTATCATCTCACTTGGTCAGGCTGTTCACGTAACTTGTAGTGACTGTGGGTGAATAGTGGCTTGCAGGCCCAACTCCACTGCGGGTCTTGCGGCGCATCTGCCTATTTCTGTCCTTGTGCTTTAGTCTCCCTGCCACAACTTCGGATATAGAAGACTCTAGGTTCGCTGCACGTTGAGTTTTCCCGTCAACCCCACCCAGCTTAGCAGACAGCTATATCATCTGTCTTCCTATCCGTCCACTCATCATATTAGCGTACTGGTCGGGATTTCAACATAATCTTTGTGTCCTTCCTTGCTCAGTCAGTCCTCGACTATGACCACAACGAAGAACGGTGAAGCGACCACCGCGCAGCCAGTTGAGCAAAATGCTCCTCAAGCGGACCAGGACGACCAGCCCCGGTATCCAAGTTCTGACATGTCACATAGCCAGTTTATGGCCAGGGTTGCCGAGAGCAAGGCGAAGGTCGCGGCCATGTCCCCAGAGGAGCTCGATGGTGAGGATACTGGCAACTGAAACCCCCAAGCATGTAACAGCCCCAAAACTCCCAACTGGTCATAGTCATAGACCTTTTAGGCATGGGTGGCCCCTCTGAAGGGGTCGGGCCCGAGGAAGCTGTGAGAAGACTGGAGGAGATTGAGAATGGTTGCTACGACAGCGACAGTGAGGAGGATGACGATGCTGAGAAGTCCGGAGGGGCAGAAGTGGGAAAACCGAGGGTGACCGATGATAAGCAGGATAGCAAAGGCAAGAATTGCCCAGAGGCCGGAGGTGCCCAAGATGACAAGGAGAAGGCGGCGGAGGAAAAGCAGGGCTAGCGAAGATCGGCCCGCGTCCTGAACTCAGAAAATCCCAAGCATTTCCTAGGCGCTGTATCTTGAAAAGACTCGAATATTGGGCTGTGGAATTGCCTTTTGCGGCGCCGGAATTCCCGGCGTCCAGACTTTGTGGCTTTGTAACAGACACCACCTCATCACCGACTTGAAATACATGGCGATCCTTAAGCGCTATGCGTAGCCTTGTCTATGGCGCAAAAATACTACCGTCAGCTCTGCGTGTTGGTACACAATAACTTCCGCTTGAATTTGTACGGCGGGCTCACATGCCATCTTCATATTTTGGAATACTGTGACTATACTGGTGTTGTATCGGTGATATTACCTATAAATGCCTCTTCCTACCCTGCACTGTCCAGCAGCCTGGCTATTGTCAGCTACCCCATTTCATTGTACCTGAATTATGGATAGGGCACACGAGAAGTGATGCAAAGGTACTTCGATGCGGCCAGTTCCAGGTGCCTTTTTTCTTCAGCGGCCTAGTCTTGGGACAACGTACCTGAAACTCTCTCACGACTCTGATTATTGTAAGTGAGGCGTGCCCTATCGATTGGGTAGACGTGTTGCACGAGTTTCCTAGATGTACGCGAAAGTCTTTCGTATTGGTTGCCTTGAATGCAGTCAGCCGCACGACCACCTCCACTTTGCAGGCTCCGAGGCATAATTGACAGGAGGCTGATCTACTGAATTTCCTAAAGAAATGCCATCCCTTCAAGAACACCCAGCATCATCGTCTGCAAAGCAGTATTCAATTCTGGTTCTCTCGATATGACAATAAACGCTATGCCGCGGAATCAACGAACTAATATATATGACCCTCTGCCGGATGGTGCATATATCAGGCTCCGATCTTGGAGCCTGGAAGACGCCGGCAGCCACTACGCTGCCAGCTCAAGATCGTGAACCTGGAGGAAAAGCCAGACTTTTAGGCAATATCGTACGTCTGGGGGCGTGGGATCAAGCGCAAGAAGGTGGCATGCAACGGAATGCGTGTCAAAATCACGGCAAATCTCCTCCAGGCCCTGGTGGCAATGCGATATCCTTCGAGACCGCGCGCCGTCTGGGCCGACTCCATCTCCATAAACCAGGCCGATAACGAAGAGAAAGGCCGCCAGGTCGCCCTGTTGGGCCCAATATACAACCGGGCGCGGAGGGTGCTCGTCCACCTTGCGGGTGATGACGGCGGGCACGCTCATCGGGCGGCGACGTTTGTATCAGAGAAGCTGGTCATGATCCGTCAGATGCCCGGCGACAACCTCGCGACGGCCCCGTACCCATCGGCAGAGGAGATACAGCTGGTGATGGAAGATCCCAGATTACAATCAGTGAAGTGTCTGCTGGACCACCAATGGTTTGAACGAGGCTGGGTCATCCAAGAGGCAGTGCTTGCGCGGGACGCAGTCGTTATCTGGGGCTCGCGCATGACTGCCAGGTTCAACTCGTTGATGATCTGTCACGGCTGGCTGTTCCGGAGTTTTCGGGGGATGTACGCCAAGTACAACGTCAACCCCCTCAACGTCCTGTTAAACCTATACCGCTACCGCTTCCGCCAGGTGGCGCGCTGCCTCGGATACAGCTTGGAGACTCAGCCGAGCCTTCTGAGGGTCCTTGACTTGGCGCGCCCGGCAAAATTCAAAAATCCGAAGGACCGCATATACGCCTTTCTATATCTCGATGGTCTCGACCAGCTCGAGACTGCTGTGATGGACACGGCGCCCAGGTTGGCCATCCAGCCGGATTATTCCAAATACGTGGCCCAGGTGTATGCCGACTTCGCGCGCCATTGTTTCAAGACTGGGCAAATTCACGAACCCGGATTCCAGCATTTCACGCATTCGCCGAAGGACACTGGACGGACATCGTTGCATGGACCGGCACCATGAAGTCCTCAGAAGGTCGCCACTCAATGAACGAGCATGGGCCCTGCAAGAAAATTTATTGGCAAAACGAATCGTCCATTTCACCGAGCGCGAATTGCTGTGGAATGTGTTGAAGGCCTGAAGTGCGAGTGCATGGAGGTGGAGACTGATGCCAGTCCTACCGGCAGGCCCGCGGACTGGCTGAGGAAAGACCAATTCCTAGTCAGTCTTCGTGACGCTGACGAAACATCCAGCCTGCAAGAACTTTGGTCGAATCTGTCACATCGATACTCCACTTTGGCTCTTTCATACAAATCTGATTTACTACCACCGCTGTCGGGATTGGCAAAATTGTGGGAGTCTCAAGGTGCCGGAAAGTACTTGGCTGGGTTCTGGGAGGGAAATATCCTTGAGTCTATGATATGGAAGCCGTTTTGCAGCTCAGTAGGCCAGCGTTCAAGAGAGTCCCGATCACCTTCTTGGTCTCCATTTTCACTAGAACGCGAAGACCGCTGGTGTTCCGACGGCATGGCGCACATCGAATTCCACCACCCTTTCCGCAGGTTGACGAAAAAACATGCTGTGGTATTGGACGCAGGAGTCACCGCGGCGGGAGCAGATCCAACTGGGCAAATCAAAAGCGCATTTCTTCAGCTTCAAGGCCACGTAACCTGGGTCGAAGTCTGCCCTAAACCTGTGAACCCGAGGAACAGCGCCTCTCAGCTTGGCAAACAGAATAACAGCGCGTGCATCCAATTCGACATCGAAATGGACCATAGCAAAGGACTTACCCTACTTCTTATCCTCATTGGCGACTCACAACGCGGCATTTCTATAGCACTTGTTCTGGAACGTTCAGGGGATGCTTATCAACGAGTTGGTATTGTTGAGGCTTATGATCAAGACGATAAAGATCAACTTGCAGCTGGCATCAAGGAAACCGTCGTGATTATCTAGTTAGCTACATCATTCATTCTATCAAAGTTTCCAAATGATATGACCTAAGACAGAATAAACAGCTTTTGATTACAACTAACAGACCCTTCCTAGGCTAACACTAATTACGGCTTTCCCAAAAGCTGGCCTTTCCCAGTACAGCCTCATATAGTAGCGCAAACTGAGTTGGGTGCGAGAGGTCCGGTAGCAGTCAATTGCTAACAATGATTAGCCGGAGGGGGGCTGTACGGCAGAGATAGTCCTAATTCGTGCCTGTATAAAGTCGCCTAGCTCATCACCACAGCAGTGCAACTTTACCTAGGTAGCCGGAGAAATAGGACGCACGGGTGCCTGATGACTGTCCGGAAGTTGAGAAAGGTATCGCAAGCCCTGGCAAACGTCCAGCCGCAGGCGACTTGTCAGGCACCATGTGGAATTGGTCATGGAATGCCCCAGCCCAGCCAAGCCTAGCCGGTAGCGGTTAGCGCAGCCTGGACCACCTTCTAGATATACCACTTGATCACCCAATTCCTAGTCAGACGCTGCAGTTATTGGCCTTGTACGCGATGGCGTGCTAGAGCAGACTTTGGTCTCATCCTACGCAACGGCGCCCTTGAAAAGGAACCCCATGGGAGCCTCCTCCAACATGCGGTGCCTGTCGTCGCCTGGGCAGCCTCTGAGCTCGTCCTCCTCCTCACCCTGCCCCTCGCCCATTTGACGAATTCGTGCTTGTTCAGCAAACACTTCTTACCAGCATGTCCGACCCCGGGAAGGTCCCATACGACCATGAGGCCTCGCCGGCCTCGCTCGAGGACCACCACGGCCATGTCAACGAGGACAAGCTTCGCCGAGCCCTCTCGGCCCGCCAGGTGCAGATGATCGCCATTGGCGGCACTATCGGCACGGGCCTATTCCTGGGCACCGGCAAAGCACTGGCGACCGGCGGGCCTGCTTCGCTGCTCATCTGCTACGCCATCATCGGGGCCATTGTGTTCACCACCATGCTCTGCCTCGGCGAGATGGCCGCCTACGTGCCCGTGGCCGGCTCGTTCTGCACGTTTGCGGGCCGCTATGTGGACGATGCATTTGGGTTCGCACTCACGTGGAACTACTGGTTCAACGACGCCGTTTCGACGGCCGCGGACCTGGTCGCCCTGCAGCTGCTTCTGCAGTACTGGACCGACTCATTCCCCTGGTACGCGCTGGGCCTGATCGTGTGGGTGATTCTTGTGCTGGCCAATATCATCAACGTGAGGGCGTACGGAGAGCTCGAGTACTGGCTCAGCCTGCTCAAGGTCGTGACCATTGTCATATTTATCATCCTCAGCATAGCCGTTAACGTCGGGGGCAACACGGACCACGACTACATCGGCGGCCGCAACTGGCATATCGGCGACGCGCCCTTCGTGGGCGGCATCGGCGGCTTCGCCTCGGTCTTCGTGACGGCGTCCTTCGCCTACGGCGGCACCGAGTCCATCGCCATCACGGCGGGCGAGACGCGCGACCCGGCCCGCGTGCTCCCGCGCGTCGTCAAGAACGTCTTCTGGCGCATCCTGCTCTTCTACATCCTCTCGGCCCTCATGATCGGCCTCAACATCCCGTACGACTACCCGGGCCTCAACACAAAGTCCACGCACGCCTCGCCCTTCACCATCGCCTTCACCATGGCCGGGTCCAGGGTCGCGGGGTCCTTCGTCAACGCCGTCATCCTCACCAGCGTCATCTCCGCGGGAAACCACGCCCTCTTCGCCGGGTCGAGGCTGCTCTTCACCCTCGGCGCCAACGGGCACGCGCCCGCGGTGTTCACGTCGCTCACGCGGTTCCAGGTGCCCTGGGTCGCCGTGCTCAGCACGAGCCTCGTCTCGGGCCTGCTGTTCGGCGCGTCCTTCATCGGCGCGGGCCAGCTGTGGACGTGGCTGCAGAACATCGTCGGCGTCTCGAACCAGCTGTCGTGGATCTCCATTGGCGTCGCGTCGCTGCGGTTCCGCGCCGGCCTCAAGGCCCAGGGTAAAGAGCATCTCCTCCCGTTCAGGAACTGGACCTACCCCTGGGGCCCGGTGATCGCCGTCGTGCTGAATAGCTTCCTCGTCCTCGTGCAGGGGTGGAGCAGCTTCAAGGGCGGCTTCAGCCCCGTCGACTTTGTCAGCTACTACATCGAGCTGCCTGTCTTTGCGATCATGATTGTCATCTGGAAGCTGGCTAAGAAGACTAAGTTCAGGAGGGCGCATGAAATGGACCTGGTCACGGATGTATATACAAAAGAGGACATGGAGGTTGAAGAAGACGGTTGGAAAGGGAGAGGGAAGAGGGTCGGGACATGGCTATGTTTCTAAGAAGAAGTGGCATATAGACTTCGTGTCTTCCACCTGGTCACCATAGAGCCTTGAGTAAATTCTATAATTCGCTAATAGGGGGGTATCTTAAAATCACACCAGATCCATCCGTCTAGTTTTCCTCCCTTGAAATTCGTTGTAAACATGCACGCCGTCGTTTAATTCCATCCCTGACTTCCATGTCCTCAGCTGCCAGGAAGTCATCCCAGAACAGCCGCCGAATCTCCACTGCAACTTTCACCTCTCAAGAGACAGCAAGAACCCCGGCCGACCTACGCACCAGGCCCCAAGTACCGCTCGAGGTCAACCCGCCCAAAGAGCTCCCGCTGGAGCCTGTCAGCCCGCTTCCTGTCCTCGGCGGCCATCTTGCGCACCTTCCTGGCGTCGAGAAACTTGGGCCTCTCCTTCTCCTTCTCCTTCTTCTTCGCCGCGCCATCCTTGGGCACCACGACCCCGACCCCCAGTCGGTCCTCCTTGGGCTTCGCCTTGAGGGGGTACTGCGGTCCCTGTCCCGCGCCGAGGCCCGCGCGTGCGTCCGGGTCCCAACCTTGTGCCGCGAGGACCGTCAGGCCCATGCGCGAGCGGTCGAGCGCCGAGGGCGGGTGTGAGTGCGCCAGGCACACCTGGTGGGCTATCGAGGCCTCGTGGGGGCCGGCGAACTTGCGGCTACTGGTGCTTGTGCTTCTACTTGCGTTATCGTCCGAGGGAGTGAGGGGCATGCTGCATATTTCGCAGACTGGGGGTTTGGCTGGCTCCTTGTGTGTTACTGCGGGCTCCGGCTTCTTGAGGACCATGCTCAGGTAGAAATCGCTTATTGACTGCCCCTTCGTCTTGTCTCGTTGCTGCTCTTCCGCCTCTGCGCCTTCATTCGAGGCAGGGACGAACTTGATCTCATTGCGCCTCAGCCCTGAGCCGAAGGGCTTCTTGTGCTGAAGGGGGACATCGCCGAAGTCGTCGAATCCATCATCGTTTTCATCTGCCGTCATCCTGACAGATCTGCGGTTGCCGGTGGCATAAGCAGTCCTCACTCTCTTTTTGTTTCTCTTTTTCGGGTGTTTGTCTAAACAGCGAAAGAAGTGTGTTTGAAGACACGGCGGAGTTTGTGGCAATGATAAGAAGAAGGAAGAAGACGGGCTGAATTCGACGAAGAAGTTGAAGGTGAAGTTGGAAGTTGGAGCCTATTAAGCGCCAAGGCCAATGAGCCACCAAGTCCCGCCACCCCCGGCAGGAACCGAAGCGTTGGGTCCAGGTGCAGGGCCCTTGTTCAGTGGGGGTTCCAAATTTGGGCCCCTGACGCAACAGGCAGATGGAATTCGTGTTTCCCATCCGGCCTGTTTGCGCAGAGCTGTCTTTGCTCAAACCCCTATTCCTTCCCACCGACCTCGACCACTCCCACCACAGAAGCTCCAGATCGTGCGAATCGACATGACACTGCAGTAATCAGTGATCACAGCCCATCCCCCTCGTCCTCACCCACCCGCAGCGCCCGAAAAATGCCGATCCCGTTCCTCATCCACGCCTACAACTATGGCCTGCCGGAGTGGTTCCCGGACCCGTGGAAGCTCGCCGGGGTCACGGGGGCCGTGGGCGCCCTCGCCATCACCAAGCGCTACTTCAACGGCGCCCTGAACCTCACCGAGCGCAACATGCACGGCCGCGTGGTCATGATGACGGGCGGCACCTCGGGCGTGGGCGCCGCCGCGGCGCTGGAGCTGGCCAGGCGCGGCGCCCAGCTGGTCCTGCTCACGCAGCTGCCCGCCTCGGACCCGTTCCTCGTCGAGTACGTCGACGACCTGCGCGCCAAGACCGAGAACCAGCTCATCTACGCCGAGCAGGTCGACCTGGCCGACCTGCACAGCGTGCGCCAGTTCGCGACCAGGTGGATCGACAACGCCCCGCCGCGGCGCCTCGACATGATCGTCCTGTGCGCCGCGACGCTCACGCCGCCCGGCGGCAGCCGCGAGGAGACCCCCGAGGGCGTCGAGCTCACCTGGATGGTCAACTACCTGGCCAACTACCACCTGCTGGCCATCCTCAGCCCGGCCATCAAGGCGCAGCCCTTCGACCGCGACGTCCGCGTCATCATATCCACCTGCTCGAGCTACATCCGGTCGCCGCCGCTGCGGGACGCCCAGGCACACGCTCTGGACAAGAAGGGCTGGTCGCCGGCCGCCGCGCACGCGAGCAGCAAGCTGGCGCTCATGACGTTCGGCCAGGCGTTCCAGAAGCACCTGGACACGTACAAGAGGCCGGACGGCCTGCCCATGAACGCGAAGGTGGTCTTCGTGGACCCGGGTTTCGCCAGGACGCCGGGTATGAGGAGGTGGATTACGAGGGGCTCTCTGTGGGGGCTGTTCGTCTACCTGATATCCTACTTCCTGTGTTGGTTATTCCTAAAGAGCCCGTTCATGGCCGCACAGTCTATTTTATTCGGGGCCTGGGATGGGAGCGTCATCAGGGACCCAGGCGGCAAGATATTCAAGGAATGCATCGAGGTGGACTGCGCGAGGACAGACGTCAAAGACGAGGAGGTTGCAAAGAAGCTGTGGGAGTCGAGCGACAAGCTCGTGGAGACGGTGGAGAAGCAGGCCGCGCTGAAGAGGGCACAGGAGAAGAAGGCACGTGAGGAGAAGGAGAAGAGTGAGAAGGCCGAGCAGGAGAGGAAACAGAGGGCAGAAGAGATCGAGGCGTTAGTCGACACTATCAAGAAGGGAAAGGCCAAGGAGAAGGAGAAGGAGAAAGAAGCTGACAAAAGGACCAAGTACAGAAAGGCCAAATTTGGGCACAAGGCTGTCCAATAATTGGGTATATAGACAATGATATTATTAGCGATGCGAGAGTTCTGCTTCATGCCCTTGTCATGGTCAGTCGTCCTTGAGCCTATACGCCTGGCCAGCGTTCATTGGACGTGCTGTGAATCGAATTGAATTGTGAAAATCCTCAAAGATATTATCCAATAGGACCGTGTTCACAACAGATTTCGCAATATAATGTCATTGACCATGTTTCTCACGGGACCTAGTGAATCCCTGGGCGAGCGATGATGCCGTAGTTACCGCGGCCTATCAATTGCGGGGCTACTAAGATGGCAACACTGAAATGGCTAGGAAGGCGATGAACAATCTCATACACACCCAGGGACACTCTTGATCTCTCACTTGAAGACTGTGAAGATCGTCTGAAAGCAGCTCAACGAATTGCATGACAGTATTCCGAATCGCCCCAACGCCTGGGATTCTCTGCAACGCTGGAACAAAGAAGCACCATCCGCCCGGCGCCATCTACTTCTCACCCATCACAGCATCCAGACCAGAGCCATGTCACAACCCAGACCGCCACCACCCGGCAACATCCTCCCAGGAGGAGCCCCCGCCCTCATACCGCCACAGCTCGTCGCGCCCTTCCAGGCGGCATGGGAGAGGCACGCCCAGCAGGCCCATGACTCGGCCCACCGGCACCCAGTCTTCTTCACGGAGAGGCTCATGCGGCCGCCGCCGGCTTTCGGCATCGGACAGGCACCGAGCTTGGCGATGAGCCCGGTGGCGCAGGGGTACGTGTACCAGGAGGGGCAGGCGAAGGCCACGCACGCCTCGAAGCTGTGACGGTGTGTTGGCAGGGGCGCACGGTTTATTATTTCGAGAGGGCGGTCGAGGGGCTCATCACGTTCTAAGTGCATTCATGCCCCCATTTCGGATCTGGGGGGAAACTGTGTTGGCATGATTCTACGGAAAGATACAATGCATGGCAATGAGAGTGGTGTCGATTTGGCAAAGACAATCATATTCCAGCTCTAGGAGGAGGGTGTTTGGTGCGGGTATCGTCAGGGTGACTGCGGTTGCGAAGGGACATCAATCTGCCTGCGAAGGCAATCAAGTGCTTAAGAGTAAAAGTAATACCTGGGTAGAAGAAAGAGAGTTCCTTTTCAATCCTCAACGGATGTACCCCAGCCATAACGCCAAACCTGCTTAAAAAGGGAAAAACGAGAAAGCCCAGACCAAATCACAAAATGTACAGCGTTTGTAACAGCACCGGAGCAGCCACGGCGTGAAAGCACCCTCCCCAGATCAGACCTTGACAGCAATGATGATGGCCACCACGATCAGGACCAGCACGAGGACCAGCAGCGCCATCAGCTTGACGTTCTTCCACCACATCTCCCTCTTGAGCCCCCTGCTGCGCACGCGGAACTCCCTCGCGGACCCGCCGAGGCGGTCCGTCTTGTCGACAAGCAAATCATGCGCTCGCCGCGCTCGAGCAGGCCCTCGATGTTGCGGGTCATGATGCCGCGGACGTCGTCGATCTCGCGCTGGGCGGTGGTGATGGCGTCGTCCCGCCCGCCGCTGGTGGCGCCGTACTCGACCATGAGCGACTTGAGCTCGGCGTTGAAGGAGCCCGCGCCGTAGTTGGGCAGGTCGTCGTAGGCGGTCGACTCGGGCGGGAACTGCGACAGGAAGCGCTTGCGGATCTCGAACAGGTACCCGAACGGGATCCGCCGCCCCAGCGACGACTCGGCCACCACCAGGAAGGTCAGCCCGCCCGCCGCCGGGGAGGACGAGTGCTCCGAGGGGCTCTCGGCGATGTAGTGGATGTGGTGGTTGCCGTGCGTGTACGTCAGCTTCTGAGGGGTGTCATGGTTGATCTTGGGCAGGATGAGCGACGCGAGGGACGAGGTCTGCGAGGCGGCAGAGGTGGTGCACTCGGCGAGGATGGTGGTGTTGTGGGCGATGCATGAGCTGTGATTTGGGGTCTTGTTAGTCTCGCATGAATTGAAGCCATCACCAGGCCGGAGGGAGGCAGGAAGGGAGAGGGGGGTTACTACTAGAGGAGTGGCGTCGCAGGAGTCGATGAGGAAGCCATTGTGAATGTTGCTTCTGTTCCAGCAGAGTAAGGCTATGCAGTGCTTGCGCCAAGAGGAAATTCTTTGGAAGGGAAGAATACGGTGGGAATAGATCGTCGCATCCGACGACTGTGATGAGGGTTGGGCAATGCTGTTGCTCGCTCACGTAGTGCCCGCCCTGGTTCATGCTCAGGCGGTCATTTAGGCCACGGGGAACAGGGGTCAAGGCTGCACCGCATCAGTGCTCCGTGCTCTGTTGCGATGACGACAACCGTTAATCCCAGCATTATTAGTGGCAGGCATTAGCCATTCCGGGTGTCGGTGACGGGCGGCAAAATCCAAAAAGTTCTGAGGACAAAGCCTCGGGAGCCAGACTTTATTCTGCTTCAGCCTCGCGACGCGCCGAGGTATCATTGACGTACGCCGCAAGGTCTTTCTTTCCCTCCTCTTCTGGGAACACTATGTTTCCGGTGGCCCTCTCACATTACGGCCATGAAGTCCCTTTGGAGAACCGCCTGGGCACTTGAACGCAGATCGCCTGCTCTCCTTCCCGTGCTGTCTGCGGTTCCCATCCCAGCTACCAGGCGAGGTCGGGTTGCTCCGTCCGGACCCCCCAGAGATAGGGGAGGAAATGTGAGTTGGAACTGCCGCCCATCCCGTTAGCCTGCACAACTGACATCCTGTAGCAGCGAGCTCCCGGTTCGCCATCCTACTTGACGCGCCAAAGCCTTCGTTCGGACCTCGAGTCGCAACACGACCAAGATGTCCCCACAACCAACACCAGCCGGTCTAATCAGCGAGATCGGCCTCGCTACTACAAATTCAAGCGTCTAGTTCATTTCCGTTTCGATCAGATGATACGAGAGGATAATTTCAACGACCTAAAGTCGCTTGGCATCAGATCGCGCGAGGATTTATCAAAGGAGGCATCTCTCTTCCGAAACGTGATCGACAAGTCACTCGATTTGGCCACACGATCGGGACGTATAGGAAGACAGGAAAACCCGTTCTTCTGGAGCTGGCGAAATGCGTTCGTCGCCGACGACATCAGGGGCCTCTCAACTGAGCTTAGGTACTCGTTCACCAGTTTCATCGTCAGGCAACACCTGTCAGAAGAGGCCATCGCTTGTCACGAAAAGATTGCCGATTTCCGCAACCCTCACGAATGGTTCCCGGCCACGAGGGCTATGCAGAGAACGATACATCTGCATGTGGGCCCAACAAATTCCGGAAAGACCTATCACGCCCTGAAAGCATTGGAAGAGGCCAAGACTGGCATCTATGCTGGACCGCTACGGCTTTTGGCTCACGAGGTCTTTTCACGGTTCCAGGCCAAGGGCAAGCGCTGCGCTTTGATCACCGGAGAGGAGCAGAGGATTCCCGAGGGCGATGAGAGCTACTTCGCAAGCTGCACGGTCGAGATGACACCTCTCAATCAACGTGTTGATGTTGCCGTGATCGACGAGATTCAGATGATCGGGGATGAAGAGCGAGGGTGGGCCTGGACCCAAGCACTTCTGGGCGTCCAGGCAAGAGAGCTGCATCTGTGTGGCGAAGAGCGAACTGTGCCTCTCATCAAGTCCATCTGCGCTAAAATCGGAGACGAGGTCGTGGTCCATAAATACAAGCGTCTCAGTGGCTTGAAGCCCATGCAAGATAGTCTGAAAGGCCGCTTCGAAAACCTGCGCAAAGGCGACGCGGTCGTGTCCTTCTCGAGACTCAACCTCCACACACTCAAGGCTGGCATTGAAAAGGCAACCGGCAAAAAGTGTGCCATCGTCTACGGGTCTCTACCACCTGAGATTAGAGCTCAACAGGCTGCCCTTTTCAATGACCCCGATAACGACTACGACTATCTCGCCGCGAGCGATGCCATCGGCATGGGGCTCAATTTGGAAATCAAGCGAGTGGTCTTCGAAGCTGTTGCCAAGCACGACGGCACAAAGGTTCGAACGCTGACATTGCCCGAACTCAAGCAGATCGGCGGCCGCGCAGGGAGGTATAGGACGGTAGCGCAGGCAGCTCAAGCCCCTGCTGCTACACCGACATCACCTACGTCAAGCGAAGATCTGGCATTTACATCAAAGACCCCTGCCCCGAAGATGGGACAGGTCGGCCTCGTGACCACACTGGAAGAAGTTGATCTAGAAGTCGTTCATGGCTCGTTCGAAAACGAAGCAGAGCCTTTGAAGACGGCGGGGCTTTTCCCACCCGCCTCCGTCATCGAGCGCTTCTCTTCCTACTTCCCAGCCGGGACACCATTATCCTTCATACTGCTTCGTTTGAGAGACATTGCGCGGCTCCCACCTCATTATCACATGGCCAATCTCCGGAATAACTTAGGGATCGCCACCCACATACAGCCCATTCCGATGAGCGTTCGTGACCGGATCATTTTCCTGAATGCGCCAGTAACGCTGAAAGATAATGGCATGAGGGAGTTCCTCAAGGCTCTGGGGACCCGCGTGGCGAATCACGACCCCGGCAAACTGCTCGATTTCAAGGAGCTCGACCTGGAGATACTTGACTACACCCGCCAGAGCTACCCACACGGTCGCGTCGAGTACCTGAAACATCTGGAGGCCCTGCACAAATGCCTGACGCTGTACTTGTGGCTGAGCTACCGCTACGTTGGCGTCTTCCAGAGCCAGGCTCTTGCTTTCCACGTCAAGTCGATGGTGGAAGAGAGGATAGACGAGTATCTAGCCAACCTGGACTACTCGCCCGAAGTCAGAAGGGTGCGGGTGCAGCAGATGCGGATGGAAGCTGCCAAGAAGGCACGCGCTGCGAGACGGGTTTTCGATGAAGACGGGGACTCCGGTCCCGAGCAACAACAGCAGAGAGTTGGTGACTGGCCTGCGGAGGGCCATGAGGAGCCGCTCCTCAACGGCTTGGGCGAGGCGGAGAAGATCCCGCCTACGCGTGAGGTTACTCCATGAGCCGATGCCCACTTCCCCTGGCCGCATTGGCATCAGTGAACGGATGGGAGCATATATGTTTGCAAATTAGATATGTACGGCTTGAATGGATGGTCACGACGGAATAGATGAGGGGCCATACCAGCACTGTATTATATACATCTAGACTTTGCAAATGAGAATCACACTTCAAGGTGATACCCTGAAATAGATATGAAGGAGCATTTCATCGTGACTTGTTCTGAAGTTGGCAAGCACTTCGTAGGTGAATGGACTTCCTTATGCCATGGCTCACGAGAGAGATCGCCCACGCTGGATGTCGCAGCGGTTGCAGAGTGCCGACGCGCATGAGACGCGACTGCCTGGATTGGTGGGGCACCAGTGTAAGTGGTATGAGATCATCCCGCAACCCCACCAAGAGCTTGGAGCTTCCTCTCCTCCATCTCGAACCTTTGACAGTCTGGGGAACACAAGCAACTACCTACTTTCAGTCCAACCCATCACAAGCACAAGTAGACACAACGACCCCACTCCCCAAAACCAAAACATGGCAGAGACAACACCAGCAGGTGACGTCGGCCGCGTCGCCTTCATCCCGCTCGAGGCCAACCCGCAGCTCATGAGCGACCTGCTGCACAAGCTCGGCCTGTCGGCGGAGCTGGGCGTGCACGACGTCTACAGCCTGCACGACGCCGACATGCTCGGCTTCGTGCCGCGGCCCGCCCTCGCCCTGCTGCTCGTCTTCCCCGTCTCGGCCGCGTACGAGAGCTACCGCCTCGCCGAGGACGCAACCATGCCCGACTACGCCGGCAAGGGCGACGGCGAGCCCGTCGTGTGGTTCCGCCAGACCATCCGCAACGCGTGCGGCCTCATGGGCCTGCTGCATGCCACGGCCAACGGGCCTGCTAGGGAGTTCATCCGTGAGTGCCACATGCCTCCCTGTCTCCCTTAAACCCCCCTCCCCCTCTCACATACAGCCACATACTGTGAGGCACTGACGCACCACCCGCCACAGAGCCCGACTCGGACCTAGACAAGCTCCTCAAGGAGGCCGTCCCCCTCCCGCCGGACCAGCGCGCCCGCCTGCTCGAGACGTCCCGCTCGCTCGCGCAGGCGCACCACTCGGCTGCCAGCCAGGGCGACACGGCCGCGCCGCAGGCGACCGACGACGTCGACCTGCACTACGTCTGCTTCGTCAAGACCGCCGACGGCACGCTGTGGGAGCTCGACGGCCGGCGCAAGGGACCGCTCGAGAAGGGGAAGCTGGAGAGCGGCGAGGATGTCTTGAGCGAGAAGGCGCTCGCGCTGGGGCCGCTCAAGTTCCTGGACAGGGCGGGCGAGGACCTGCGGTTCAGCGCTGTGGCGCTTGCGGGGAGTGTGGATTAGGGGGATATGCTGTTGTGTTGGTTTTTGCTTTGCTTCTTTTTTTCTTTCTGTTTTGAGAGCGGCGGTTGCTTTGGTACGACGCGCGGGTACTACATTTGTGGCCCGGTGGGATGGCTGTCCTCGATTTCCATCAATGAGGCGCGAAGGTGGATGATATGCGTGCGGCGCTGGCGGTATATGCAGGTCTCGATGATCTGCATGCTGTGCTTTCGAGTTCATTGGAGCGTCCCCGGCGTTAATAGGTCTAGTGGTCATGGAAAAGACAACACCTGCGACATTCAAGGGCCAGACGGATGGTCATTCTCGAATTACAATATCTACCGAGACCGAGCTGACTCTTCTCACGCTACTTCTGGAACCTCTTGGTGAATTTCTGCTGAACTCGCTTGCGACTGGGACTCAGACAGAGGAAAAGCAGCACAAGGGCCCGCGCCGGAGGCGCGGATCGGAAAAGCAGAGCTCGACGGAGATGACGGCTCCGGACTGCACGTTGCAAATGGAGACACTCACTAATTTGCTTTTCTCAAGCATGGCACGCGCCACGCCTTTTCAACATGGAGAAGTAAGCAGGGATGGGTGGAAAACGTTCGATGAGAAAAGACGGCCTAGGTGGTGAGGTTACCGGTACAACTGTGGAGTGTACAGGGTGAAGCTCAGCCCATCAAGTCTTTGAATCACTTCCAAGCCAATCCCGACAACAATCTTTGGTCTCGACCCGTCCACCGTCCCCAAGCGCACCCATCCCACTCCCATCACCCCGTCCCAGCGTCTCGCCCGGCGGCGAGACTGCCCCGTGAAACGTCGCGCTCCGGCCCAGTGGTCTCGCCCTCGTCGTCCGCGAGCGCCGGGTCGGGGGAGAACAGGCTCGACCGGCGCGGGGAGGCGGACCTGGTGCTGCTCATACCCGAGGTCTCCTCGGACGAGTCTGTCGTGCTGTAGTTGCGGCCCACTACTGAGGAAGGGGTCGGGGGCTTCGAGGGTGCGAATTGTCGCCGGAGAGAGGGCGGTCGAGACGGTCTGGGCTCGTCGCTTTCCAGAATGTCATTTAGGGAAACCTGTCGAGGTGATATTAGACATGTGATGCCCTTGGCCTAAGGGGAGGAACTTCCTGAGGGTAGTACTTCACTCACAGTCGCGAAGGGCTCCGGGGTGCGGGCGATGCTGTTGTGTCTCCGGGCCGGAGGAGGTGCATTACCAGGTGGTGTGAAGTTCGGTGACACATGGCCAGGCTAGGACCGTGGTGGCCGACTTGATCCATCTGGTCCGTTCTTCTGTTCCGGGATCGCCATGGCACTCGATTCTCTAGAGGTAGGGCGCGGTGTTGTCTTGTCAGTTCTCTTGGCTGGCTTGGAGTTTCGCCCCAAGTACAGCGCTCCAGAGAGGTGCATTTCGTGATATGGATTCTAGGTTTAGGGCGATATGCATAAAAGTGAAACTCTAGGTGCCCAGTTAGGAAATTTTAGGTTCAGGATGACATCAAGGGAATGTTCTTGAAGAAGACATTGTGTTCTAGAGTTGATTGTTGACATCTCACCTGTCCACTGAGACGTTGAAAGCCATTCGAGAGCCTGCACTTGTGGAAGGAGCCTTCCACACACTAGAAAGGCCTACTCACACGTCTCGAGTGACTCTCTTGATGCGATACATGCTGCAGTCAGGCTGTGAGTCTCGGCACCTTTCATCGTAACAGTCATCACGGATCGCATTTTCCAGACGATTTCGCAAAACTAGCATCCGAGTATGTAGTCCTGAGGAGCAACTTGAACGTTGAGGTAGTATCACACAGTGCTCGGATATATGACACACCACTTTCGCTCAGTCACTGGGACAGTGAAAGTATAAAAGGTGACGGAGAAGACAGGGCTCAGACTGCTTAAAGGTTCATCCAGGGCATCCCTTTGAGTGATTGATTGTCAAACTCAAACGGTTCGGGAGGCCCCGAGGCAAATAATAGACCAGGTGAGACATCTTGGTGAGAGCCTTCGGTCTTCGACGGTGACGAACTTGCAGCGGTTTAAACAGTTGCCATCCAGGCCCAGGAGCTTGTTGACGAGCCTCCCTGGCCCTGCGACGCAGGTGTCGGATGTTCATCCCGAGCGTTTCTGCCCAAGTTGATCAAGATTTAGGGAGCCAGGCTCGCTACCGAAACTCGATCTGGCTGCCCGTCGACTACGAGAATACGACGCTGTGGTCGTATCGCCGTGGATCCTTCCCGCTTGGTGGCCTACGTAGGCGACACGGATGTTGACGAGCTTTCCGGCACGATGTAGCGACGACGTTCATCCCAAGTCGAGAGGACCAGGCCCTGAAACGCCTGCCCATCCGTGTCTACGGGCGCTAATAGTAGCTCGATGCCATCACATGTTTCGAGGTTCGACAAAATGTGGTTGAGCTCGGACGGCGGCGACATCAGTGCAAACGGAAGCGAAGTTTGCTCATGACTAGTTGACGCAGATAGGCATCCAATTGGATCTCGGCCGCCACAGTGAGGTCGCGCTTGCGATAGTGGCTGTGGATAAGCCGTGCTGGTGCGAGCATCTCGTGCTGCGCTCGAGCTGGGCTTTCGGAACCGGCTGGTGAGAAACAATGGACTGTGCTGCTGGATAGTTTGTTGCGCTCGAGCTCTTGGACGTGAACCCACGTGGCAAGCAAATCAAAGTTTGCAGAAAGACTTACCCGAGCTCCTGGCTAATTTCCCAACGTCGGTGAGGTGGTTGGGAGAAAGCAAGTATGGAGTACATGGATAGGTGAGCGTAAGTTCACGCAGCAGAACGATAGGATGGGGGAGACTGCTATCCCGTGTGCTTGGGCGCGAGGACATTTGATTGAGAAGAATCACAACTGCTGTCGAGGCCTCAATTGTTTTTGTTGATGGCATGCAGGTCTTCGCGTCTTTGAAGCGGGGCTGCAATCTGCTTTTCGTTTTCATCTCCGGTAGCCTCGAGCTGACAGGTTGGATGGCTTCGTTGACGGCCGCCATTATCATGACCAAGGCTGGGAGGGGCGGGCTGTACTACCCATGAAAATCTGGCTGACCTAGCTGTGCGATGTCAAGGTTCGGTTGTCGAATCATGGGTTCGGTTGTCGAATCATGGGCGAGGATACTTTTGCCATGATCGGGAAGTTCTTTGCGTCTTCCTCGTTTGTGCCTGGTTGCGGACAGCCTAGCAGCCAGCCCAGCAGCCACAGCCTCGCTACTCGTTACCGGGTCGCTGGTTTTGTGTGCATTCTGCGCATCAGCTGTGCTTGTGGTGCGCGAGACACGAGATACAGAGGCAAGAGTCTGGCTCGCTGGATATGCAGACTAAGGTTGGCCTGGTCGTGAAATCTGGTTGCATTGTCAGTTTCATCTCCATGCATGAAGTCTGATCAGAGTCTCGCTGTCCGTCGAACTCTCTACCACGGTTCTGTGCTGTGGGGAGTCCAGTAACAAAAGGCGAGTTCAGGCCGGGGATCCAACGCCGTCCTGCGAATCGGTACGTTGAGAGATGCTCGTGTGGAGTGGGCCGTGGCCTTCCCTGCTCATCACGTTCACTGCTCGGCCAGCGCCCCTGTCCCTGCACTGGGGAAAGAAGCAGACGGAGACGCAGGCGCGGTTTGTGGACTACAGATTGTAAGGATGGAAGCTTCTTCCTAGCCCTTGCGTCAATCGTTAATCGTCAATCGACACTCGATCTCCGACGATCCAAGCCTTACCAGATCGGTGGTAGCGCAGGGATGCGAATGCCCTGGCCTTTCTGAATGAGGAAAGTACGGCCTAGCGACGAGATATTGCACACGAACCTCCTTCCTCGTTATGGACTTGAAGTGCACAACAGGGTCGAGGTGAGAATTTCTCTTCCATTAGTCAACGAGAAGAAGGCAACGAATGGGGATATAAATCAATCAACCGTCGATTCTGGCCTCGCATTTGTACTGTGGATGGCAATCAAGACAGGAAACTTGCTGACCCAGACACGCAGCGACCGAATCAGGCAAGCCAAAGTAGGTGGGTGAGGTGGGTTTCATGGAAGGAGCAGGACGGCATCAATATCAGCATCCGTCCATCCCTCCTTGTTGCCCAGAGACAAACAGGGCAGTTGCCTAGTCCAGCAGAGATTTCTCCGATCGAATCTTGGGTTTGGTTGCAGAGGAATGACTGGCGTGGTTTCCCAAGGGAGACTTTTAATGACAGCTCACAATCAGAAGGTCATCCTCGGAAGAGTTCCAGGTCCGAACACGGCAGACTTCACAATTGACACTGTAAATGATGATAGGCTTTTGTTTGTCTACAGACCACACTCGACCTCGAATCTCCCCGATGCCGAGGCCTGAGGCTGAGGCTGCACGACACCGGCACAAACACTGGTGGCACCTCAGAATTAATGTTGCCCATGCATGATTTCTCTACGATGAGGTCTTCTGGTGGCTGGCCTGAGCTGTTTTTATCCGTGGCTGACCTAGCGGACAACGCTGCCTTACAGACGTTGGTGGGGGGGAGGGGGTGTTCGTGCCAGCACGAACAACGTGGCAAATGAACGACCACTATTTTTTTCTTCTTCTCTTCTTCGCACTCTCCTGCTCGACACGGGACGGCTATTATTACCAGGGTGGGACTTCGCGTCGACACCATTTGCGCATCCGCGCCCCTCTGAGACAGGATAGGGCTACTGCAGGTCCGCTGCCGTCGGGCGGATGCGACCAGCACCGCTTCCTGGTGGATTGCAGCTCACCCACAAGTCTTCCTCTCGTGCAACCCACATCAAGTCGACGGAGGTTGTGTTGCCTGCAAAGACGCTCAACCATTCCAAGTCCAGCCTGTCACATCGGCTGGTCTTCGCAATGCTGTGCAGCAGCAAAGGAAGCGATGGAAGGTCCGAGGCAATGAATGCAACGCTCCTCCGCCTGCAAGCAATCGCGCGACTAATATCGTGTCGGGTTACACCTTACCACCTCGCCTCTGCATCACGCACTGCAGGCCGGGGGCGATCAGGAGCCATTACCACAGTACTCGCGTTTCGTCACGGTCCACAATCCACAATCCAGCCTTGCTGCCCTCGAGAGTGCCTTGGACGGGGCTCCAGTGGCCATCGGGACTTTAGTGGGCACGGACTATGGGGACATCACATCTCATCACAGGCCCATCCGCCTCCTCTTCCCGGATCGCCGTTGGCATTCCCGCGTGCTCTGCTGCACAGTCTAAACAAGCGCACCTGGCAGGACGGGCGGTGCGAGTCAGACTGGGAAACCGCCCAGAATTGATGCAAGAAAACCTCCTGTCATCAACACGGAGTCTGCTGTGGGGCAATTATTCTTCGCTTTTGCTGCTTTGCGCATTCAGGAAGGCCCAAAGACAGAAGCGATTCCTGCCGTAGCACCCTAATGGCAGTCTGATCTCATTGCCCCTCGGCCCCCTGTCCTTGGCATGTGTGGGTGGATGGGTGAGTCTCCTCCTCCGACCCCAACCAACATGTCACTTTCTGGCCCCGGATCCTTGTTCCTGGATCTGCAATGAGGCGCCTCGGCCCCTGTCCCACACTTGCACTCCCGGCGACAGGTCCCCAATGACCTCCCTGCCTCCTCTCAACCTGCGGCTTTGCGCCTCTCGACTTGCACCTGGCGGCCGTGCAGTTCAAATGCCGCTTTGCCGGTGCGCAAACGCTCCCTCTTGGGGGCTTCTAAATGGCCAAGCTTGGGCTGGGGCTGGGTGTCCAGCAGCGAAGACCCCTGGTTGTTCTCGATCACCTGGGAGATCTCGGTTGCGTGCGTGCGCTGACCCCTCTACCGAGATAGCTGCACTTTGACCTATACCATCCCCCCCTAGGCTGGAGATGGTTCCATCCCGGCCCTCGCTCCAGCCTGTTTCCCTCTGGCTCACTTGCGAATCAGACCCTGCAAAAGCTGTCAAACACGACTCCTGCCCCTGCAGGAACGGTTGGACAAAGGGACCCCTTCCACACCAGCTGGGAGATCCAGGTCGCTCATCTCATAGCTATATATCACCGGGCCGCGCCAATGGTGCTATTTGTGGTACTGAGAGCTGCTCCGTTTGTCGTAACCTGCGTATCCTTCCCGCCCGAGTCGTCGTCTTGGGACCCTTTTTACGCTCTAGTCCTATACTCGACCAAACTCGGACTCTTCGTACCCTTAGAAGCAACTGAAATTTTCCTGTCTACCTGAGTTTTTTTGTCCTATTTTCAGCTCGGTATCCGTTTGGCATGATGGTTCACACATTTATCCGTCATTAGATCGCCGTGTTCTATGGAGCTGGTACTTCCCAGGAGAAAATAGGCCGAGGAGCAGGTAGCCTCCCTCTTCCGATAAATTTATTCCGTTGGCTTGCTTTTTCTCTCCGCGATTTAAACCTCCTCCTTGCGCCAATATTTTCTTTCCACCTTCCTCTTGCTTGACCAGAAGTCCAGTCATCTCAAAGTCACGCCTCACGCACGCACATTCAGTGCGTCATTCTCAACCCACTCGTCACTCAACGGAATTTCTCGAAGGGTATTGCTTGAGGCTGTCCTACCTGGGCCACGCCTCTCGTATTGGCCTAAAGTGCCTGAAGTTGTGACCTTCACGGATCGCCCTCAGGCCGCGTACATGGCCTGTGTCTGCGACCATGGGTCTGCTGAAGATCTTCACCAGGAGATCAAGCAAGGCCAAACTTAAAGGACACGATACGCAGTCCCACGTGGAGATCCCTTCACAAGGTCAGTCATCGTTTTCTTCATTCTCCCTGGTGTCTGGGAAAGACTGCTCACTCGACACATCGCACAGAACCTCAACATGCACTCCAGCATGAGCCAGACGTTCCAGCCACTTCATCACAGCAACAGCCAGACTTGTCACCAAAGGCCCCGGACCCGTTAGACCAGTCCGAGACATGGGACTCTGCCTCAGCCCCGGCTCCTTTTGTTCCTCGCCACCCGAGCCTTGTTGTTGAAGAGCGACCGCGGACTGCAGCTAGCATTCGAAGTTTGAGTCGAGATTGGTCACAGTTCCCAACCCGTCCGAAGCGGGAGCCGAGGAGACCACCCGTGTCCTTCAAGAAGCCCAGTCCTTTGGCCTCGATATCCAATGCCTACGAGAACACAGCCCAGGCTGGGGAGCACGAGACCGATATCAACTCTCTACTGAGGCTGCGCAGAACCAATGTCTCGAGATCCAGCCTCGGGAGCATAAAGTCAAAGGACATCCTTGATGCTCAAGAAGAGATACGCCCAACCGATTTCCGAAGCCGGGTGCAAGCGACCGGGGCACGGGACTACGGAGAGGATGTAGCGGATCGCAACATCACTCGACACAGGGATGGGACCCTCAGTCCTACACCAGATCCTCGGCAGATGAGCAACCGCACTAAGTCGCTCAGCTCCTCCAGCATCTTCCCCCGTGTCACCGACCCCCGTGATTTCCAGGCCCTGGGCCCCCCTTTGACGGAGGTGTCGTCGCCAGAGCCTGTTGAGCTACACTCATTCTCGAGTCGCAACAAGCGGCGACTCTCCTTGAACACCTACGTCCCTACCGGCATGGTATCACCACACGCACCGATATCCGTCACGACATCTCCCAATTTAATGGACGACGTTGCTTCCAAAGACTTTGCGCCTCCGGCTGAAAATCCAGGGACAGAGACTGTGGCTCGACCAAAGGACCTGTCACCGACAACGAACAACTTTTCTCGCCCACGGTCACCCCGAAATCTTCAGATCGCAACTACGCAGGGGAATATAGCACCTTCTCATAGGGACCATGCCTTCGACGGCAAAATTGCCGAGGTTCTAGCATCTGGCAATGTCAGTTCTTCCGACATATCGAGCTATCAACGGACGTCAAATCAGAGTATTGGCCACGCCTCTCTTCCTAGATCGCCCGGGAGGCAGAGCTACCAAACCCTCAGATCTTCCTTCGCTTCATCCATACTAAGTCGCTACCCGTCCACCGATTTAACACCTCTTGGCTACCCAACCGCAAAACAAGCTGGGACCCACGTCGACCCCAACGTGGCTTTTGGTGACATTGACACCACGGACGGGAGAGCTCAGTCCTCATGTAAGCACCAGGTTGTCATCGTCCTGATTTGAAACGTACTGACCTTTTTAGTTTCGCACCGGCACTCGAGATCCAATGACAGTGAAGACCAAATAAGCTACCACAGGACCAAAAGCCTGGGCTTTTTGTCTTCTCCACTCGAGGCTGATGAACAGAGCACTGTCCAATCTGGCAGTGTACGCAACTGGTCTCTCTCGGAGGCCTCAAGATCTGATACAACAGGCCACTCAAATGTATTTTCTGCAGCCAGTGGTCGATCCCATTCCAGACACACGGCAAATACGTCCCTCGATTCCAAGAGCGCAGAGAGTTTCATCACGGCCAGCAACGGCCAGCACGGCAGTGACTGGTCCCCGGTCACGAATCGGTCCAAGAACTTCAATATCGATGACTATGTCTCTTCTGACGACGACTCCTTCACAACCGAGACAAAGCGGGCACGATCTACCGCTCAAGGTGAGGAGGATCTGCTGTTCAAGCCCGGATATGGAATCACGGGCGCAGCTCTGCCGGGCTTGGAAGCTCTCGGAGAGGAGGATGAGTATTCCACTGTCTCAACAAAGAACAACAGGAATAATTCAGTATCATCGGATGGTTCAGTTGCCGTGGCATCAAGTCCAAAAGACAACAGATATGGAACGCACCAGGATTTATCACCAGCGCTACGTCACGTGCGGAGCGATCCTGAGGAACTTTACATGAGCACCTTTGGGAGGTTTTCCATGCGAGACCGTACGAGGCCCTCGACGGCCAATCCTTGGGCGGCAAACGATGAAGATACAAATGCAGCAGTGGATCTTGACGAGTCTTATACACCATCTACGAGCAGCATTGACAGCGACGATCCTCGTTCTGACGGGGACTTAAGGTCCACAGTGGGCAGCCTCGGGGGTTTTCGACCACAGCGGAGCGAAAGCAGCTTCAGCGTGTATTCCATCGGCGGCACCGTTACGACAACCATCACTGGCGGAGCCAACGCAATGGAAAGAGATACCTACGACGACGTGCGCGCGCCGCGACGAGGTCTGAAGCGACTCTCGGCGCTGGGGACCCTCTACGGAAGGAGTATGGGCTCCTTCGGCTCGGCAGACCGGAGGCCCGCTACCACATCAGACGGTGCAGCCAGAGGGGAGATGAAGACGGCCGACATCATCAGACGGAGGAAGGAAGACAAGACAAGGAAAAGGTCAGACCTCGGTCTGAGGAGTATCCGGGAAAAGAGAATGACCGAAGCCTTTGGTCGTCCCGACAATGATGGAATTGCGAGGCTGAGGGAGCACTTGAGAGACGACGAGGAGATGTGGGAGCTTGAGAGCTAATTTAAGACCTGAGTGACGAAAAGGGACTCGGAGGGGTGGTCGCAATGGACCATGTTGAAGTTGTCCTTCACAGCGGAACAACCTGGGATAAGGTGGTTCATGCACGTTGACTTCAGGTTTGAGAGCTTTGCTTTCCACGTGCGATTGCGCTTCCCGGATTCAAGGACAGTAAGGGCCAGCATTGTACGATAAACTCTGCTTCTTTCTGGGAAAATATGGCTGGCAAGCGTTGGCGTTTTGTGCCTCTTGAGTAGGATAGAAAGGAGGGGTACCGATACCTTGATGAAGGAAGGGGACGTAAAACTGGCGTTGGGGTGTCTTATGCCGACCATCACTGGTATGCCATTGACGAATTGAGGAAGTTCAGCGCACTACGCACCACGTTTCACGCCTCACACGCGATATGAGAGGGTTGCCCGACGATTTAGAAGCACGCGTGTCGGCTCTATCACGCAGTGATAGTGATACTGATCATGCCGTCCCCTCATTCCACTGCTCCTGTAGCACCCAGCTTATCCAGGACGATAGTTGCACAACTTGCACAGTCTACACGAGCTCACATTTGGGAAACATGAAAAATTCTCGTTCTCTTCTCTCCCTTCCTTTCGTTGGTGAACATCATGCCCGTCTTCCAGCGATAATCTCTCAAGAAATTTAAGCACAAAGTGGTATTTACTATTACAATATTCTTATGTGTGCATTAATTATTTACACTATTGAAAGCTGCCACTTGCAGATGGTCCAATGTCATCTATTGATCCGCCCAGACCCACAACGCATTCAAACTCTAGGCGTTAAAGTAGCAGGTGGCGTCCTCAGTGCCGCCGAAGGGCTGGTTGTTGATGATGTGGCCGCAGGTGGACTGGCCGCTCCAGGTGTTGTAGTCGTGGCCGTTATAGGAGAAGGAGATCTGTGGTGCGGCGGGCGGGCCCCAGCAGGCCTTAACCACGATGTTGGATTTGAACTGGCCGTCGGCGACGGTGCATTGCTGTTCGGCCTTGTTAGCAACGGGGGAGAACACCATCGATCTCCAAAAAAAAAAAAAAAGGGGGGGGGGGACAAAAAGGAAAGGGTGTTACTTACGTAGCAGTTCTTGTCGGTCCACGGCTGCGTGCAGGGGAGGTCGGTGTGGTCGACGCCATCCGGGCCGCGGTACTTGAGATTATTCTGGAAAAATGCTTCGCTCGATTCGGGCGTGTTGGGATAGGTGCCGGACTGCGTGTGCAGGACGACGTAGGAGTTGCCCGACTTGTCAGAGGGGTCGCGGGCCCGGAGCTGCTGGCCGGCGAGTGGGGACGCGGCGGCGATGGCGGCGCCGGCGAGGACGAGGATGGAGGACAGATGCATCTTGACTGGCTGGGAATCAGAGGATCCGAAGAAGGTGGATATAAAAGAGTGGGATGCAGGGTTTGTTGTGTGGCTTGATTTATGAGTATGCTGAAGTGCTAATGATCAACTTGATCTGCTTCCAAATGATCTAATGGATTAATGAGAGACAGAAGGCCTCTTTATAAGCTTCATGTCCTCTCAGTTATTATCCATTGATAATTGATGTACGGACTTCAACTCCGTGCCCATCGTTCGAATTATTTCCAAAGCGGAAGATATCTTGAAGCCTGCTGATCCGACCCGCTCATAGAATCCTACAGTTCGTGACATTGCTCCGCTCGACGGGACTAAGCCACGTCGAATCTACTAGTATACTGTGGCAGTACTGTGGTAGGCAGCAGGCTTCCAAATTATCTGTCACTTCCGCCAGTTGACGGCGACATGAATGTTAATGATCGTGTAGTATGGCGGTAAGGGATACCATGTCCTAAAGGTGTAAAAGGCCATAGCCCATAGGAAGAGAGTTAGTAGTATTGAATCCAGTCCAGAATACTATGTGTACTGTAACGTGTATAGCAATCAAGTCAACTTCATGCAATACCGGCGCGATGCATAACGTCCACGCTTATGGACTTGATGAATTCACAGCAGAAGAAGTCCTCACCACAGTAAAAGGAAGCCTGCCCCGGATTGTTTCCGTGAGCGTGGTCAACAGGAATTGTTTACACCCCTTTTCAGAAGTGGCGGAGAATGTTGAAGGCTTGGTGGCTCCATTGCGGAGCTCAACTGAGAGACCAATTTACCATGGGCAGTCCAGGCTGCCAGGGAGGCTCTGTTTTCTCCACGACAGTTGCTCCAGTGGGGCTCAAAAAGTCTTAACACACTCGAATGATCACCACCCCACCCAGACGATCACCATTGCACTATAAACTAGAACCTGCAGCCTGATGAATCCTTTGAGGCAAAAGCTACAGATGGGAGAGGTTGTTTCTCGAAGGGGTTAAGATTGTATCCGAAAGTTGCTTACATCACTCTTCCTCCTTTCGCTTTCCCCGAAGATGGTAGCCCTTGTGTGATCCCCTCTGAAGAGGTAGATATATTGTTGCACCCACTGAAGAGGTAGGTGCTGGTTCAGCAAGCCGGTATTGGTCACACCCTTTCTGTAAACTTCGTCCGAAGATATGATGCCAAACGCCCTGAGATACATGCTTGTTTGGATGGCGGGTTGTGTCATCTGCAGCGGCACCGTAACTCACATGGTAGATGCCCGCCCAGTTTCGTAGATACAGCGCCTGAATTCTTTGCGTTGGTGAAGTCCGATATGAATGCGTGCTGCTGAATGGGAAGCGGCAAAAATCATCCAGCTTTTGGAGTTGACCTCGGCCTCATAACATATACGTGAAGAGCATCTCAATACCGTAATGTGCTCTAAGGCAAATGAGAGGACATGATTGCTATCGAGTTCGACTCTAGAAATTTTAAAATGCCATGGCACAGGTCATCAAGAACCCATCCCATCAGGACAACGGGACAGTCCTCGTCCTCGCATATACATAGATTGGAGGCAATTCGGTCATGCTCGACAATGCCAATTTGACCACCACTCACTTCCCTGTCAAACGAAATTGTCCAGGAAGAGGTTTCAGGCAGGAGACGGACATTCCAGGGCTTGGGAGAATTAGCATGGTACCTGCGGATTCCTTGAGATCCACTGAGCAGATTTCCAAGTTCAGTGATCCAGGTTCCAGAATCGTCACTGCTCAAATAACAATATGAATGTGACACGGCTGCTTCCGCGTCACTGCCATGTTTTTCAGTTAGTTCCGTGTCGTGATGAGTCTCCGGAGCTCGCCGTGCTCCTTTTGAGGCTTGCCGGAGAAGAAGCTTAAGCCGGCTTGCTCCTTGACGAGAAGCGCGTCGGCTCTGCGGTATTAGCACTAGCACAGTAGGTGTTCACATTCCCTTGCATAAAGGTGACAACGCTCATTTTACTGGGCTATGGGCGTTCAGGCACTGGAAGTCGCCCATATCAGGGGTATGTTAATAGCTAGAACAACCGGTGAAGGGGTCCAAGGCATCAGGAAGCAGGTAGACAATCCGCCATCAGTCCTGAAGCATTGTATCCGCTGATGGCTTTCTCAAACACCGCCCCCTCCCCACCCTCCCGCGGCGAAGACTCCCTACGAATGTGAACATATGGGAACTGGCTACTCTTGGGCCGTGGTGGCTAGTACCCTTATCGTAGAGGCTCAAGTCACCGCCTAGAGAACCAACAGAAAGTGCCCATGGTGTTTAAGATATAAGCTCCATTTCTGTTGTGCAAATATTGGCGTCACCTCTTGGGAAAAGAGTGGAAGCAGACCTGATAGTATAACTGCACATGCCAACAACCAGAGCCCACTGTCATTTAATATGCTTGGTCATCTGTTGCGCCTCATTTGTGTAGTGTGTTTATAGCCCAGAGTAGAACCAAATTACTCGAGATGATCATGTTTTTGAGTAGTGTTGAGGGGTATTCTGACTGTTACAGGGGACTTACTCGGCAGCCACGACAATAAAGTAACAAAAACGCAGGCCTCATGGTATTTCCTTCTCAGCCCCGATGCAGCCCCGTCTCCAAGATACGCCACATGCGTGACACCCCCGTTTCCCGCATCCAAGTCTCCCTCATTACATCCTCACCAACCTAATCCGCAGATCTCCATCTCACAACCAAAACCCCATCTCGCATGCGGCCCTCCCTCTACCGCTTCTTCCCCAGATTTCTAAACAGCACCCCTCCTACGACGCCGGCGGCGACCGCGAGGCCGCTGACGATGGCGACGCCCATCAGGCCCTCCTTGGCCACCTTGTCGTCTATCAGGGCGCCCAGGTCGTTGGCCTGCATGTTGGCGGGCTCCTTCTGCAGCAGCAGGTCGTTGTAGCGGCGGGCCTCGGCGTAGTTGCCCAGCTTGAAGTTGCCCAGGGCCAGGTAGAAGAGGCACTCGCGGCGGCGCTCGGGCGAGGTGCGGAAGATCTCGGAGAGGAGCATGGCGCCGAGCTGCTGGTCGTCGCGGCGGTTGGATTTTACGAGGCCCTGTGTGGGAGGGAGGGAGCGTTAGTACTGTGCATCACCTTCGCCAGAGGGACCGCGAGGGCAGGGGTAAGTCGGAGGGGTTCGGAGGCGTGGCTTGACTTACCCATGCGTAGTTGAACTTTGTCTGCACGCCGACCAGCTCGCCCTCCTTCTCATATTGTGCCCGCAGGACCTGGAGCTCTGCTGGGTTGAGCGGCGACTCCGCGTCGACGGCGACTGTGCTGGTTGTCAGCAGGGTTGTGGAGTGCAGGGCACCCAGGAATATTTGGTCTCCTGACTTACACGGCAAATTTGAGCCCATCGTAGATGTGCCCCTAGGGGTATCTGCTTGAGTTTGATCTAATACTTGCTGTGTATTGGAAGAACGGAAAAGCTTGTTCGGTTCGTTTGTGAGTGTTTAGGTGCTCGTAGGCTGTCGTCGAAAAGTGTCCGTATGTACAGGTGAAGGCGTTGTCGGAAGGCGGATCTATTGATCAGGCCTCCATTTCGGCGGAGTTCTGCCTCCCCTGCAGTGGCCAGAAGCTCGGGCGCCCGATGACGACGGTCAGCAGGGGTCCCTGCCCAGCCCGATAAGATAAGCCCGCCCATTGTCCCGGTGATGAGCTGTGACCCCAAGGTTTGTTTGGAAACGGGAACCCCTGCAAGGGCTCTCTCCAACTTGAATCTTCGACTTCTTCAACATCTTCAAACCGAGAAAGCACCCGACGCGACTACTACTACTACGCGAGAATAACACAGCCGCACACAGACACTCTCTCAACACCAGACAATAACAATCCAACTCTAAGAACGAGCCAAACAAATCAGTCAAAATGCTTCTCGAAGAGGATCCAGCAACTGTGAGGTCCCCTGCCCACCACCCTTGAAGCCCAAAACAACAACACACTAGAAATGCTAACGAAGCAACCCCCCAACCCAGCTCATCCACCACACGATCCAAAACTTCAACATCGGCCCGGACAAGGTCGCCGTGGCCCGCATAAACGACTCCCTCTCGACCCTGCAGCAGGCGCGCGACCTGCAGCGGCAGGAGGCCGACTCGGCGCTCAGGAAGCTCGCGCGGCAGCTGGGCACCCTGCAGGCGCAGCACAGCGAGCTCGTGTCGGCCCACTCGCCCGCCGAGCACGCGTCCGAGATCTCGCGGCTCGACACGCAGAAGTTCCGCACCGCAAAGGCCGCCTCCGACCTCGAGATGGAGACGGAGCGCCTCGCGGGCCAGCTGGCGGACCTGGGCGCGCGCCTGCAGGAGCTGGAGCTGCAGGGCGTCGAGGGCCGCGGCGGGGACGGTGGCAGCCGTGATGCCGTCGAGGACGAGGTCCTGCTGCGGCTTAGGGTGTATCGTAGCTTGGGCATCGATGTCGAGCGGGATGAGCGGGATGGGGAGTTTGCGCGCGCTGTGGTGCGGAACGATCGCAAGGGGGATGTGCATGTTGTCAATTTGGACAAGAAGTTCTCGCGGTTCTTTTATGCCAACTATTTCTGGCAGACTTTGTGAGCGAGGCCGGGTGCCCATGAAGGTCAGAGTCAGGGAGATGGTATGGGGCACGAGGGGGCGGTACTGTTTTGCATCGTCGAGGCGGGAGGTTTACTATTTGGGTCGGGCGGGGCTTTGGTCATTGAAGGTTAGGCGTTCAGGATAAGGTGGTGGCTACCACTTTGGCTGGGTTGGAATATTTATGTCACTTGACGAACAAGACATGAACATCACAACGAGAATAAGATGTCATGGCGTTATTCAATCATGATACCACGTACCGAGGCCGTACGCTGTTTTCAATTCGAAAAAATATGCCTTGCACCCATTTGACTATAATGCACCGCAAAGCCCATGAGTGACTCCCAGGCATTACCTTGGCCCCGTCCATGCCGTTCCATGCCCTCCCATGCCTTCCACTTCCTTTTTCTCAACGCCGGAAATTTTGCACGCTTAAGATTTTGGGAAATACCCAATAAACGGAGGAACGAACCTCCTGCCGACAATATGAGATAAAACGGCCCTGTTTCAGCCTTTGGGCAGACGTGGAAAATATCCGTCTCCCTCGGCCACCGTCGTCAAGGGCGGTGGCATTGTATTCGTGGGTGTCCTGACCCTCGAACTATTTGGCGACATGACAATAGGGCCACCTAAAATCTTCGCACTGCCGCCGTCCTTGTCCTTCTTGTCCCTGCCCCTCTTGCCGCCCTTCTCGGGTGACCGTTCCTGCGATCTCGCCGACGTGGGGCTCTTCATCATCAGGAACTCGCCAGCATTGCCGCCCCCGGGGGTGGTCGCGCCGCCGCCGGAGGGCGACCGCTGGTGGTGCTTTCTCTGGTAGTCGAGGGGCAGCTCCAGGCGGGAGTTGATGTGGGTCCACGCGTCGTCGTCGTCGTCCGGGTTCCTGCCGCCCAGGCGCCAGCCGCCGACGCCCTCGAAGTCGCGGTCCATCCCGATGGACGGGATCATCATGAAGGAGTTACGCTTGCTCCCGCCAATGTGGTCGTCGACGGGCGTGATAGACCCGACCGAGTGCAGGCTTGCACCGCTAGTCCGCCGCCTGCGGTGGTGCCGGGCAACCTGCCTGCTCGTGGGGGGCGAGCTGGTGCCGCTGCCGACCGGGGAGGGCGGCATGTTCGACGAGGCCTCTGTGGTTGAGAGGAGGGCGCTGGCGTAGCCTCTGGGGAAGGGGTAGACCCGCCGGCCGGTGAGGTACTGCGGTACCATGTTGACTGCTATGTCGACATATACGACGGCGACCCGGAACATGAGGACGGAGAAGGCGAGGGTTGTGGTGATTCCGGCGAAGATGGCCAGGGGTATAGTGAAGACAAAGAGGAAGGGCACTATGAGTGCGTAGACGGGGTTGATGATAGCCATTGTGGGGGTTCTCGTGGAGGGTGTGTGGCTTGCGGGCTTGGTGGGATGCGTGTGTGTAGGCTTGATATGTTGTTTCACATGGCGGGAAGAAAGGGCGTCGAGCTCGTGGGCTGCGGCTTTCCTCGTGGATGGTGTCGTCGTTGTGGGATGTTTCTGTGGCCCTGACTAGAAGGGAGACGCCATCTGGTAGCGTTCAGTCATGGGGGGTAAGAGCTGACAGACGATGGATGACTCGGTATCGCAACACTACTGTATCTCTGTCGTCTTGGACGGGGAGGAGGGAGGACGAAAAGAGGAGGGAAGCTAGATAAGAGAAGGGTAGGGCAGTCAGGGTAGCGTCGAGGTCTGAGCACGGGAAGCAGGGTTCCCCAGGATCGCAGAGTACGGCAGCATGGGGAGAGCTAGGGGAGATAGCGTCGCACTGACACGGCTGCAAACATGTGAAAGCCAGCGGGAGACCCCACCGCCTGGGCAGGGCACGGCAATTGGCTGGCTCGGGCCTGGCGGGCTGCAGTGGCTTCCCAGGACCAGGACTTGCAGGCATGCGTCTGGGGCACTTGGGGGAGATGACGGATTCGCATAGAGCAAGTCGGGCGACCTGCGACAAATCACCTACTCGGTAGTAGAGCACCTCGACTTCCAGACTGACTGCCACATCCCTAACCTCACCACCGTCAGCAGATCGCCACCCAATTACGGCGAGAGCCGGCTGCAGCATGGCGCCATGGATCCATCACTGAGGACTCTCTCTCTCTCACGCAGTCTCACACGCGCTACCAAACTTACTCTCAGATTCCGGCCGACGTGCATGAGGTGCCGCATCGGACCAGCCCAAGCGGGGGTCTGGGCCTCGTGCTTACCGCGAGGTATTCACGTACCGTCTTCCAACGGCGCCGGGGAATTACGTCGTGCTCGTTCAGCACTGCATTGGCGTTTTGTGGCACGCACGCAGCCCGGGTGCTCGGGTCGTGGCCGTGGATTGGAGTCATTGGACCCTGGATTGGGAAACGGCAGACAAATGAGAATCGGATTCTGCGCAATCGCGGTTGTTAAAGCTGTGGGTCCAATTGAATTGGCTCGGCTTGACCTGGCTTGGGATGCGAACTCTCTTGGGTTTGAATTGACTCATTCATACTGCCACGTCTGTCACGCCGTATCCCGCAGATGCGCACAACCGGCGAGCACTTTTGACGATGATAACATCTCAGGTACTTCAAAACCCAATTGGGGGTGAATCTCGATGTACGTATATGGGGACACCCTGCTGTTCACTCAAAATGAGTTAGATAGTAGCTTCCCCTCAAACATAAATCAAATACAGAAGCGACAGCCGACTTCCGGCTTCGTCTGATGGGCAAACACGCTAGCGTCGTCTCCCAAACCCTCCGTCGTGAGCCGCATCTGCCTCTTACATCATACCCACTGCAAATCACTTGCAAGTGTTGTGCAAGATCTACCTACGTGCATGCAGTTGCATATCCTGGGTAGACGTCAACAACGACAAGACTGACAGCTGAAGTCTAGGCGAATGACGCCCGCCGTCAAGGACGCTCGCTGAGACGACTGGCTTGTCCCATCCCTATTCACGCTGTCACATCGATCAGCTCAGCTGGACCACCATCTTTATTAGTCTCCAATCACACAGTCCACTATGGGCGACAAACTTAGCGAGGGCGAGAGGGAACCGTTCCCCTGGGAGCTTGGCATTTTTGACGCCCACTGCCATCCCACAGACACTATGGACTCCATCCCATCCATAGCAAGCTCCATGCGGGCCCGCGCCCTGACTGTGATGGCCACCCGCTCCCAGGACCAGGACCTGGTTGCACAGGTAGCTGAAGAGCACGGCCTTACAAGTCGTCAAGCTATCCCCCCTAGTTCCCCTTCCAACAGGCAGGACCCCACCCACTTCCCTGACAAGATCGTTCCAGCCTTTGGGTGGCACCCCTGGTTCTCTCACCAGCTATACGACGACACCGTGCCCGGAGACCAAAACACCTATGATCCGGCATCACCCGACCTGGCCAGCGAGAAACTGCGGCATTACAATGCAGTCCTCGCCCCTTCACCCAGGAGTAAAGATGACGAGAGCTTCATAGACCAGCTCCCCACCCCTCAGCCGTTGTCGAGAGTTCTGTCACAAACACGGGCCTACCTCGAGGCCCACCCTCTTGCCCTTGTAGGTGAGGTTGGCATCGACAAAGCCTTTCGTCTCCCCAGCCCTGGAGTTTTCGTGTCCGATCCAGAAGCCAGCATGACATTAGGTCGACGCAATGGCGAACGGCTATCACCCTACCGGGTGAATATGGACCACCAGAATCGCATCATGAAAGCTCAGCTGAATCTGGCTGGCCAGACCGGGCGGGCCGTGAGTGTCCACGGCGTACAGGCTCATGGTGTGTTGTACAACGCAATAAAGTCCACGTGGAAAGGCCACGAGAAGCCAGTTGTCACGAACAGGGAGAGGAAAAGGATAGCTAAGGGCGTCAATGAGGACTTTTCCTCGTCTTCCGAAGACGAGGATGAGGACGACGAGGATCATGGACACGGCACCAGGTTCAAGACAAAGAAGCAACACAAGCCCAAACCATACCCGCCCCGAATCTGCCTGCATTCCTTCACTGGCGCCGTCGACACCATGAGGCAATACACGAGCGACCGCAGCTGCCCGGCCAAGACCTATTTCTCCTTCAGCCTCTGCGTCAATTACTCCACCGGCGGCCATGAGCGCGACAGGAAAAAACACCTTGCCGACGAGGTCATCCGCGCCTGCCCTGATGACAGGATCCTGGTCGAGAGTGACCTGCATACCGCTGGCCAGCTGATGGATGACATGCTCGAGGAGATGTACCGCAAGGTCTGCGAGGTCAAAGGGTGGGGGCTGAGGGAGGGCGTGGAGAGAATCAGGAGTAATTACCACGACTTCATATTCGGCTCAATGACTTGAGTTTACACTCGTGTGTTTTTTTTTTCTTTAATCAGGGTCTTCCATGAGACACCATCAGCATGTCAAAAGAAGATTAGAGCGTGGAGCATCTCAAGAGTCACCGCTTAGCGATATGGAGAAGATACGAGAAAGAACTTCCAATCCAGGTCGGTGTATATGGGGCATATTAGCGAAAGAAGACTTTGTAAGTACTTCGTTTACACTGTCCATTAGCAAGAATTATTTCCAGAGCCCACACTCCCCTCTCGCCTGGTCTTGAAGACACGTCGAGTCGCTGCAGCTTCCCGGACTGTTCCCTTGGCATGTCACTGCAGCTTCCCGGACTGCTTTTGGCATGTCACTGCACTTGGTCTTCTGCCACCACGCGCCCTTCTGAATATCGACCGGTATCATCTCTGTCTTCGACCTGGTTGTGCAGCCTGATGCTCTTCCATCGTACCGACATCGCGGTCCCATGAGTCTACCAGCTGACCGAACACTCTCCCCTCCGAATCATACAATCTTAGGAGCTTTCCACTCTGGAGCTGCGTTTAGCTCCTCACCGTGGTATTCATATCGGTTGTGGATGCGAGCTCGAGTCTTTGTGTGACCAGATGGCTAGGATCCCGTTGGCCGACCGCTACTTCTTCCTTATTCACTTGCACTGGCGTCACGGCCGCCCAGTTCAGGCGTGCACTTCAGCGAGATGCTGAATCTGTCGGAACCGGCGATGGGACCGAGGCGTTCTGAGCTCGATTTTTGACGCCTGGGAACGTTCAGCACACGAATCCATTGTCAGCCCAGGGCAAGTGCATGTTCTGTTTGGACAACCTGCAACCCCGCCCCCGGTCCCACCGGTTGCACATTTCCTTCGAGCAGCAATATGGCCGAAATCATGCTACCATACCGCATGGATATCATTAGTACAGCATCAGACCCAGTAGAGCGGAGAGTTTCGTGTTTGTAAAGGTGACGAGGAGTGTAACCACGTTCAATCTGTTGCATTTGCGACCTGGGGACGACAGAGGTCCAGTCAGACAAGTGTGACTGAAAATTGCCCGGAGTCTGCCTGCTTAGTGTCAGGCAGAAGGTCGTAGTTACTCGTCGCATGCGCGTTTCCTTCCCTATCCAGGGATGAACGGGACAGTACTCGAGTATAGAAATGTCAAGGTGAAGGACCCACCTGCTTCTTGTACCTTCGCAAAGCCGCAAAAGATCTGTGATACCATAGCGACAAGGTCGAAATCAGCCATGACGACAACTCCTGATGTTTGAATTGTCTACTCCCTGCGCTTGGTTTGCTTACATACCTGGGCTTCCGTGATCTCAAATCGTCTGGATCACTCCCCTGCGAACTGTACGGGATCATTTGGCCTCGAAGGCTCACTCGCTCTGTCTTCTATATGTGATACCCTGGAGCAGTCCACTTTGAAAGGAGGAAGGTATTATAATTCGCAAGTATGTAGCTTGCCGGATTTGTGGCCAGAATCCCAGTAACTGGCCCTGAACATCAGATGCTGCTGCCAATGGTTTCTCTTCCACGCGGTTGTCTGTTTGGAAGCCTGTTGTTATAACCGACACACTGCGGTTTTCTGTTCATGCACCGCATGCCATGCAGTTGCACATGGACAATTTTGTGTCTCGCGGCGATGCGGCCAGGCGCTCAGGAATCTCACTTGAGCTTGCCTGACTGCGCCTGCATCGCCCCTGGGCTGCCGTGAGATCTAACCCCAATTTGTTTTCACACATATCTTGCCAGCAGCAGTCTCTTTGGTATAAAGCGACAATGAACTCCCCACGAAATCGCCAGGACCGACATCGTCCGGTGGAGTCTACTGAGATCCAGATCTGTGAGCAATGCAACCCTACCTGAACCGTTTAATCCCTGCCTGTTGATACATTCTCCTTCGTCCGGTCAACATGACTCCGGAAATTATTTGCTCGATCGTGTTTGGGATCATTGCTTCGGTGCTGGCTCTTGTGACCATCCTGCAGACTCATCGCAGGAGCCGTGTTAGTGGTATTGTTGGCAAGTACGACCCTCGCCATTAGGAGACTACTTTAGTTATCCCCCTCGGGGCACGTAGCCTCTCAGAACTTAGACAGAACAACACCAATACACGATTGCTTCCCATACGATTATCGTACGTACGAGAGACCTACCAACAGGTATGGTTACACGTCCCTGTGGTAAAGGGAGGCCACCAACGAGCCAACTCTAACATGCGACGCATCAGAGATCAGCGCAAATTCGCACCGACACTGGCACGGCCAGACGTCCCAGTACCTCCTATCCCGCAGCTACAGTCTGCCATCTTTTGGGTCGGGCGCCCTGACGCCCTTGCCGCCCGCCGCCCAGTATTATGCCCATGGCCGAGACTACGCTTGATAGACCATGGTATGGAAGCGAGGCAATTTTCACGATTGCGCAGGATCTGATCCTGCGTGGATGTCCAGTCTGGTAAGGATGGATTGATTTACCATGCCTCAGACAAGTCGAGTGCTAACTCCCCAAGAGAGATCTAGCACCTGGCAGTACGGTCAAACTGTTCTCGAGCCCCACCAGTTTGCAGGAAGCTGTACCTGTTACAGTACGCATATAGGTGATAGCCACGGTAATGCTCTCGGCATTACAACGTCCCTCTTTTGGGTGTTTAGCGCAATAGGCTTATCTTGTGCCGTAACAGTACCGACGGAAGATAGCCAAGACAGGTGGCTTGCACCTGTGTTACCAGCAGCGGGAAATTATGGCCATAAGATGATGTGGTGGCGCTGCCGTGGTTGACCTCCTCCGGATGGGGCCCGTACAACACCTGCCAGATGGGATCCGTACGACCGCTTCCATATATCCCCCAGCGACACCTAGCAGGAATGTGACGTGGGTGGCCAGGCTGGCGCAACAACTTGTCGTCGGCACACCAAGAGCAAGCTGCACTGTAGTGACCAGCGTGGTGGGGGAGCAACAGACGGTCTGGTATTACGTCCGGTAATCTTTGCTGCGCCTCCCTCTGGACATCTGGATGGGATGTGGGGTGGACACAATGTACCTCCTGTACAACGTCCTAGACGGGGAGGAGCAAGTCACCTACAACGGTAACGAGATTCGTCAGGCTAATTCAGGACGTGCGGGATTCCGCGCAATGATGTGCAACACGTGCAGGTTATCATTAGGGAATGCCTGATGAAAAGACCGAGGCCGGATCAGAGTTCTCACTGGACAGCCGAGCAGTGGACAGGTCGAATACAAATCCATAAAGAGATCTTGGGTAAAAATTTCGAGTATGCGAGGATCACAATGTGGGAGTTGCCAATCCCGATTCACGCAAAACCAAGCCCAGGACAGGCATTGCCCAAGCTACACATTTCCAAAATTATAAACAGTCAAACACACAATGAGCCCGCGTTTAAAGTAGCGAGTGGCATTAGCAGCAAGAAAAACACTCATTGTGTTCGCCATTAAATACTCTTGTACAGCCATGCTGTAGAAGCGAGCTATTTGCAAAACATTGTTATTTTGAAAAGAAGCAATAGGTGAATTGTCGACTCTTATTATACATGGCCAGGATCGAAGCAATTGATCCATTTTGGATGCTGTGGGCATTTTGATATGTGATTAATGTGCAGGAGGGTGGGAGGTATATTGTGCATGCCCCGGAATCGTCGGCCTAAGAGCTGAACATTGAGGCTTTCATTGCATGCACTTCTGCAAGCATATCGAGCATCTATCAATTTGGGTTGCTCTCCTATGGAAAGATGGGGCAAAAATTTACCATGAAAATGTCCTTGAACCTTTCTAGGGAATGCCACATATCAATAAACCCTGTCCTGATTCGAAATGAGGGGCCAAGAACGCCACAACGCGTGATGTGGGAGAGGGTTCCATGTCCAAACCCTGCAACCGCGGGTGTCCCAGCCATCAAACCAGTGCCGGAGACCTGGGATGGACCGATTTGCTGCCGCGCGTGTAGAAATTCACGTAGGTGCCACACAATTCTCAAAAATTCGCGCGCGAATTGGCCTTGCGGCAGCATAATTGTGGACCCAGCATATCGTGCCGTGACATAGTCTGCTACCGCTATCCTCGCGCTCCGGCAGTGTCCACTCTCGCCTGCCCGCTTGTGAAAACGTCGCAAGGACAGCTCACCGCCTTGTCGAGCTCACATTTAAGCTCACCAGCAGCACAGGAGCCGCGAGGTGAATCCGCATCGTCCTCCAAACCCGGCCACCCAAAGCAACAATGTCTTCGCAGAAAGCTCCCGGCGAGGAGCTCGAGGGTGACATCACCTTCATCGCGACTCCCCCGCCTGCGCCGCAGAAGTTCGGCACCGGCGTGGACTGTGGCGTCGAGGTCACCAATGTGAGCAAACACCCCCCACTGAGCGCCATTGAGCTCTCTGCACCGCGTCGATCGATGTCAATTGACTGCCGTCTCACTCAAGCTGACGCACGTTGAAGGTCCCTGCCATCCACAATGCTCCCCTGCCGGCCGAGGGCCCTGGAAATGAGTCCTTCTCAAACTACATCCTCGGCGGGCTGCTGCTGGGCATCCCCATCTTTGTCGCCCGCAGCCTCGGCGGCGGCTTCAAGACCACCGTCTTCTTCTTCCTGGTCCTGCTCTTCCCCATCCTGATCGCCGTCTGGACCGTGGCCTCGTCCTACTCGCCGCGCATCAACGACAAGGTGAAGCTGCCCGGCCGCCCCGTCGAGCACTACATCACCTTCAAGAAGCAGGAGGACCGCCAGCGGTGGAGCGGCCGCAACAAGATCCCCATGAAGACCTTCTACGAGATGTACTTTGACGGCGACGTCGAGTTCAACGGCGACTGCCTCGAGGTCATGGAGTACCGCCACGACTGGGCCAACTTCTCCTTCACCTGGCCCCTGTTCCACTTCATCATCTTCACCTTCTTCCGGGACGTGCTCTTCCACTCGCGCGAGCAGGACGAGGAGCAGGTCCGCCCCAACTACGACCGCGGCAACGAGCACTACGCCTTCTTCCTCGGCCCGCGCATGGTCTACACGAGCGGCATCTTCTCCGACATCACGCGCGAGGAGTCGCTCGAGGAGATGCAGGACAACAAGATGGCCATCGTGTGCGAGAAGCTCGGCCTCAAGGCGGGCGAGTCGATGCTGGACATCGGGTGCGGCTGGGGCACGCTCGCCCGCTTCGCCAGCCTCAACTACGGCGCGCACGTCACCGGCGCCACCCTCGCGCGCAACCAGGCCGCCTGGGGCAACGACGCCCTCCGCCGCGCCGGCATCCCCGAGAGCCAGAGCAACCTGCTGTGCATGGACTACCGCGACATCCCGCAGCGCCGCTTCAACAAGATCTCGCAGATCGAGATGGGCGAGCACGTCGGCATCCGCAGGCTCACGACCTTCTTCCGCCAGTGCTACGACATGCTCGAGGACGACGGCGCCATGTACGTCCAGCTCTCGGGGCTGCGCAAGGCCTGGCAGTACGAGGACTTCATCTGGGGCCTGTTCCTGAACAAGTACATCTTCCCCGGCGCCGACGCCTCCACCCCGCTGGCCAACTACGTCGGATGCCTCGAGAGCGCCGGCTGGGAGATCAAGAGGTGAGTCCCTTTTCCCAGAGCCTCACATCACGGAGAGTTGTGTGAACGCTAACCCTATCCTGCAGCGTCGACACCGTCGGCGTCCACTACTCGGGCACCCTCTGGAGGTGGTACCGCAACTGGCTGGGCAACGGCGAGGCCATCAAGGCCAAGTACGGCCAGCGCTGGTTCCGCATCTGGGAGCTCTTCCTGGCCTGGTCCACCATCGCCGCGCGCCAGGGCAGCGCCACCTGCTTCCAGATGGTCGTGGTCAAGAACCTGAACGCCACCCACCGTGTCAAGGGCTTCTCGTCCCAGTTCGGCCTGTCTGGTGCCCTCGCCGCGGCTCGTGCTGCCGGAAGGGCAGTCCTGCCCCAGTAAGGAGATCATGTGTGCTTGGTTGCGGAAAATGGTGCTTCTTGTAGGATTTCGAGTATGGGGGGAACCGAGGACGGTAGGGAATGAGACGGGAATTTAAAAAAAAAAATCCGGGGCTGGGTGCTGAGAGGGGTATAGAGCTGCGCTTGTCCATAGACCCGAGAACTGTAAACACGTGTGGAAAAGGTCTCGTGATTGAGGCTTGAACACTTGGCAGATATAACAGGCACAGAAATACCATACGATATGCCACACGTTGCTGTGGTTATTGTGGAAATCGTGGCTAAGAATTGAGTGACGCTCGGCCTCGGCGTGTGCTCGGGGACACGGGGGCTTTCGCTCCATCAATACCTTACACACCGTTGGTCCGCCCTGTCCGTTGCGTTCCCACACACAGGCGCAACAAATTACTGTACCGTCTGTGTCCATGTCCTGTACCCCCACACCCAGAAGCAGGAACGTGAGAAGCCGGGACGTCCAGGAGACGTCGGGAGTGGGCTCTGCTGGGTCTTGAGGCTCAAGTTCCTCCTTAGCTGATCCCTGTTGCCGGCGACGCTTTTTCCGCGGTCGCTTAGCCTCCCGACCGTCCACGGGCGATCCGAGCATCTCCGCCAATCCTCATGGGGCCCCTTATCATGCGACCTGATTCGGCCGCTCGAACCCCCCCCCCCGTTATCTATCTCACTGGGAGCTCGCCCGGCGCCAGCTGCTGATAACAGGCATTGAGTGTGCGTAACAGATCAGGGGAGACCGGCGCCCAGGCAGAGAGAAATATGCTGGGATGGGCAGGGCCGCCCGACATTGATAACAGAGGTGCAGAGCGCGCGTGCGCGAGAAGGGTGGACTGAAGAGTGCAAGTCCGCGGAAGATGGCCCACGAAGGTGATTGTGAGGCGCGAGTGGGATGATTGACGGGCGCATCTCCTCGCGCGACACAAGGAGATCTCAACGTCAGCACCAAGCGCCAGCCCCAGGCTAGGAGACGACCACGTTGTTGGTCAATTCTGTTTCCTAAGCAAGACCGGAGTTGGGGCCATCCCTATCCATTCTCACCCACTCTCTCTCTCTCTCTCTCTCCAAAGCCGGCTTCGCAAAGTTGCGAGCATACAGGGGGACAGACCAAGGCCCGCGGTGGTGCAACACTTTTTGTCAGTCCGGACGGATGGCCAGTTCTCTGTCGTGCACCCGATGGGTCTGCCCATTTCTTCTTGATGACCTCTAGGCATGTGTCTATGCTCTCTTTTTACCAAGCCCGTGGAGTGGCGCTGTCACAACCTCGTCTCTGCCCGTCCTGCTGGAATCAAACTGCTGCTGCTTTCTGCCTCGACTGATTCATGGCCTGACAGTGGAAATATCTCTCTGGCACTTGCACATTATTTCCCCTGGAGAGAGTGAATTCGCCGCCTCTTTGCTTTTGTTTGTCCAACCTACCAGATCCGGTAGCTAGCACAGCATATACATGTCTCATATCCCGCAGGCCAGCCCTGCACGCCTCCCACCATGGCGGCCATAACCGCAAGCAGTATCACCACAAGCATGCCGGAACCACATCATCAACAAAACTTCACACAAAAGCAACTCGGCCTGCCCCCCAGCCCGCCCGCCACCGACAAGGACCCCGGCTCCCGCACGGAGAGCGTGACGGACTTCCAGATAGGGGAATCCACATCCACAACCACCACCCCGGAGCCCGAGTACCACCGACCATACCCCCTCCCCCCCGAATCAAGACCCAGCCAGCGCGTGCTCCCCGAGGACCTCAGGACCCCGGACAAGCATGTGGCCCGGGACCCGCGCCTGCTGCGGCTCACGGGGGTGCACCCCTTCAACGTGGAGCCGCCGCTGACGGAGCTGTGGGAGGAGGGGTTCATCACGACCAAGGACCTGCACTACGTGCGGAACCACGGCGCCGTGCCCCTCGTGCACGACGAGGACATCTTGGACTGGTCCTTCACCGTCGAAGGGCTGGTGGAGAACCCGCTGTCCCTGACGCTGCGGGAGCTGCTGGCGGGCTTCGAGCAGCTCACGTACCCCATCACGCTCGTGTGCGCGGGGAACCGCCGCAAGGAGCAGAACGTGGTGCGCAAGACAAAGGGGTTCTCGTGGGGCGCCGCGGGCGTGTCGACGGCGCTGTGGACCGGCGTGGCGCTGGACGTGCTCCTGGCGCGGGCGAGGCCGATCCTCCGCGGGGCGGGCGGCAAGAGGGCGCGCTACGTGTGCTTCGAGGGCGCCGACAGGCTGCCCAACGGGTACTACGGCACGAGCATCAAGCTCAACTGGGCCATGGACCCGAACCGCGGGGTCATGGTCGCGCACGGCATGAACGGCGAGGTGCTCCCCCCGGACCACGGCAAGCCCCTCCGGGTCGTGATCCCGGGCCAGATCGGCGGGCGCAGCGTCAAGTGGCTCAAGCGGATAATCGTCACCGAGCACCCCAGCGACAACTGGTACCACATCTACGACAACAGGGTGCTCCCGACCACGATCAGCCCGGAGGAGAGCGCGGACCTGCCCGAGACCTGGAGGGACGAGAGGTACGCCATCTACGACCTCAACACCAACAGCGCCGTGGCGAGGCCCGCGCACAACGAGCGGGTCGTCGTCGACAGGGCAGCATCAAAGACGTTCAGGTTCCAGGGGTACGCGTACGCCGGCGGCGGGAGGAGGGTCACGCGCGTCGAGCTGACCCTCGACCGGGGCCGGTCGTGGCGCCTCGCGGACGTGTCGTACCCGGAGGACGAGTACCGGCTCGCGCCCGAGGGGGAGACGCTGTTCGGCGGGCGGCTGGACGTCGGGTGGCGCGAGTCGTGCTTCTGCTGGTGCTTCTGGTCGCTGGACATGCCCCTCGCGGACCTGGACCTGGACCTGGACCTGGGCGGGGGCGACGTCGTGGTGCGCGCCATGGACGACGCCATGATGGTGCAGCCGCGGGACCTGTACTGGAGCGTGCTGGGCATGATGAACAACCCGTGGTTCCGGGTGGTTGTGCACCGCGAGGAGGGCGCGCTGCGGTTCGAGCACCCGACGCAGCCGATCCTGAACGCTGACGGGTGGATGGACCGGGTCAAGAAGGAGGGCGGGGACCTTTCCAACGGGTACTGGGGCGAGAAGGCACCGGGCGAGGAGGGGAGGGCCGCGGCGGTGGTGGAGCCAGCCAAGGAGATTTCCTTGGTGAACAAGGATGTCAAGAGGGAGATCAGCCTGGAAGAGCTGAAGGAGCACGAGGGTGAGGAGGAGCCCTGGTTTGTGCTGGACGGCGAGGTGTACGACGGGACAAGGTTCCTCGAGGGCCACCCGGGAGGTGCAGCTTCCATCATCGGTGCAGCAGGGCAGGACGTGATCGAGGAGTTCATGGCGATCCGTAAGTCTCGAGATCTCTTGTCCCGGAATTGGTCAACCACCAAAACGCTAACACACCCACCCCCCAAAAAAAAACAGACAGCGAGAACGCAAAGGCAATGATGCCATCCTACCACATCGGCACCCTATCCGCAACATCAAGAAAGACCCTCGCAGCAGGCAACGCAGCAGAAGCCACCGCAGAGGAAGAACCCCGCCCCGCGTTCCTCCACCCCAAGCAATGGAGGAAGGCCCGGATGACGGCCAAGACCCCCATCAGCGCCGACACCAAGATCTTCACCTTCACCCTCGAGCACCCGTCGCAGTCCGTGGGCCTCCCGACGGGCCAGCACCTGATGGTGCGGCTGCGCGACCCCGCGACGCGCGAGGCCATCATCCGCGCCTACACGCCCCTGTCGGACGCCTGGTCCGAGAAGGGGAGGCTGGACGTGCTGGTCAAGATCTACCGCAAGACGGCCGCCCTCCCCGGCGGGCTCATGACGCAGGCGCTCGACTCGATCCCCACGGGCCACTGGGTCGAGTTCAAGGGCCCCGTGGGCAGGTACGAGTACCTCGGCCGGGGGCGGTTCGCCGTCGGCGGCGGCAAGGTGAGGCAGGTCAGGCGGTTCGTGATGGTCTGCGCTGGGAGCGGGGTGACGCCCATCTTTGCCGTGCTGAGGGGGGTGATGAGGGACGAGGCGGGCGGCGAGACGCCGCGGTGCCTCGTGCTGGACGGGAACCGCACCGAGGGGGACATCCTGTGCCGCGCGGAGATGGACGCGCTCGCGGCCGGGAGGGGGGAGAGGTGCAGGATCGTGCACACCCTGAGCAACCCCGGCGACGGCTGGACCGGCGGGAGGGGCTTCATGGACGCGCAGCTTTTCGAGAAGGAGGCCGGCCCGCCGAGCGAGGCGCGGGATGAGATGGTGTTGGTGTGTGGGCCGCCCGGGCTGGAGAAGAGCGTGAGGGAGAATTTCACAAGGATGGGGTGGAGCGAAGAGGACTTGGCTTTCTTCTGAGCGGCGTATATACAAGGCAACGAGGGCGCATCCGGTGCTGCATATACCTACATGATGTAAATAATGCCATTTACGACAAAATGAAACATGTGAACTTAAGTACTCCTGGTTTCGTCTTGGCGATAATTGGCTGTTGTAACGCCCATCTAGACATTAATGCGATGAAGGGGCTTGGGGTAAATTTCACGGAAGATCTAGTGGATGTTGAAGGTGAGAGATATCCCGTCTCGGAGAGCCAGATTCTCATCACGAAAGTAGATACTCAGTGTAGTATGTCCCAGGTATATATGCCACCGTTCCTCCAGTTGTCTGTCACCCAAATCTGCACACCCTCCCCTTTAAGACGAAGAAGCCATCTCCTTAGACCGACTAACATCATCGTCCACCGCAGGCTTCGCAGGGATCTCAACCCCAAGCACCTGGTACTGCATGCCAACGTACCCATCGCTGACCACCAACACATCCAGCTTGCTCGCCCCTCCGCCCTGCTGCAGCGCCTCAGGGACCCTGATGCTCGTCCTCGCAGACGGCCTCGACCCGGCGGCGCCGGCCGACTTGCCCGGGCCACCCTGCGCCCACCCGACGCGCTTGATGGCGTACACCTCGTCCCTCGCCATGTCGCCCACGACCACGAACCAGCCCTCGTTCTGCGGCTTCGGGAACCTGGGCGCGTAGATGCGCGCGTCCCGCTCCACCAGCGCGTTGAGCCGCCTCACGACCACCGTCACCGACTGCGCCGTGACGTCCTCGACGGCCACCTTCACGTTCGGCAGGATCGAGGCCGCCCTGAGGAACCGCTGCTGCGCGCCCTGCGGCACGTGCAGCTCCCTGGCCAGCTTGCTCACCTCGCCCTGGCCCATGGCGCTGAGCTGCTGCAGCGTGGTCCTGTTCTTGGTCCTCTCGGGGTCGACGCTCGGCAGGATCGACAGCGGCGGCTCCGTGGGCCAGCGCGCAGACTTGACGGACTGTAGCACGTTGATCATCTGCAGCACGCTCGAGAGGTACCCCGACTCCGTGAGTACGTCGATGGAGGCCTGGATGATACGGATGGCCTGGTCCAGGACGCTGGTCTGGTCGCCCACGTAATCCGTGATGGGCAGGCTGATGCGAGACATGTGAGCCTGGAGCAGGAGGAAGGACTTGACGTGTGGGTCCCACATGGGCAGGCCGAAGGAGGTGCCGGGGAATGTCAAGTTGCGGGACAGTTCCGCGTTGATGAGGTCTTCGTTGTGTCTGACGGGCAGCTCATCGTACTCTGTGGCATTGCACATCCAGGTCAGGACGTCGAGGAACGAGGCCTGTGGTTTGGCATGCTTGACCAGGTAGCGAATGGTCTTGTGAGAGAGATAGTAGTAGCTCATGATCTTGCCCACTGGTGTCGGGTCAACATCACCGTTAGGATAGACTTCCACACATTTGGACTGTGCAAGCTCGCTGAGAGACTTGTCGACCATCTCGATCATGAAGTCGTTGGCAAGCTGCTGGGCTGCAATGCTATTGTGCTCGTCTGCCGCGATCTCGAGCCCGTAGTAGGACGGATTCTTGTGCAGACGCCGGAAGAAAAACGTCCACGTAAGATAATCCAGTGCATCTTGCTTGCTGATGACAGTCTCTGCAGAGACTTCGGCGCAAAGATGGTTATCGAGAACAGTGTGCAGTGAAGACTCGACAGGGAATCCAGTGTGCAGGAAGTGTTTGTAAAAGTCCTTGGATGCCTCCTTGGTGAAGATTCGAGCAACACCCGAGTTGTCGAATTGAGGCCGCCCGGCTCGGCCGAGCATTTGCAGGACATCTGTGAGATCCATGTCTCTGTAGCCTTCAATCTTGGCATCGTAGAATTGGGTGCCCTTGACGACGACCAGATGCGCAGGAAGATTGACACCCCATGCAAGCGTGCTGGTCGCGATAAGAATTTGAATCTTGTTGTTCAAGAACAATTCCTCAGCGAGTTGTCGATCTGACTCGACGAGACCGGCGTGATGAAGTCCGATGCCGAAGCTGATGGCTTCCTTCAGTGCGTCGTCCTTGACCCTAGCAAGGTTGAGCTGAAGGTCTTCCTCTTCCATTTTCAAAAAGCGCCTTGGATTGTCTTCCATGCCACAGAGATTGATGAGGTCCTTGGCTGTGAGGCGGGTCTGTCTTCGCGAGGGCACAAACACAATGACTGGCTTGTCGGGGCTGTGGTTCTTGACAGCCAGAAAGGTCGGCCTGTTCATGGACTGCATCAACGGACAAAACCCTCTGACTTCGGGGAATCCATCAATGTAAAGCTCAAGAGGCACAGGACGGACGGAATGCCTGAAGTTGAAGAGACCCTCCTTCACGCCCAGCCAGTTGCCAAGGTCGGTGGCATTGGCACAAGCAGTCGACATGCCGAGCAGCCTAACCGAGTTCTTGATAGATGAGGCGATGTAGTTCATACGAGAAACGATGATCTCGAGAATAGGGCCACGATCCCCCGCCAGCAGGTGGATCTCGTCGATGATAACGAGACTAACCTGGCGGACATAACCTCTCGTTTGCCAACTACGAGAAATACCATCCCACTTCTCAGGCGTGGTGATGATGACGTCGGCATCCTTGATGGTCCTCGTGTCTGGTGTATTGTCTCCAGTCAGCTCGACCAACTTCAGACCAAGCGGTTTCGCAAGCCGAGCTCCCCAGTCCTTGACACGCTCTCGTACCAGAGCTTTCATGGGTGCAATGTAGACGACCTTGGAGCCTGGCTTTTCACGGAACGCCCACCACATGGCCAGTTCTGCCGCCACGGTCTTGCCACTGCCCGTTGGTGAGCCTAAGAGAACATTTGCAGGGGTGTTGTACAGCGTGTGGAAGATCTGAGTCTGCATAGGGTTGAAGTATTGGAAGCGTTCCGCATATATCGCTTCGAGCCCAGGATTCTTGAGAGCGGATATCGGGAGGGGCTGGAGGTTGAGAAGGTCGGTGTACACGCTCTCCGTGTCTGGTCTGATAAGATGCTGGAACGACACGGGCGTGACCGTCTCTGCTCCAAGCCAACGATCCGAGACAGCCCGAACGTATATTTGGTTGGGCAGGGGATCAGAGAGAGGAATTGTGAAGTTCATCTCATGGTCGTCATGAATCTTTCTACGATTCAGGAGGAAGAACTCATGATGGTAAATCTCCGAGGTTTCCGAATTTTCGACCCAGACGTAGTACGACTCTGAAGTACCATGTACATGGTCGTTCCACTTGAAGTCAGGGTAGATGTATAGCTTCACCCTCAACACGTCACGGTTCAGAGGCGCTATTTCTGCCTCCACGCTGACTGTTGGAAAGTTGTTGAGGATCTTCGCAATCTTAGTGCCAGCACCGTGGTTGTGCACAAGGCTGCCTATCTCGGCAGGCTCCATGTCGCGCATGGCTTCGATGGTCAGAGACTCCCTAGCATCTAGCTGGTTCAAGATGGGTTTAGACAACTCGAATTGGTGAAGAGGATGCTGGAAGGGCCAAACACGCTTCTCGATGGACTTTGCCAGTGTCAAAAGAACCAGACACTCGTGACCCCATCTTCTGTTGAGGGCAATCATAAACAACGCACGGCAGATTCGACCCGCCTGCTGAGCAACGTAGTTGAGATCGTTGGTCAGAGCGAAGTCTTCTGGTTGGGCCTTTGAGATGAAGGCTTGGAGCAGAATGTTGGTTTTGGTTTGGGCCTGGTCGATTCCACCGTCGACGTCGCAAGGCACGACGTGCTCATTTTCTCTCATGCGCGATAGTTCCTTGCTCTCGTTGTCTCTTGACTGGATGTTGTCAAACTCGCCACTCATGGCGATCATCTTCAGGATATCCGCTTCCGTGGCAAACGGTTGCATCATCGTGTTGAATATCTGGATACTGGTGTGCAGGATGTAGTACTGGCTAGCGATGCGGCCGATGTCCTTGCTGCGAAGCTCTTCTGTCGTCTCGTTGAATATGATCATCTGGCACTGTTGAAGGGTTTTTGCAGCTTGTATAGCGAGTTGACGACGGCGCTGAACAAGTGAAGGGTCGTCCTGAAATTCATTCCAGTCTATACCGTATGCCATTGGGTTCCTTCTCATACGGACGAAAAGATACGAGTAGCCAATCCACTGCACTGCTTCTGGGATGGATGTCACCGTTCCCAAAGCAACTTCCGCGTTCAAGTTGTCCACAAGTTTTGCCGAGAATTTCGATTCGATAGGTAGCTGATCCGTGACGGCGGTAAGGTAATGAGCCAGCTTGTCTTGAGTTGTGCAGATCATGCCAATACCGGTATCTTCGAATTGTGGACGACCAGCACGTCCGAAGATTTGGAGCACGTCAAGAATACCCAGGTCGACGAATTTGCCGTCCTGTGCACTGTAGACCTGTGTGCCTTTGATCACCACGGCAGCAGCGGGCAGGTTCACACCCCAGGCGAGGGTAGCTGTACAACAGAGAACCTTGAGGACGCCTTCGGAGAAGAGTCTCTCCATCAAGTTTCGATCTGATCTGGCCATGCCTGCGTGGTGCACACCTAATCCTTTAGGTAGTAGATCTCGAAGCTCCTTTGCCCTGCAGCTCTTCATGTCCCTGACAGCGGCGTCGTACTTGGGATGGTCAGATGGGTCGAATAGATCGACGCAGACATCATCAACAGCCTTCTCGTAAAGCGTCTTTGCTGTTGCCACGGTATCCTTCCGGGAGTGCACAAAGACCATCACCTGGTGGCCGCGTTCCAGCATCTCTCTCACCTTCTCGAAGGCCACCGTATCGATGTTGTCTCTGGACTGCCTTGACCCGGCCTTTCCTTTGACACCAATAAAGTGCTGCTCCAGAGGCACTGGGCGGAAAGAGGCGTCAAAATAGAATAACCCAGCGTATCGGTTGACCTTGAGGAAGTCGGATACATCGATGTAGTTCGGAAGCGTCGCACTGAGACCGACGATCCGAATCAGAGATTGTGTGCTCTCGACCTGTCTCTCCGTACGAGCAACCAGGGATTCCAGGACTGCGCCACGCTCATCGTGCAGCATGTGCACTTCGTCGATAATCAGGAGTCTAACTTTCTGGACAAGCTCTGTGTCTCCAGTGCCCTTTCTTGTGACCACATCCCATTTCTCCGGAGTGGTGACAATAATTTGGGTGGCGACGACCTCGGCTTTGGTCAGATGCATGTCACCCGTGTACTCGCGGCAGCGAATGCCAAGCCATGACAGACGCTTGTTGAACTTTTCGGTGATTTCAGCGGCCAGTGCTTTCATGGGAGCCACGTATACAACCTTGAAGTCATCTGCGTCGACGGCGAAGTCTGTTGCAGCATGATCGTCGAAGGGGTCAGGGGTCAAATACTGCCTGACGGTTTGCAGGATGGTCAACATCGCAGCGTCTGTTTTACCCTGTGGATTGTCAGCCACCGCATCCGCACCCATACCACAACCACGCAGAACTTACAGCACCGGTAGGAGCGCAAATGAGCATGTTTTCGCTTGACTTGTAGGCCACTGGATAGACAAGACTCTGCATTCGATTGAGAGTCTTGTAGCCCTTGAAGGTGTTCCGACAGAGACCATCCAGCTCTTTTATCGTAACCAACTTCTGGCCAGGCCACAAAGTCCCGGCCTTGCCTGCGGGAATGGCGTACTCCTCATACTTGTCGAATTGAAGCCGTTCACTACCAACAGGAAGGGCGTACCTCTTCCCAGCATGGTTCAATGAGTTGCCGGCAGAGAAGGTCTTGTACACATGAGGATACTGCGGCTCCTTGGCCGTGGCTGGACCAAGCGCGGCGGTTTTGTGACGCATATCCTGCCTTCGGAGATTTGCATCCCTCTCAGCCTTTGTAAGAAGACGTCCCGAGGGATGGCTATCAGCGACGTGCTGTTCAACTTGTTCCATGGCGACGGTGATCTCATTCCTGTGTGAGATGAGTTCAATGACAAATTCCAGGTCATCGAAGCCGACCAGGTCCGTCAGAAGGGACTGGAGTTCATCTTCTCTCTGATTGGACTTGAGGGCCTCCAGAATCTGCAACTGAAGGGTTTCGGCAGGAAGCCCGTCCCTGTGTGACGAGACTGCTGCACATCTCTCGAGGAACCACTGAGGCCCGTAGGGAGGCTCTTGGTCGAGCCCATCGGTCCCGTCCATCAAGTCGCCGCTGTCGAGGCCGAGCTCGTCCAGCTCTGAATCGGAGATAAAGTCCCATACATCGTGGGTCTCGCCGCTGGCAGAGCTCAGATCGAAGTCATCGTCATCGTCTCCACCGGCATTACTGACTGTCGTGTCGCCGTTGGGTGCGTTGCTGGGCAGCTTGAGCTCGGCAATCGCAGCCTTCATGGCGGCCACTTGGGCCAGCCACTGCGCTTCTGCGTCGGTAACGGAAGAGGGGGCCATGATGGTCTGCACCAGGTGCTGTGTTGTCTTGTTGGATCTCGATCAACTGTTTGCACAGGCTTGGTCAGACCAGATCAGACAGGCCCAATAAATATGGCTGCTGCCGCCTCTTGATGAGCGAGTATGTGGTTAGTGGTGGGCATATCGACTCGGTATGGCTCATACCGTCTGTCTGTGATGCTTACATGTACCTAGCATACATTGTGGTACCTGGGCCCACTTATCCCACAAGGGTGTTTTAGCGGCCTCCTTGGATACCCAGGTACTTGATTAGCGCCTGTGTTTGCCTGCAGCCTAGGCCATCGGGGGACAGCGCATGTGACGCAGTGTGCCCATTTGACAAGTGGCGGCCAGGACGGACCAGGAACTGACCGATTTGGGGACCAGACTGCTAAGTAGATCCCTTCCGTGCCTCTTAAGTTTCAGCCTTTCTTCCCATCCACGAGCCCAATCCTACAAACGTCCTGCCGAACGCCCTTTGACAAAGCGACAATCCGACCCCGAACCCCTATTCCAGATCCACACGAGCAATCCCTCGAACCAACCAGCACGACAGCACGAGCACACCCGTCACCATGAAGCTGCATTACATCGGCGTATGTATCTTGGCACGCCGGCGATAAAGCAGTCCCTCCCACGGCCGCTGACGATGGTTTCGATGTCCAGGTTATCCGGAACGAGGGCACGCCCTCTCACGAGCTGGTGTCCGAGAAGGAGCTCAGCGCCTACTCCCGCTTCACGAGACAAAACTATGGAGTATGCGCATCATTCCACAATAGCACGATGATCACCTGCTGACTACGAGGAGGAATTCATGACGGTCTTCGCCAAGACGGTGGCGGAAAGGACAAAGCCCGGTCGTAAGTGGCCCTATCTTGCAACCCTCTGTGAGGACAACGCTGACGGCTCGTAGAACGACAGGACGTCGAGGAGCAAGGTACGTGTAACCTGAGGCGCGCGAGAGCCATATTTCCTTCTTTATACAGCTCTACGACCCGGAAACCCCAAGACAAGCGTATACAGACAGACGTCTCGAGTCCAAGTGGAAGGCGGTTATTCGGGAGTCTAAGATCATCGTATGGGGTCACCACGACACCGCCAGACCCAATAAGGTTCTCAATGTCCAGGCGCACATCGAAGGCCAGCAAGCAGCAAGCGCATATGAACGCTCGTCTTCTGGCAGGCTCCTCAGAGGGTCACCCCCGGGTTATGATACCACACCAGACACGAAGATCTGGTGTCGAAGCATACGACATGGACGACATGGACGACATGGACGACATGGACGACATGGACGACATGGACGACATGGACGACATGGACGACATGGACGACTGCCGGCAACACTAGAACATTTCTTTGGGAAACCCACCGCTATCGGACGGCAAGAATGAGTTTCCAAACCTACAAACTGGGGATGTGACCGGAACGCAAAGAAGAGGAAACAGTAGTCCGACTAGAACTGAGGAGCACGTGCTTTTACCAGGGCCAATAAGACGGGCCCGACTTCAGGTTTTCTGTTGCCCGAGCGGCTCTTTCGGCCTTCTGCAAAATGACGAGGAGCGTCGATCCATGACAGATCACCCTTGGACGTCGACCGCTAGGCCGCTGAAAATGGGTGGACCCGACGGCTAGTGTCGTCTGAGGCGAGATCCCGCGGTTCAAGGAGACCGGCGAGCGCCATGAACGAACTTGAAGGACAGGACACTGACAGAGCCACAGACTTCACATTCCACGCCTACGGTCGATCCGAGGGCGTTTGTGGAATCATCATTTCCGATCACGCATACCCAGCTCTCGTGGCTCACCAGCTGCTCTCCAAAATCGTCGATGAGTTCCTCGAGGCCAACCCACGGTCCTCATGGGTAACGGGACAGCCCAAGCTCGCGATGCCACAACTGAAGGAGTACATCGATAAGTACCAGGACCCGCACCAAGCCGACAACATCCTTAAGATCCAGAAGGAGCTGGACGAGACCAAAATCGTGCTCCACAAGACGATCGAGAGTGTGCTGCAGCGAGGCGAGAAGATCGACGACCTGGTCCAGAAGAGTGATGGACTGAGTTCTCAGTCGAAGATGTTTTACCGTAAGTTCCTTGACGACGCGTTCAAGGCACAGGGCTGGTGCTGACATCTTCCTCCAGAACAAGCAAAGAAGCAGAATTCGTGCTGGTAAGTCATGAGAGAAGCGAGCTCGCTTGTCAAAAGACCACGGGCGATTCCCTCCTGTTGGAAGCGGCCACTAACCTTTTTGCGTACAGCTTGGTCATGTAATTGCTGCTGTGCATCGCAGTTCCTGTCTTTATCGTTGATCCCTCGACAATTGGGTTGGGTCGTTCCTGGGTAGTGGAGGCTGCTTTAGTTTGAGAGAGCAATCGTCTGCGCATTCATCGGCAGTAATACACGTAGGCGTTGAGATCCCTGGCCCGAGTCGCCCATTCGTGGACCTATATAATCAAATTTTCCTATGATCTTCCTCACCGAGACGAGCACGCGGATTGGAGTGAACTAACACGTTCGACAATTCCCTGCCCGCCACGTTCCGCCGAGGTGGCCGTTCCTGTTGTTGGTGAATCAAGCCACATGCGGCAAGGAGCTCTGCGTGCCAATGCTGAAACAGTCGCAGTCGACAGGGCAGGGGTAGGTAGTAGGTAGTAACACCAGAGGTTCGATTTTGCCTGCCCCAACGCGAAACTCACCGCCGACGACGCTATCACAGCCTTATATGCCACCGAGCGCGTGACACGTCGTGAAGGATGACAGCGATCAATCAATGATGGCAAACGCACTGCCCATATCACACCCCTTTGTAACAGGGCGTTGCGTAAACCTCCGCTGGACAATGCTACCCTCGCGATTCACGCTTGCAGCTGTCACGTTTTAGAGACCCCCCACCATCACACAGACACAAAATGCACGCATGTGAAAAGACTTGTATGACGCCGCGGAGAAATCGTCATTGTCACAAGAGAGGGCGATCATTGGGCGTTTGTCCGTCCTGAACGAATTCCGGGTTTTTGAAAGTGCCTATAGACCGGGCATGGCGACATATGATATGTCTAGTCTGTATCCAGTCCCTAAGCGTCCGACCTTTTACCCCACAACCATCCTAGTTCACCACATCCGTCCCGTGGTGGTCGCTAGATACCGAGCCTGCCTATCCTGTCCTTGTCCCAAAAGTAAAACTTCCATCCGCCCGTCCGACTGCCCGTTCGCTGCCCCTCCCCGCGTGCTCCTTCAAAAGTGGCTTTCGTAAAACTTCCCCAAGAGCCGAGGTATCGATGAAAGGAAGAACAAGAAATGTTGCGTCACAAGCACACACGCAGGGGGTCTAGAAACCGTCGAGGCCCGTCCCTGGTCAAGGTATGTACAGGGGAGCTATTAAAGCTGGAAAAGGTCTTGTGCAGACGAAAGGAGGGAGGTTTGCTTGCCCTTTGTAGGCACGGTCCCGCTCGCTCACTCGCTCGCGCCTGCAATGTGGTCCCGTGGAGGACGGAGAAGGCAATGGCAGAAAGGAAGATTCACATAGGAAATGAAAAGAAGAGATCAAGAAAAACCAAGAAGAAAATGTAAAATAGAAGATATCGTATCCGCTGTGTTCAAACAGTTGAAACGCCAATCTCGCTTCCCAGAAGCAATGCCATGAACAAGCACCGCCTGTGCGCCTCCTGAAGTCCTTCGCTAGTAAGGTGAAAACCAGTCCGAAATGCGATGTAGAAGTCGTCAAGTTCCTAAACTGCAAGGTTGATGTGTGAAAAAGAAGAGAGAAAACCAAACGTCATCACCCCTCCTCGACCACCGCCCACGAGCTCTTCCTGTTCTGAGCCAGGTGCGCCGGGTTGACGGGGGCCTCCCTCGGGTGGATTAGTGTCGGCGTGCTGCTCTTGGTTTCCTTGATCGCCTCTTCTTCCCCGAGCCGCCTGCTCGGCGTCGGCGACTTGACAATCTTCACCCCGAGCGGGCTGACAGACGCGCTGCGCTCCCCGCTGCCGCCGCCGGGGCCCCTCCTTGTCTGCAGCGGCCGCAGGAGCTGCCGCTGCTGACGTGAGATGCTGATCTGCCGCGCGATGCTGACCTCGACCGCGCTCTGTAGCGCGGCCTCTGTCTCGTCCAGGACGCTGGATGGCTTGGTGGCATGCGTGTGTGTCGTGGCAGAGGATGCTGCGGAGGGTGAGCGATGGCCCGGCCCGCTAGTTGAGGATGATAACACTGAAGGGGCCGTAGAGGATGCCGAGACGGATTGTGGCGAAACCATCTGCCACTGTGGCTCGTGGAGCGTGGGCTTAAATGGCTGGGAGATGACGATTTCCTCGCCGGGAGAATCTATCTCGGTTGGTGAGTCAAGTATGAGACCCGATTTGTCTGGACCAAACTGGAAAGTTGTGTCTGTGGGGTAGATAGGTTCAAGCTCTCGCTTTGCTTGCTTCCTCGGCTGTGGCGGAGAGTTGTCGAAGGGGTTAGGTACGACTAATGTAGGGCCATGGCTTGTCGTTGCTGCGCTTGAAGTCGGCTTCTTGTCGAACGTTGCCTGCGTCGGTGACGGTAGTCTTCCTGGTGAAGTGTTCGACCTCAGTGGCCGAGACCGACTTGTAGGGGTATCCATAGCAGGGGTCACACGGCCTTCTGATGGCATTGGGAATAGCCTCAACTGGGGTGTCGCGGTTGGCTGTGGTGAGGTAGCCCTTCGCTGTCTTGCACGTTCCTTCTCCATCTCCTCTGCCTCGACCTTGTCGTCGATCGTCTTCAACCTCTGCAGCGTTGCTTGTCGCCTCGACAATAGAGATCCAGAATGTTCCTGCTTGGGCTGAGGGTGGCCGAGGACATCGCTGAACATGACGCTATATCGCTCCAACTTGGTGTCGGGGATATTCACATCAAGGAATGACGGCATGGGAGGAAGGTTCCCTTGCGGCTGCCGATATGCATTCCCTTGGCGGCCGGGTAGCCCAGCACTTTTCGGCTGGGTAGGTGGTTCGTCAACGTTCTGAGGCATCGTATTCGATCGGATCATGATCGGCTTGTGCTTCGGTACTTTTCGCTCCGCCTGTGTATTGCTCCTCGTGGGCGTTGGCTTTGCAGCCACGTTCACAGACGACGTTGACACTTCAACAGTTCGAGCGAGCGTTATTGTCGATTTTCCGGCATCAGTCTGCGACAGGCCCTGCACGTCTTCCCTTTTCTTCCCACCACCAAATAGTCCAAACAACTTCCGCCTCCCTGTCTTTTTCCTTTGCAGAGATCCAACGGGAGCCGCACCGGCGGATGAGGGTTCCGAAGAACTGGTAGGTTGAGGGGAGGCCGGTGGAAACTGAGCCTGCCACCTTGAGGGCGAGGGGTCCGGTCGTGGTGGAGGGCTTCCCAATGCCATCCCTATTGGAATTTCGCCCGAGGTAATAGACTCTGGAGTCTGCACCCTGATCGGTATGGACACCTCGTGTATTACTGGGAAATTCGGGCTGTGCTCTGGGGTCAGCGCCGACCCCCGGACAGGCACGTGGTATTGAGACATCTCTGCCATGCGGCCCCTGATGTACATGTCGTCCCTGGATATTCTTTTGTCGAGACCCTGTTTTTGTCGCGCCGTTCTGAAAAACATGTCGTCTTTTGACATCCTTTTATCCATTCGACCCCGTGACGGCCCCGTGGCCGTCAAACTCCCAGACGTGCTGGGTCGTGCTGAGGCCATGGTTGCCGGCGGCACGGAGTGTTGTGGTGGTGACGGTATTCGAGGCAACGGGCGGTCGAAGAAATGGAAGTTGTACCCGGCATGAAGTTTGTTAGGGGATGTGCCAGCATTTTGAGGAAATCTGCCGGTAGGGAACGAGTTTAATGACTGCAGGGGAGGGCCTGATACACTTGCTGCGTCTCGGCCGTGCATCTGTAGCCCACTTCCTTCGTCCCTCCCATGCCCCATCTGAAGACCCAGCGCAGTCCCGCCAGACTGGAGCTTTCCGGAGCTGGGACCACTTTGGACGATTGTCGATCCCCGTATTCTTGGTACAATGTACTCCGCAATACGGGAATCAATCAAGATGGCCAAATTCCCGGTCACCGCAGATGAGGAGGACTGCTTCGGTGTAATGTGGGGACGGGTTTCGAGAATATGAATGACAACACGCGACCTGCATGTAGGGGTCCCTATAAAATGCGCTAGGCAATGATAACATGAATAAGGACGAGCGAGGCCTGCGTCCACGAGCGAAGCACCTGCCGTCGGGCTGCCAAGACTCCCACGAGACAAAAGGCAGATGTCGGTGCTGAAGAAGCTCGTGAGAGCATGGAAAAAGCAACTCACTCAGACATGCTGGAGATCCCGAGTTGTTGATTGTATGTATGTGTTGCCAGCCACGGGGCAGATAGATTCCCTGCGAGGAACCTGCTTGTGTCCCCAAGCCTCCAGTCTTCTATGGTGCGTTTGAGATTGGAGGGATGGTTTATTTCGAGAGAGATCATCGACATGGGTATGTCCTTGCAAGGCGTACGGGGTGCCCCGGACGAGGCCAGGGTCCTGGGTGGAACAGACCGGCGGGCGGAGGATGCGACCCATGCCCTAAGCCATCAGACTAATGTGGTAATGAGGTCTTTTGCAGGGCAGCACGGCGAGGGTCGCACCGCTGGCTGCTTTGTTGAAAGATTACTGTTTCGGAAGTTCGAGTCAAGACGATGGCTGCTACTCCGCGCTGACGGCCCGCCGAGCGAGCCTCAGCCTGACTGCACTAAGTGCGTTCAAGTGTGTTTAATGAGGCGCTGGGATGTGCTGCCGACCTCTCCTGCGATGACGTCCACACATTGCCACAGCTAATCAAAGTCGGAGTGCATAATGGCTCAGTCATTCGCCGCGCACCATCGGCATCTCGATGAAGGTGCGAGGAATCAGCTTCGGCCATCATCTTGCTCAGCTCGTCGCAAAGCCAAGCTGAGCTTGAGTTCTTGGAGGTGCCGCCCGGCTGGGGCCGTCGAGACGACGTGAGTGGATGTGACTTCAATGAGGCTTCAGGCTTGCAATTATGAGCTGGTATTGCCGGCCAAGCAATTGGTCGCGAGAATGCGTGCCAGCAAATTGGATGCCACTTGTACCAGGACTAGTCTGCGAAATTGCTATAATAAGCCTGCACTTTGAAATGAGTGAACACCTCGATGCTGATGAAGATGGAGTGCAGCCGACGTCCAACGCTGCTGCAAGGCTAGCAGCGTTGCATTCGGCTACCAACTGCAGAAGCTGCTGCAAGTAGCGTTGTCACCTCGACTTATAAGGAAGAGTTGTATAGTGGCCGCTCCAAGTGTCGTCGGTCGTGGAGCAGGTCGGCGGCGCTCAGACGTGCCCACGCTTAGGCGATTATTCGCCCGTGACAGCCAGATCATCGTCTCAGAATTCTTCCGGGGCTGCCCTGTGGCCCAAGCTGCGTGATAGGTCACAGGTGATGGCCCTCAAGGTCGAATCACCAGGTAAAGCCTGAAGACTATCGTCTGCCAAGAGCGTCGTTTCACCCTACCGGAAATAGCATAGCTTATAATGTCTCATCAATGCAAATCGTGCGAGGCAGTGGCTGAAACTTCTGACTTGGACAGGAGCCCCTATCCCTGGAGAGGTGACTTCGAGAACACTGATAGAAGAAATAAAGTCGGATGAAAGGTTTGTGACAAACGTTGGAAACCTTCTCGGAGGAGCCGCGCAGCTGGGCTGGCAGGGCAGCGACGCGAATTTCGGTAAACCAAGAACAATACACAACAAATCGTATACGCCAAGAGAATGAGATAACGGCTGCCCGCTCGTCCAAGCTTTGAAGCAACGCCGCATCGACAGCGGGCAATTTTGCAGCGGGCTGAGGGGCCATCTGGTCTGGGGAGCGGGCGTGAACTCTTATCCAGACGCTCCGCTTGCCGTACGCGCACGACAACTCATGGAATATAACAGCATCGTCCCAAAAAGGTCGTCGAGATTGTCGTCAAGGTGTCGGGAGACGCCGTTAAAGCTCGGACCGATGATCTCGTGCATCTCCCAAAGTCGAGACCATTCCTCCATGTGATCTACCACACCATCGGATCGCTGGTCTAGGCAAATGTGCGAAATTCGAAGCAAGGAGTTTCCCTCTGGCAGATCCCTCTACGCGGCGTGATCTGCACCCGACATGAGATGCCAGCAACGTTTCAAGGCTCGTGGATCTGTCCCAGAGGGGATCGGCTAGGACAACGTTCGGGCTGCCTGCCCGACTTGTGCATTTGGGTTTTGAGTTTTGAGTATGCCCGAACCCAGACGTCCAGATCCTGACGAGCAGTTCGTCCAGATGCCTGTATCACAAAACTGGGGCTCTCCCCAAGATCTGAGGGCGCCCATTCCGGGTATCGTTCCGTTTTCACGAGCTTGTCTGTCTCCTTTCCGGGAGAGGGCCTCCTCCGGAAGTGGTTGCTGCAATTGTTAAAGTGTCGAGCATAACCTTGGTTCGCAATGTTTCGATTCCTTGTCTACCGATGAAACTGAGTCGAACCTCCTGAGCGCAGAGGGTCACAATGCAAGATGAGCTGCTCAGGAGAGACTGAGGGTTGGCATAGCACATGATTCAAAGGGGTATATGTGCGAGTTGTTCAAATGGGGGAGTTCGTAACAGACATTGACGAAAATCCGGTATTTAAAATGAGTCGCGCCTCCAGATCCAGATCGCAACAACCCGAAGTGGCCTGAAGCGTGTTGATTTCCACTGCCAAGTCGCTGTGAACCAGGCATTGGAATTTCGGGTTTGCTGATTGAAGAGACCAGTGCACGGTGGGAGATGACGTGACGGTAGCACTGTGGCCCCGTTGTCTTTACCGCTTCGACTGGTTGATCCACGGCCGTCTATGAGGAGACCCATCGAGAGCGGTCTGACGCTATCGGTGCCGGTGACTTGCGGTCGAGGCTGCCCTCATCCGCGAGGGCGTCATACTGCACACTGCACAGCAGCCACAAAAGGGTGCGGCGGGTCTGACGGCGCACCCGACAAATGGGAGCCGCACCCAGGATGCATGATCCATCTCGTTGCTCTCGACGGCATCATTTCGTCCAGGTGGCCAAATAGACTAGCATGTTCGAGAGCTGTCACGGGATCGGACCTCCCAACAGAGGCGTGTAGGTAGATGGTGGTAGAATGGCAGCGCTGGCAGGAAGGCTGCCAGTTGTAAGGTGTTGATCACCCAGCACGGTTACTCACCAGAGATTGGAAGTGGATTGGTGAGACCCGCTTACTTAAGGTGGCATGGGTGCCAAAAAACCAAGCAATTCGGGCAGCGGGACACTTTGGAACTCCAAAACAACCACATCATACCCAGACGACAGCTTCCGCCACCAACCTTTGAAACCGTGTTCCCTTCCTTTGCACAGAATCTGTTCTAATCCTTCGTACCTGGTATCACACAACCCAAAACTCCAACAAGATGTCGTGGCAAGGTATGGTAACAGCGATTCCTCCTCACCTCGGCCCCCTTTTGAACCCCCACCTTGGCGCCGCGGTGGTGAAGCTAACTCTGTCACAGCTTATGTCGACTCCAGGTAACGACAGCACCTCACCACAAGCACGCAGAAAAGCCCGTGGTCAGCTCCGTGTACTGATCTTTATTGCAGCCTCGTCGGTTCCGGTCATGTGGACAAGGGCGCTATCATCAGCGCTGCCGGCGACAGTGCCTGGGCTACCACTTCCGGCTTCACGGTACGGAATTACCCCGCCATTTCCAGGAATGAGGCCATGTTATGCCCACCACCCAACCTCGAGTCCCCTCACAACCGGTCCCGGCAGATTGCATGTAGGACGGTGCAGCTAGCTAACATGGCGTGGCAAACGGACAGATCAGCGCTGAGGAGATGAAGAACCTCGCCGACATCGCCAGGGGCGACTCGGCCGCTGTCGACAAGGCACACGCCGAGGGCATCCACGTCGCCGGCGAGCGATTTGTCGTCACCCGCATTGACGACGGCAACGTCTACGCCCGACAGGTAAGAATTTCCCCCCTGATGTGAAATTCCGGGTGCGGGAACAAAGGAAGCAGCGTCCTGACTTGAGTGTCGACGTCCAGGGACGAACCGGCATCGCCGTCTCCACGTCGAAGCAGGCCATCCTGGTCGCACACCACGGCGAGACCCAACAGGCAGGAAACACCACACAGACCGTTGAGGCGCTGAAGGACTACCTCGTTGGCCAGGGCTACTAAGGGTTGCAACACGGGGGGATAGGGATGCCATGGAGAGACTCGAAGTGGATATTGAAGAAGGGGGAGCCACCCACCTAGACACGTGGCAGTGCGTTCAGTCTATAGAACAGCGCGGACCATGTGGGAACGCCGAATTTTGAGCAGCGAAAACTCGTCGTTGATTTTCTGCATATCCGAGGCAACGTCGTACATATCGCCTTTTGACAGCCAGCAATAATTGTGATGCCGTGATCGTGTTCCTTGCACGCAATAGCTTACGGAGACGGTCCCAGATGCAAGACGGGTATTTCTCCATTTTGAACGCCGAACTATGTCTATGAGACAGTACTTTTAAAACTTGCTTCTGCCATTATCCTAAACAGCCTAGCCAGGCCGTGGTCTTGTCCACGTCCATTATTACACAGAGTCATCAAGCATGCCGCCGAGGTGAGTTCAGACCGGCAGCTCCGCATTTCTCCTGCCACCCATGCCGAGCCGGTCTATCACGAGGCCGATATACGGCCCGACGACGGGCGCGCTCCTCGCAAAGGCGGCGATGGTGCCGAAGAAGTCGCAAACAGCACCATGATGCCGTACAGCTCGACGCAGAAGCCGATCAGCGGCCACCGCAGCAGTATGAGGGCCAGCCCGGCGAAGAAGGCCGCCGTGCCCTTTGCCTTTTGCTTCCTCGCGAAGAACAGCAGCGTCTTCTGCGGCCCGATTATTATAGTGAGTCCGATCAGGAAGAGGATCTGTCGTCGAGGAGTGGGTGAGGTTAGGCACGGATCTCGCAAGCAACGGTTCACCGCAAGATCGGGGGTGTTCAAGGGGGGTTTCGCATACATTTCCCATCGCAAGCCTGGGCAAATCCAAATGTCAGCCCAAGAGTCGCCTCGCCAATGATAGCAAGTAGGTTTGCGACAACTCACATGGCCCGGTCAAAGAAGAGGAACACTCCTCCTATCAGGAAGAAGCCACCTATCCCGCCAGTCAGCCACCGCGACAGAACCGCGACCCATCCGTCGTCACTGAGGAAAGTAGAGCCGTACCGCCGGAGCAGAAGGCCACTCCGATTTCTGTCGCAGAGAACACCTCCAGGTCAGCCTTTCATAGTCCTTTTCCTTCTCCCCCCCGGCCGAGTCGCGTGCGTGTGTGCATGCGACGCGTCGAGGGGCAGCAGCTGTTGGGGAAATCGCATGGTATAGCGTACTCTGGGCGTCCGACAGCCACATTGAGGGCATCTTGACGACGTTTCACTATAGATTCGAGGGGATGCGGGGTGGTTGAATTCCAGAGGATGTCGGCAAAGGGGTTGGTCTGGCCCAATTCAACGAGCACATCCGTGTAGCAGCTGTCGCAAAAACGGTTCGGGATTGTTGAAAAGTGTCTCGTTGCGACTGAGACAGGGGTGCCTGCACTTGCCGGTCAGATCTCAGAAAGCTACCCACCTCGGCCTACCTGAGGTAAGCCAAGGCAGGGTAAGCTTCTCCTGTGCTCCCCCAGGGCCCTGTGGCACAGCGGCGATCGCTATGTCGGTCTGCCGGGTGCGGAAGCTAAACAGGAACGGCCATAGGGATTCCTAACAGGATTTCGAACTACCCCTGCGCAGTAGCCAGAAGCAGACAGGTAGACAGAGCACTGGGTTTACCTACGAGATAAGCTACAGACAGACTCTAGGCAGCACTGCATTCTTCCTTACAACCACGATCATACTCCGCCTACGCGGATTGGGACATGGTTTATAACTTTCGAGTCTGGCTATCCACTTACTAACCATGCCCCTTACTCAGCACTAACATACCCTAAGTTTTGCCTCCGCAATAATAACGTCGATGGTTGGATGGGCATCGTGATGCTGCGGATCCCACAAGATGCTAGGTCCATAGTGCCTCTTGGATCTTCCTGCAATGACTAGTCGCCGGCACCTTCTGCAGTCCTGCGGACAGAGAGCCCTGGTTTGGACAAGCCCGAGCTTGACAGCTGGCAAGCGCCGGCCAGGTATTGTATAACACGGAGGATGTGTCAACAGATGCTCTCTGCGCGTTGCCCGCTGCCTTCATCTTCCTAAATTCCCTACATCAAGAATCTCACCAGCTTGTACTCAATATGGCTCCAGGCAAAGTACTCCTCACCGGCGCGACCGGCTTCCTCGGCTCCACCATCCTCATCGACATCCTGAAATCCGGTTACACAGTCAACATAGCCGTCCGCAGCGAGGACAAGGCCAAGCTGATCCGAGAAGCTCCCGCCATCGCCTCGCTCGGCAAGGACTCAGCATGCAAGTTTTTCATCGTGCCTGACCTCACAGCAGAGGGATGCCTGGACGAAGCCACGGCCGGCACGGACTTGGTCATCCACTGCGCCACCCCCATGCCGTTCACGGACGGAGACATGGAGCAGGACGTCATCATCCCGGCAGTCAAGTGCACCCTGCGAGCTCTGGAGAGCGCCCAGAAGGCCGGCACGGTGAAGAGGGTAGTGGTGACGTCGTCACTCGGCGCCTTCGCCTCGCCCGAAATAGTTGGGGGCACGTATGTCCCGCCCGAGGAGATATTCCTCGGCGAGAAGCCCAACGACGACTTCGGGCCACCGTTCTACAGCCCCCTGGTCGGTTACTGCGCGGCCAAGACCGCCGCCCTGAAGCGGTCGCTCGAGTGGATGGACAAGGCCGTCGCGGAGGGCAGTATCAGCTTCGACCTGATCAATCTCGCGCCGTGCTACATCTTCGGGAAGGTGCCGCTGGCGAACAACACTAAGGACCTCTACGCGACCAGCAACCAGGTGCTCCTGCGTCTGGTGACGGGCGCGGGCCGGTCGCCGGACGGGAAGCCCGGCCCTGCGACGCTGTGCGGAGGGCTGACCGTTGACGACTTCGTTGAGACCGTGCACAGGAGCCTGGACCTGGATGGTGTCAAGACGCCGAGCTCAGGGCCCAGCAAACACGTCGTCACGTATGTGTATTCGCACAGATTCGAATGGAACGACATCTTCCCGGTCATTGCGAAAAAGTGGCCCGAGGAGGTGAAGCAGGGAATTTTGGCAGGGGAAGGTGACTACCCCACAAAGCCGAACATCAACTTCGCCATGGACGAGTTCACAAAGACATATGGCGGTTTCAGGCTCAAGGGCGTTGAGGCTTTTCTTGACTCGCTGGTCCCCCAGTACCTGGAGCTGCTAGAGAAGGAGAAGGCTGTGTCGGTGTCCGCTTGAGTGGTTGGTCAGAGTAATCTATCCCGAAGCCCAGACTCGTTACTATACGGTCCTGTACCTTGAGAGCATGACGTAAGCACGCACGGGCCATTATAGAGCTACCATACAAAACCTTTGGTTCGAGAAAGTGCAGACAGCTCTTCTCTGCACGATGCTTCTATCACTGTCAACGAGTCACAGCTGTCTGACTTGCGGCAGACCGATGCTGGTGGTGCAATAGTCTGAGTTGTAAGATGCTCATCCTCCCAAAATGATTATTCTGTCCAACCACGCAGGTAAAGGGCCGTGTCACATTGTTCAGACACTCCCAAAATCTCTTCAGTGTCTCTTCTCTCTGTTCCCGCACACCCAAAATGCCCCGACGGCCAAGCTCTTTCGCTTGGTAACTGAGTCCTGTCTCTCCCCACGAGTTCTCGGTGATCTGTCGGCTTTTCTCTTTTGAAAAAGGCAAACAGCAATCGATCGCGATTAAGCCGGAGCGTCAGCTGTCATCCCGTCGTCGAGAGACTTCGGGTGCGTAGTTGGGGTTTGACTTTGACGGTCGTACATATCCCCTTCCTTTTTTTTTACCCTCTTGTAGATGCTGTCATGCGTGCTTGCATTTGGATTGAGTCCTGCACCAATGCCGCCGTTTCTCGGGCCTTCCAAAAACGCCTGCTTGCCATGTCTGGCACCACGCGTGCCGTGACTTGTCTGCTCCTCGAACGCCGTCGCCGCCATCCCATATTCGTAGCCATAAAGCAACACCCTGAATTCATCCTGCCCCGTGCTCATGTAACGTAGTCGCCCACACCCACAAAGACAAAGGTATCTCAAACAGCCAGCCCCCTCACTTCAGGACCGTGTGCGCGCCGCGGGCCTCCAGGTACTGCTCGGCGTACCCCTGCGGTAGCCCCCGTATCATGGCGAAGACCTCCTTGTCGTGGTACCGCAGCCGCGTCTTGGGGTCCTGGTACGGCGCCGGCAGGCCCGTGACGTCGCAGTACCGCTTCTGCGGCGCCAGGCTCGGCGCGCTCTCGATGTTGGTGTACGTCGCGCTGGGGGCCCCCGCGCCCCCGCCCGCCAGCGCCCGCCGTCATCCCCGCGCTCGCGGGCCGCAGGCTCTTCTCCAGCACCAGCTTGGACAGGCTGCGCGACGCCTGCGCGAGGTTGGGCTGGGAGGAGGAGGGGGTGCCGCCCGCGCCGCCGGGCGTCGAGGACGCGTCGTTGGCTGGTGTTGAGGTCCCGCTCGTCGAGAGGCCGTCGTCCTTGTCGTCGTCGCGGGCGGCGTCGTTGGGCGTTGCGGCGCCTGAGCCGTTGTCCATCGGCGTGACGGCCAGGGAGGCTTCCCTTCTGGAGGCATCGCCCAGGATTGTCTTGATGTTCTTGTTTCGCCGCTGATTGGGCCGCCACGAAGGGTTCCGGAAGGACTTGTGGATGGAGTGGATGTCGAGCTGTTCGATCAGGGCGTAGTGTGCCGCCTGCTCAGCCTCTTTGGCCTCTTTTGCTTCGGCGCTGTTCATCTTGTGTATGGCTTTCTGATTTCTATCAAGGGCGAATGGAGTATAGGGTGATTGGTGAAGACGTTTATTGAGTGGTTCGGTCGGCGATGAATTTTCGAGAGAGTCGAGTTGTAGTGGTTGAAGTTATCGCCGTTTGTGAGTAGAAGCTCCCCAGAGCTGAGCGCAGCCGCGGCCAGTGAGCCTTGCAGGGATGACCTTCCCAAAGCACACAGTGCTGTAGTTTGGAGCTGCTTCTCATTCAACACTGTTTGCCAATTGAACCCCAACTTCTCACAGCGCGGTTGCAGACGCGCCCAACCCTGAACAACCCTCATGGAAAGTCAATATTGACCGCATCTACACCTTCGCCGCCGGATCGCCAACATGGTATGTCTGCAATTGTAAAGAATCTAGAACAAGTCGCTGATGTGATATTAGGAGAGCCCTCATGAGCACCAGCAGAACCTCCTGCTGTCCCGAGTCATCACGAATGTGGTAAGTGCCCCCCATATTTACAGTCTGCGCACCCCGGGGATGAAGCGGGCAGCGGCTGACCGCTCCTGATAGGAGAAATTGAATGAAGCAGTGATGGTTATGAACAAGACTCTCCAAGTAAGGTTTCATCTTCAAATTCGGTATTTGGGCCTTGCTAATACGTCAAAAGGAGATAAACATCCAGAACATGAACATCGAGCTTGTTGCACAGATGTTCAAGAACTACCAGTCCAACGTTCTCTTCCATCTTGAAGGTCCGTGACAGTCAAGTAATCAATGGGAAGAAAAGGCCAGGTGACTGACAAGCTTCTAGCCACCGACAGTCTGAAGGACCCATCTTGAAGGAGTCCAGCGTGAGAAACCTTTGTGGAAGGGGTGGGGGACGGACGATGATGAACTGAGGCATCTCGTTTAGAAGCCATTACTCATTCACATGAACGCTCATAGCATACCGTTGTTTCTTGAAGGTAGTCTTTCATGGAAACAGTTCGTCAATCAAGGCGAATGAGCATGAGCTTATGAATATCATGACACACATGTCAGGCGTACTCCGAGACGAGTCCAGACAAGCTTTGTCAGGCATAACAAATGCTAACACATGGGAACAAGAATTGACTACAGAATCTTGAGGTGCGTGAAATTCTGTCAGGAGCGTCTTCGTAGAAGAACAGCCGTGACCTGACAATCTGTACCTCGTGTGTGACTTGGGAGCACATCCTGTACGGCACAAAGTGCTTGAATACCGGGTTGCATAACCCGTCATATGGTAAGTGGATGACCCCCAAGGGATAACGTCCTGTGGGATAAGCCCCTGCGGTATAGCCGTTATGGGACATCCGGATAACCTCCTCTGGGGGAACCTCCCCTGGGACAACCTCCCCTGGGACAACGGGATGACTCCTTATGGGATAGCCTGTCACGGAATAACCAACTAAGTTGTGGGATAAGCTCATGTGGTATAACCTTCTACCTAACTCCTGTAGGATAACCCACCCCCTTGCGAGCGACTTTCTAGGCGAATTGAGCCTCCTTGAGGAATTTGTTCCTCCATACCTCGTACGCCTCCAACATCTCCGGCGTAATCATCCGAGGCCTCGTCCTGATCTGCTCTCTGAAGTCCTCCATCGTGACGCCCGGCCGCACGTCCATCTCAGAGTCCCTCCAATAGGCCGCCATCCCCGCCCCGTCGCAGATAGCCACTGTCTCGGCGCCCGAGCAGCCCTCGCTCTCCCTCGCCAGCTCCCCGACGTCGATCTCCTCGGCGCACCGCCTGTCCGCCAGCCACTTCCGGAAGATGGACGCCCTCGCCGCCTCGTCCGGCGGGCCCACGAAGATGAGCCTGTCGAACCGCCCCGGCCGCAGCAGCGCCGGGTCCATAGCCTGCGGCCGATTGGTGGCCGCGAGCACGAGGACGTCCTGGAGGAGCTCGAAGCCCTGCATCTCGTTCAGCAGCGTCGAGAGCACGTTCAGGCCGCTGCTTCCGCCGCCCCCGCCCGACTTGGTCGACCCGAAGCCGGACCTCTGCCCGCCGATCGAGTCCATCTCGTCCAGGAAGATGATGCTCGGCGCGGCCTCGCGCGCGCGCTGGAACAGCTGCCGCACGTGGCGCTCCGACTCGCCGACGTACATGTTGAGCAGCTCGGCGCCCTTGACGGCGAAGAAGTTGAGGTCGCTCTCGGTCGCGAGCGCCTGTGCAGCCATGGTCTTGGAACAGCCCGGCGGGCCGTACAGGAGGAAGCCCTTGGGCGGATTGGCCATGTAGGCGAGGAGCTCCTGTTTGGACGCCTTGGACAGGGCCAGGGCTCGCTGTAGCGTCTGCTTGACCTCCTCCTGGCCGCCGATGTCGTCCCAGTGAACTGGTGGAGGTTTGAGGTCGATGTCGTGCATTGTAGATGGACGAACATTTTTCATTGCCCGTTCAGCAGTTTTTTCCGAGACAAAGTAGTCATCCGGTGAATGGTCCAACCCGTCGTCCTGGAAATCGTCTACTCTATCCTCGTGTAATTCAAGGACTTCTTGATATAGAGCCATCAAATCATTTCCGTTGTAGGCGTGTGTCTTCTCACTCATGCTGGCTAGAACACTATCCCCGTTATCAGGAGACAGAGGCAGATTGAAAGACGACAGGATCGCTCGCCTCCTGGCCTCGTCTGGGAGGGGGAGGTTGATGTGCCTGTGGAAGCGTCCAATGGCCATGAGCTCCTGTGGCATTTGGGCTGAGTAGTCTAAGCATGTAGCGAGAACCAGGACTTTGGGACGCTCGTTTTTTGCTTCCGTTTCCGAGGCCAGTTTGTCAAGGAACTCTGCCAGAGTTTGGATGACAGCGTTCCTGTTGCTGCGATCCTTGTTGACGAGTTGTCCGAAGTCGTCCATCACGACAATACTAGGCTGATTCTCTCTCGCTGTCTCGAATATCTTGGCGATGGAGGCGAGCTTCTCACTCGCCTGGATGCGGTGGACTGTTCCCCAGCCCGTTTCACAGATCTTGTTGACGAGCATGGTCTTGCCGGTTCCATGGCCGCCATCAAAGACCAAGCCGCACGACATTTGGTATGCGGGAGATCGGAATGGCTGACACCACCGGCGGAGCTTCCTGTTGAGGTCTTGGATCTGGGGCTCGAGGCCTGGTATCATGTCCAGTTTGAGAATTGCTGGTATTGCAGCCGGTGCTGCGATCTGTGGGTCTTGTCCGGTGCTGATACGGATCTTGGTCGAAGCGGGAATGAATCGAGCATTGCCACTCGTCGAACCATTGACGCTCGTAACCTTGAAATTCCTGAAAATGCCCTCCCCAGCTAAGCGCTTGACCACCAACCCGGGAAACACGTCATCCAAGCCCATCATGTTCCCCTTGAGTGTCCACTCCCAGAACATCACAGCCTCTTTTTCGATGGCGGGCTGCGCGGTAGTGGCATCTTCCAGGACAACCTCTTCAGCCTCGGGTACTGCCTGGCCGTCAGTGTAGATGACCTTGACCTGGTCCCCGAGCTTGAAATCGCAGGCGTCTTGAAATGGCTTGCTCATCTGGACGATGCCACGGCTCACTTTCGGGTCTGCTGCTGCCCATAGCGAAGCTTCTCGTGTAGTCGCCTTCCCATCGTCCAGGATTTTTTCGACGTAGCATCGTTTCCCATTCTCTAAGGCCGTTCCTGTGAGCTCGAGGAGGACCTCTTTGTTGACGTAGATCCGTGATGCGCCCTTCAGTGTTTTGTCGCCACTCTTGTCCGACGGCGACGGCACGGGTCTTATTCTGACCTCGACGAACTTCATGGTAGGCGGTGCTCTTCAGTTGCTCTCATGCTCTCAAAAGTGACGAGTGCCGACAGGTCTGGGTGCATGGGTGCATTGCCGCAAGATGGGTGTAAAAAAAGTTTCGTCCTGATTAGGAAATTTTGGCTTGGCGCTAAGTACCTCCATACGCGTATCTCGTACCGGCTATGTCTCTCTTCCTAACCACCTGCCTACCTCGAAATGACTCACAATGGGATGCCCTACCTAGGTACAGCTGGAGCTCTTCCAGTAGGATACTCTGGTATGGGATACCCTACCTAGGTACTGTGGGATAGCCTCCAGTAGGACAGCCTCTAGTGGGACAGCCTGCCATGGGATACCTTCCAGTAGGACATCTTCCAGTGGGATACCTTCCAGTGGGATACCTTCCAGTGGGATACCTTCCAGTGGGATACCCTCCAGTGGGATACCCTCCAGTGGGATACCTTCCAGCGGGATACCCTCCAGTGGGATAGCCTACTGACACTGTAGGCAATTACCAGGACCTAGATAGGATAACCTGTACCTAGGTATGGGATGCCATACTATGGGATAACCCCCAGTGGTATAATTTCTAGTGGGATGAAATACCCTAGATTAACCATCTGCAGGACAATCTCCGGTGGGATAATCTGCTATGGAGGAACACAAATAAGATATCCTACCTATATACCTAGGTACCTAGGACACTTACCTGTTTGCTATGGAATCCCCCAGTAGGATTCCCATGGACGAACTGAGACAGTGTCAACTCAGCACCTGTGGATCTTTCCCGTAACGTACTGGCTCCCGAGGTCCCAGAGTGGCTGGCGCGCTTTTGGGGAAACCCTGTGCAGTTGGATCGATGCACCCCTGTGTCTACCTACCTAGGTAGGTACGTACCCCACGTAAATCGAGTACCTGCCGTGCGCCGACAAGCTTGGAAACTTTTCGCGGCTCGAACTTTGATAGCTTTCTCTTTCCCACCACCGTCGCACACCTGCAAAGCTCCATACAGGCCTAAACCCGACCGACACGAGGGCCCAAATGTCAGCGACTTCGCTCCCCACGACACGAATGAGTCGGATATAGCAGCTCGTTGCATTGATGCTGCGTGCGAGGCGACTGCCATTGCCGCAGTCTCCGTTGTCACGATGGAGGACCACAGCACCTGCACCTGCACCTCGACTGCGCCGCGCGCCATCGGCAGCTTCCTTCTTCACCGCGACCGCCACACGACGCAGCGACAATGGACATGACGAGCAGCCCGCGGCGGAATCAAAAATAGAGGATGGCCAAGCCATGCAAGGCGCGAAGACAAGACTTCGTGTACACAAGATCGGGGTACGCGGTGATGATTGGGCATTTTTCCAAGCGAGACGGAGCACCCAGCCCACGACGGAGCACATTCGATTGAGTCTGCAAGGGAAGAACCCTTTCGGCGATCGCGCTTATGAGTACGAGCGACACGTTGCCAAGATGAACGCCAGGCGGCAAAGCCTCAATGCCCCAAAACAACATGATCAACCCCAGAAGGCCAAGCAGGCAGAGGTTTCTCACTTCCAAAGTCTTTGGCCCCGCCCTCATGAGTCCAAGGCGGTCGAGCGACACACGGCTGGAATTAACATCAGGCATATTCGCCAACGGGCTCCTAAACCCCGCGATGTACCTCAAGAGGCTGAGCAGGCAGAGGACTACCACTTCCGAAGACTTTCGTCCCGCCCCCATGAGTCCAAGGTGCTCGAGCGACACATGGCTGTAATTGAGACGAGGCGTCTTCGCCAACATGCTCCAAAGCCCAGCGATGTACCTCAAGAGGACAACGAGGTGGAGGATTGGTACTTCCGCGGGCTTCGGCCTGATGACGATAATAGTGTGATCCAGCGGGGCAAAAACATTTATCTGCGAAGGCTTTGGGGCCATGATGATGCGCCCAGCGAGGTGGCCAAGGAGCATCATCAACTTCCGCTACGTCGGGCTCTGCAACTTGAAGACAGCTCCCAAGGGGACCGCCAAGAAACAGTTCGGACGCCAGCCGGTGTAGCCAAAGACAGGTTGCGTGATGAACAGCTGTCAAGCGAGGCGCCGGCATCCACTGAGGGAGGGGCAGATGTCGCAACTGACGTGCTCCAAGGTTCTACAGCTGCTGAACCGGGCCGGCGAGCTTCCGATGGGCATCGTCCCGGGGCTGATCAACCCCAGGGAGCAAGAGATCCTAGAGTAGAACTCGACTCGTGGACCGAGATTTCGCCCAGAGTCAAAAAAGCCATCACTCGCCAGCACGAATTGGTGTCTTTCGAAAAGAAGCCTCTGTTCAGCTCCAGGCTGTCCGTTGCTCCGGAGGCTCTATTGCTAGAAGCACTACATCAGGCGAAGCCGGTCGATGCAGCACAGTACTCCGGTGAACTTCCTGTCGCTGCTGCAGACATAGGCCCGGCTGAATCCCTCCAGAGATCATTCACTGAGGATCCTGTTCTGATGAAAGCTCATTCGCTAGCGGGCATGCTCCCGTTCTCTGTGCAATCATCCTCGCCGAGATTTCGTCTTGTGCCTTCCTGGAGATCGACTCCTGGGAAGATTCCAAGGAGCCCACAGCCTTCCGAAATCAAATCCAAATCACTGGAAAGCCATATGAGCGAATTGCAGATCAAAGACGAGACTGAGTTGCAGCCAGAGCAGCCCCAGGAAGGACCAGTCGAAGTCTCCGGCTCAATTCCGATCAAGCCTGATGCCACAGATCTGGAGGAAGGCAAAGCGACGAATGATATGGACCTTAAGGCACCGCAAGATTCACTCCAGGTAGATATGCAGGATGCGTCGGCCTCTAAACATGACAGTAGCAGGCTTGGTGAACCGACCCAGCCTCCAGCTCCAGACAATCGCTCCATATTTGAAAAGCTTTTCGAGGAGCAAGAGCGAAAGAAGGGTGCTGGCTTTGGGCAGCAATACTCCAAACTAAAAATTGCCGAGAAGGCAGCGAAAAGAGGAGAGCCAAGCGCCGTGAATCAACGTGATGAGCCGGAGATGGACCATCAAGATGGTCTGAACTCCAGACATGACCAATCAATCTTCCGCCAGCTTTTCCCAGAACAGGCGGAATCAGAGACGGCAAACATTGAACAAGAGTTGCCTCGCGCCACGCATGAGTTACTACACCCGCCTGAGGATTCTGTCATGGTCTCCTTGCGGAATCAAGTCCGCAACTGGATGTCGGAAGAAGGGCAGGACCAATCAAGCGGGCCCAAACCTGGAGAATACGGATCCCACTCGACGGTGGTGGTGATTTCCGGGACGAGCCCGTCGCTCATGGATACAGACTTCTATCGCGTCGCACCCGAGGGCCAACACGTGGAAGGCTGGGCCGGCGGCCTGGTCAAGGTCATCCAGGCCCACGACTCCATCAGCTACGAGCCCTTGGGCCAGTATTACCTCATGTTCCACACCCGACCGTCCGCACTAGCCTACGTGAACGAGGTCTGGCGTCTCCACGAGCTGAGCCGCAAGATGCTCCACGCCCCGGCCGACTCGGGCCGGGAGGTCGCCAAGGGCTCCCTGGACCAGGCGCCCGCGTCGCCCCAGCCCTTCCTGACCGACGAGGAGAGGGCGGCCGTCCGGTCCTTCACGCTCTGCTCGCCGCACATCACGCCGTCCATCAGCGTGCGCATGTGGAACACGCAGCTGGTCCGCGAGCTCGCGGCCAAGTCCAACATCGCGGACGTCCTCCCGACGCTGCGGCCCGAGGGGAGCACGCCGGCGCGGGTGCTGCTGAAGCTGACGTCGCCAGACGGGCAGCACGGCGAGGGCCAGGGCGGCCTGACGGCCGACGAGCTGTGGCTGACGCTCAGGGACGACGGGCGCGAGCGCAGCGCCCCCTGGATGCTTGCCAACCTGTCCGAGGGCATCATGCCCGTGAAGCCAAAGTTCATCTCGGAGCACTACAAGATCACCGTCAAGGCGGAGCCCGTGCCCGTGGCCCTGGAGCTGGACGACGGCGACATCGACGGCTTGCACGAGGAGCTCGCCGGGGCCCCTCTCGCCGCGCCGCCGCCCCGCAAGGACGGCAGTGGTGATGCGGGCGTGGACCGGAACGAGCGCTTCAGGCGGTTCGTCCTGACCTTCACGCAGCCTGCCATCGCGAGGCGGTTCGTCAGGTGCTGGCACAAGCGGGTTGTGTACGATGCGCTGCTTGACAGGAGCGTTGTAGTTGATGCTGTGGCGATCATGTGAGAATTTACGGGCCGATCTGTATATTTTTGATCTTTTTTGTAGACCATACATGCATGAAACGGGACGAGATACCCCCCAGATATACAGGCAGAGAGACAGAAGCGATCCTTTTCGAGTCATCCCAAACCGTGCGGACCCTCCAGATGCGATATTTCGGAACATTGCGCACTGATGGTGACTTGACGCATACGATGCCTCTCGGCCAGCCGATACGGTCTCGTTCGAGAATTAACCACCACTCAAATCTCCATGAACTGTCTCGCAAGACTCCGGTTGTGCTAAGACCGGGCCCCGACCTCATAAGCTCCTGGTAGCCGCTGCTGGTAGCCACTCCTGCCTAGTCTCGTACCTCCCCGAGCCTGCATTCAGCACTGGCTTAGTTGCTCCCAGCATCAATCGTCACAACACACCCTGCTACATATGTGGTGACGTTGCCAAACATCACGATCAGACAATCACTTCAAGACACCAAGCACAACACCTCCGAATACCTGATCCAGAGCGACGACCACAAGCAACTCGTCCGGATATCCTTCCGCGGTATTTCATCTCTTTTTTGGAACAAAATGTATTTGCAACCCAGATATAGCCACTAACTCCGTTTGCTTCCGAGTATAGACACTTGCCATTTGCCTCCGCGGGAAAATAAAATAAAAAAGAAAGAAAGGTGGGTGAAGGTGACTCTTCTTTCTTTGCTCGCTCGCGTTCTTTTCCCTTTCTCTCTCTTTCTCTAAAGGAAGCATCGAGTTCCGCCGCTCTGACCTGGGCCCCCTATTCTGGACCCCCACACACAGCCCCTGGCCATCACCGACTGCTCCGTGAAGAGTGGCGCCTTTGTAGCGCTCGCGGGAGCGCCCTCTGTCCGTTGTCCGTCTCCTGCCCCGTTCCCAAGGGTCCGTGATTGATCTGTGCTGTTCTTTGTGTGCACCCGCCCCGTTCCTCAGTGCCTAGTTGCATCGAAAAAACGCAGGCAGGCCATCATCGACAGTCCCTCGTATCTCTCAACATCGCAATTCCACCGGCAGTCCTGTTGTTGAGCTGTTCGTCCCCATACGCTGGTCAGCAAATAAGCGTGCTCCCCAGTAACATGCCGAGCCTTCTCGAGCCCCCGCCGCACCCGAGCATCCCAAACCGCCGTACCGCGTGCTCTAGCAGCACTTGCTCCCGGAGTTCTCAGAGCTGCCGGCCACGTTGACGCCGGCGCCGCCCGTCGCGACGTCGTTCTTGGACGTGTCGATGATGCGCTTCTTGATGTCGGAGGCGAGGCTGTAGAAGGCCTTGTCGATGTTGATGTTGCTCTTGGCCGAGACCTCGAGGAAGGGGATGCCGAGCTCGTCGGCGAGGGCCTGGCCCTGCTCGGTGGACACGGCGCGCTTCTCCTCCCAGTCGCACTTGTTGCCGATCAGGATCTTGTTGACGCCCTCGGTGGCGTGCTGCTCCACGTTTGCGAACCAGGTCCGGATGTCTGTACAAAATCCCCACGGTTAGCACTGTCCCCGTCTCATGTGTGCAGTTGCGTGCCAGACGCCCCACGGTGCACACCCTGATGCATCCCCCCCTGCTCAGCTGCACGTACTGTTGAAGGACCTCTCGTCGGTGACATCGTAGACCAGCAGGATGCCCATGGCGCCGCGGTAGTAGGCGGTGGTGATGGTGCGGAAGCGCTCCTGGCCGGCCGTGTCCCAGATCTGCAGCTTGACCCGCTTGCCATCGAGCTCGATCGTCCGGATCTTGAAGTCGATGCCGATGGTGGTGATGAAGGACGGCGTGAACGAGTCCTCGCTGAAGCGCAGCAGGCAGCAGGACTTGCCCACGCCGGAATCGCCGATGAGCAGCAGCTTGATCTGTCAGGGGTAGCAGAAGGTCAGTCGGGTTGGGTGCTGGAACGAGGGTTGTTTTGGAGGCATGATCTGGTTATTGTTGACTGGAAGGCCGAGCTGACTCGCTGAAAGAGCCTAACTGTCTGACTGTCTGTCTGGTGGTGTGCTCGTGGCTGGAGGGAGGGAAAGGTGTCGGCTTGTCACCGTTGCGCTTATCGCATTCGGTGACATGTGGGTGGGACAGAACGTGGACGTGGCTCTTTCTGGACTGCGGTGGACCCAGGGTCACATACCAAAAAGTCATAATTCCTGTTGCTCGCCATTGTGGAGGACGTCAGAGCACCGCTTGGGATGCTGTCTTTCTAGGGAGTGTCGGTCGATTGTTGGAGGAGGAAGTGAGCGACGGACGGAGAGGAGGGCAGGCAGTTGGCAGTTGGCAGTTGGCGGTTGTGCAAGGAGGGATGATGATGGATCCAGGATAGGATGGTCTAGCAGTAGCAGGCAGGCCAGGTGGGATGGGTGGCCCTGGTCTGTCTTGGCGTCCCTTTTGCCTTGTCGGGTTCGCTACCAGCCGAAACGGCGTCAGCAAGAGAGAGACTGATGAGAGACGGTCGTAGGGAGTAGGTACTGTGTGGGACAAGGTTCGGGGCTCGCAGATGTTGTGCAGGAGAGAAGGTTGTGAGGAAGCCTCAGGGCGGACGAAGATGGCGGTCGATGAGAGATGCCAGGTTCCAAGTGTTCGGTGGATGTTGCAGTGGAGGAGGCGCCTGCCGCTTCGGAGTACACGAAGATGGGTGGATGCGTTGGGTTGCGGTTGAGCCGTGTCACTTGGAGTTACGTGTTAGTTAGCCTTGGGGGGGATGAGTCTCCAGAATCTCCATTTCTCCATTCTCCATCTGGCTTTTGGGCACAGGGGTACCCGTACATAGCCAACTACTGGCCACCCACCAACTGCAACAAAATACACACAACTCCTGCTACTTTTACTGTACTCCCGACTCTGAGGTCTAGTCCAGATCGACTTGTGCCCAGGACCTCCCCAGGACAACATAGGTACCGATCCAATCTCCCAAGGCAGCCGCGGTCACCCTTCCTGGCCCTTGTCATGTCAGGACGGCCATTTGAGGCGTACCCTTCTACCGAGGCCGGCCATCCAAGCCACTGACGCCACGCGTTCGACACTCTGAGCGGCGAGCCCTTGCGAGCTTGGTTCCCATGACCAGACATGCTCTGATCGTCAAAAGTTTGAAATAACCGTTATCGCTAGTTCATAGTCTACGGTTGCTGTACCTGTGAGGACAGAGGGCGAACAAACATCACATGCCAGCACGTTGGGTGGCAAGCAGATCCCAGCATCCAGTGGTCGATTTCGCAGACACATCACCATGGGAACGTATGGTTCTGTCTGAGTCAGTTAATTTTCGTTGCAAGTAAATATTTGGCTGCTGCCATATTTCGATAAGAACATGCGCGTTCGAGTAAGTCCTGGGACAATAGGGGCAATTCTCCCTTGGACAAGTGAGGGCCGAGGTCGTGATACCTGACAGCAGAGCCGTAGTGTTCAGGCACTTGAGAAGCAGATAGCTGATTGTTGTGTATTGTTGTCATGCTTGTGTATTGTTGTCATGCTTGTGTATTGTGTCATACATCCTCTACATATTTTCTTTGGATCTCCCCTGTGTGCACCCACACCTTCAACCCACGCTCTGTAACAACTGCAGCTCGCCCTTGGTAGTCTGTCTAGTTGGCACGCAACCACCTGGCATAAGCCCACCGGATCCTGTCCAGCGCCCTGACCTGGATCTGGATCCCCTTGCCGTTCGCCACGTCCTCGAGGTCCTCAAGGAACTCGCTCTCAACCTCACGGGGCATGAACCTCCCGACCCGCACCAGGTTCCGCAGGGTGTGCACCTCTGTGACCAGCAGGCCGTGGTCCTTGTATCCCAGGATGCCGTTGACGGGTGTCGCCTCGGTGAAGATGCGGTCGATGTTGCGCAGCGTCCTCACGCACCGGCCAACGCGCTCGCCCTGCTGCCGGATGCCCCTGCGGTTGCTCAGGAACACGCCACGCAGGTACGAGAGCACCGTGATGGAGACGAGGATACCCGGCGTGAGGCCCACGAACCCAAAGACCAGCTCCTGCGACTTGAGCAGGGCGTCGATCCCGCTGATAGCCACCTCGAGGTCGACCTTGGTCTTCTGCACCTGGATCAGGAGGCTCCTGACCAGGTCGCCCTTCACAGCCCCGACAAAGGGCTTCCGGAGGTCTCTCTCGTACGCTTTGAGGACGGGAGTAACATCGCCCTCCTTGACCTTGTCGCGGATCTCGGCAATCTGCGTCTCGGTGAGGGGGGAAGAGGATTCCGCAAGGCTGGGCTTGTCGACCGCGAAGTCCACCACCATCCGCTCCAGGCTCTCGCGGTCGGCCTTCAAGCTGTCGCGGCTCATGATGGCGATCTCGGATTGGGAATCATGTCGAATCGTGCCAACTACCTTGCGCACCGGCTCGACTACCCAGTTGAACCAGAAGTCTCGCGTTGTTACGCCGAGGTCTCGGATCCAGTCGATGATGTCGGCTTTGCGGTTGGCCAGAATGCGGAGGAGCGTGGAGGATGATACCAAGAGCAGGCCCATGGGGAGCCAGTACCTGACGAGTCGTGACGGACGGCCGTTGGCGGCCACGATCTTGTTCGTCTCTACAACGTGTCCCGGAATGCGGTCCTCCAAGATAGAGAGCAGCCTCCTTGCCACGATGGCAGGTTTGTTGACCATCTCATCGGCATGAATCGACAAATCAGGGTCCTCCTCGATTCCGGCGAAAACCTTGTCCTCGAACTCTGACACGCGATGTTCCAGGTTCGATGCATCTCGGAGTACCAGGTCCATAAGGGCGACGCTTCGCTCCACGACACCTCGTAACTCGGCGCTGTGGTCGCGGACGTCGCTCTTTTCGTCGTCGATTTCAAAGTTAAGACCTTCATCCACCAAGACGCCCAACCCGGTCGCCGTCATTTCGCGCAGCCTCTTGAGTTGTAGCTGCTTCTGCTTGGCTTCGGATCGGCACAAGGATACCGTAGAGAACATTTTGCGTTGCACATCTTTGAGGGACCGCTCCATCACGGTCTCTCGCACGATGGAATAAAACCGGGCCCATCGCTGGGCCAAACCGTCGTTGTCCGACTGTGGTGACCTGCTGAACAAGCTGGCACGCCGCAAAAAGGTTGAACGTATTCTGCTTTCCTGATAGACGTCCTTGCCCCATGTCCACCAGCGCATGGGCGACGTCTGAGCAGCGTAGAGACTGCTGTAAGTATACGACCCTAGAACCTGGTCCCAGTACCAGATGTCATGACTGAGAGGGATGATCTGGTCCAGGAAGGTGTTTAAAATCAATCCATAGGTCTGTGTGGTGGCCTTGCTGACGAGTAGCCACTCGACCTCGTACTCGTACTGGCTCTTGGCCTCGAGAACGTCTGGACGCTCATCGGCAGTAGCGAGGCCGGACTGGTGAAGAAGCCCGGTGATGCTCGCAGCAGGCAGTATGATAGTAGATGTTGTTGAGAGTCGCTTCACGATGCGCAGTAGATCGTTCACCCTCGGGGATGAGAGGTCGGCCGCGGCTGTGCTGCGGGCGCCGATCTCGGTGCTACCGTCATCCTGCTCCTCAACAGCATCTTCCGTATCAACCAGGGGATTCAGAAGGATACGGTCTATCTGGGCGTCGACGCGCCGAACTTGGCTGCGGAAGTGTCAGAGACGGGTTGTACTGAATGAGATATGCAGGAGACATGCAGCATGGAAGCTGCTAGCCTGGCTGGAGTGAGGGACTTCTCCATGTAGCGAGGTGTCTCGGGATACGTGATGAGTCTTGGCCGGGTTGGGCACAGCTTCGACTTACTCGGTCACAATCGACATCTTGACCTCAACGGTACCCGTAAGGCATCACCGGAATGTGCTCCGTGCTCCTGCTCCTGCTCCGTGCTTTCGTAAGGGTGTGAGGCTGACGGCAGATGGATGGGCGGGCTTGGGTCCTGCAACGCGCGGAAGGTGGCGATAGGTCCGATCAGGCCACGCAAGATTAGCCCTCGGAAGACAGCACAACCGAGGAAGGCAAAGAAGATCAATGGAAGGAAAGAGTGGGTTGCTGGAGAGGCACCTCCCAGGCCTCGCTCATCCGGTGGAATGGGAGCTCAGCTTAGAGCGGGTCTCTTGTGACCTCAACCGTACGTGAATGCTCCTCAGCTGGGAGCTTTGACGCGGTCAACAAACAGCAGGAACAACCGGATGCTTGCTTAGAAAGAAACCACACAGCCTGACAGGGACATTAATAAGAAAGACAACAGGATCTCCATAGATCCATAGAATGAGGAGATTGTTGGGCTTTTCTGTGTGTTTGGTTTGTGTAATGTGGGCCAGAGCGACGTGGTCTGGTCTGGCGCTGGCAAACAGCTGGCAAACTTTCAAGGGGACGAGAGACGGACGGCAGACGTCATCAACCTCCAGCAACGCCGCAGAGCCTCACTGCACACCTTCTTTGACGAAGGTGGCCACGGGCGGGTTCTGGTTGGCTGGAGAAGATGGGACAAGCCACCACTTCTCAGAAATAGGACAAAGGGTCTGTGTCTTTGCCTTGGTCTTTCTACAGGGCAGTTCATAGACCAGGAGAGTCTTGGTGTCTGGATCTGGTCTAGGCGGATATGGAGTAATTGCAAACTTGTCAAATCCAATCTGGCGGGTCGGACTGGTTCACTGGATGAGGAGGACCACAAACATTCGATCGCAGGGACCTCAGTCGAGCCGGAACCTTCACCGCCCGGCAGCTGCAGCTGCGGTTAGCAGCGCTGCAAGAAGATTTCGAACCGGCGCGAACCCAATTGAGCGGCTCATCGAAAGGTGGTGGCATGAAGCAGCCCTTTTGGGGGAGCGAGACAGGCTTTTCCACTGCCAATCATGGGCCCAAGATTGCTCCCGATCTGCAGGTGCCAGGCTGTGCTGGGGGCGAGAAGGACGCCAGAAGCAGCACCAGGATGGATGTTCCTGGGGCTAGTGCTGGACGGAAGACGGAATCGCACTCTGGGCCATCTGCTCATTCTGAGATTGAGTGGGTCACCATTGGCTGACCCCCCCCTCCACCCCGGCCAGCGCAAGCTCCGTCGCTAGCTAGCAGGGGTCCCTCGGGCCCCAAATAATAAAACGCCCCTGGCAGAACCTGTAGGTTATCTTCCTCATCTGCACGGCTCGCCTCTACAAGTTCAGGATTGTTGAGGACACACAGAACACCGCCTTGCACCTCGAACACGACAGTGTCCCTTCTTGACCTGACCTGACCCAACTCATATCTTGCTCTCTTCCAGGCCGCTCTCTCTAGCTGAAGAGAACACATTCACCATGGCCACCGTCGTGTAAGCATCCCTTCGATCCGAAACTCCGAAAGCGCGCACGGGACTAATACTCAATGCCTCCACAGGAGCACGACGCTCTCTGCCATCAACTCCACAGTCGCCAGTGGGTTGAACTCGACAACACCAGCCGACTACTTCTCCGTCTTCGAGGAGGTGTCCAAGATCCATGTCCAGCTTAGCGTAGTAGAGCGCCTCTGGGCCTCGTGGTATCTGTACATGCAAAATGACACCCTCGCCACCGGCATCATGTCCTTCATGATGCACGAGATCGTCTACTTCGGCCGCTGTCTGCCCTGGGTCATAGTCGACGCCATACCCGCCTTCAACAAGTACAAGATCCAGAACGTGAGTGTGCTCCGAGCAGTTTGTGGTCGAGAGAGAAATGGCCTAACATAACTAACCCGCGCCCACAGCAAAAACTGCCGACATGGAAGGAGCAGTTCGACTGCGCCGCCCTCGTCTTCCTCTCTCATGTCACCGTCGAGCTCCCCCAGATCTGGCTCTTCCACCCAATTGCCACCTTCTTCGGCATGGACTACGGCGTGCCCTTCCCCAGCGTCTTCAAGATGGCCTACCAGATCGCAATCTTCTTCATCATGGAGGACGCATGGCACTACTGGTTCCACCGTGCCCTGCACTACGGCCCGCTCTACAAGAACATCCACAAGCTGCACCACACCTACTCCGCGCCCTTCGGCCTCGCCGCCGAGTACGCCTCCCCGATCGAGGTCATGCTCCTCGCCATCGGTACCGTCGGTTCCCCCATCCTGTGGGTCTCGCTCACCGGTGACCTCCACCTCTTCACCATGTACGTGTGGATCGTCCTGCGTCTGTTCCAGGCCATCGACGCGCACTCGGGCTACGACTTCCCCTGGAGCCTGCGACACTTCCTGCCCGTCTGGGCCGGCGCCGACCATCACGACATGCACCACGAGAAGTTCATTGGCAACTACGCCTCCAGCTTCCGCTGGTGGGACTACTGCCTGGACACCGAGGCCGGCGAGGCTGCGAGCAAGGCCCGCAGGGAGAAGAAGCTGGCTGCCATCCGTGCCAGGAAGACGCAATAAGTGCCTCACCAAGTTGGAGTCTTTATCCCGCCACGTGCGGACCATTGTCGACTTCATATAAAGGGAAATTTGGCATTTCCTCCACAGGAAAGCCACGCAGATGGACGTGTTGAGCACGTCACACGACGTACTGGAAACGAGGATCTAGAACACATCTAGAACAACGCACGACTCAGCCGAATGACTGCCTCCGTCGCGGGGCAACACATATGATCGCGAGCGTGATAGAGAGGGTGGCGTCCTCAGGAGCTTAGTTCCGCCTGTACATAGCAGTTAGCCCGCCGCCTCTCGCTCGGCACCGCTTAGAATAATACTAGTAATACAATGACCGAAGGATACACAAACGCAATCCATCAGGTAGTCTGTGATCCCCTGTCAAGTACGAGGCCGCCCCATTCTGGTTCTCAGCTCGACTTCTTCGGCGTGCAGCAGTCCCCGGACGTAGATGCGACATGGTCTGCCAGTCCCTTCAGTTGACAGCTCTGACCGTCAGACGACGACGACGGGGCCGCCGCAGGCGCGGCCTCCTCCTTGATCTCCCCGAAGCTCTGGGCGTACCCGTCGCAGAGGGCAGCCAGCTCCGTGTCCTTGGCCGACAGGCCCGGCGGGCTGTGCGTCGTCCAGCGGATGAACGTTGTGTTGTAGACCTATTACTCCCGGTCAGTTCATGATGAGTGCGGGTGTCTTTCCCCGCCTGCCTGGGAACAAGAACAGGCTTGGGATGGGTGATGCCCATTACGCACGTTCGACCATTCCGGGTGGTGGTTCTTTATCTTGCACTGCAATGACACGGCGGTCATGAAGTCCTGGAATTATGACGTTAGTTTCCCGCGAGTTGAGCAAAACAAAAGGCAGGCAGGCTCTGGTCGGGTCCGCCGTACCCATGTCTTGGCGAACGTCTTGAACTTGAAGGACCGCTCGATGCCCTGCCCATCTGCCGTGAGGTTCCACCTGCTGCTCAGGAGCCCGTCCAGCTCTTTCGTCAGGCGCGGCTCGTCCGAGCCCTCGGAGAACTTTGGCGATGCTGCCATGGCGGCTGACCTGGAGAATGATCGGGTAGGGATGGTGGGCTTCAGTTGTTGGGATGGTCGAGATACTGGCCTCAGGATTCTGAGTCCTCTCATTGTGATTTGACACTAAAGGTCTATGATAGCCTTTTGAGCCTCTTGGGGTCCTCTTGGATGTAAGAAAGTCGGAGCAGGTGAGATTGATGATGGATGTTCTGAGGCGTGCACGCAGCATTACGTAAGAACCTGGGCAACTTCATCGGCTCTGAAAGACAGGTTCACAAACTTCACAAGGGCACAATAAGTCCTGATACGTCAATATCAATTAGGAACTGGTACTCATGGTCCCCTCCGAGTCCGTAATAATTACTGTCAGTCCACAGCCTTCAAAACGTCAGCCTGAGTCTTCCACAGCCCGACTCACACCACCCTTGTGGGAACATGTCCTTGTACAAAGCTGTGCCATGCATCCCTCCTACTTCATGCTACCATGAATCCCGCTGCATGTTTAGTTGCTTGTACCCCGTAAGTCCCACAAGCCTGTGCTCTACCTGGAGCTTTGAGCCTGGTCACGTCGCCGAAGGAAGTCGCAAATGGCGAGGCCAGCTGTGAACGCGAACAGGGCCCACACGAGGCCATGGTCGGCCTCGCAACGCTTGCAGGTATTCGTTGCGAAATCGGAATACCAGGCATTCGAGAACCGCCACTTCATCCTGCTGCAGGAAGCTGGTATCTTGCTGAGATTGACTATCCAAGCGATGCCTCCGGCCAAGTAAAACAAGGCCCCAATGCTGTCTCCGACGAGAGGGACGATCATGGGAATTTTCTCCACGAAGAGAGAAGCAGCACCAACGGAAGCGATTAGGATGCCGTATATACCCAGAAAAGTGCAGTAGCGAATCGTTCCGAGTCCGAGGTTTTCCAACACAAGGATCGCCTCGGCGGGTAGGCAATAGCCCTCTTCTGAATTACAGACTTTGTCGCTAATAATGCTGGCAGACAGACCGAGGATCGCAATGGCTAGAATCATCTGGAGGTGTTAGGATACCTTGCTGAAGCATGCGGAGTCGAGCCGAGGTACCTGAAGGCCACGCAGACCCAGACTGATGGTTGATAGCATCTTGCTGGCTCTGGCAGGTCAGATGCTCGAGGGTTCGAAGACGAGCGGAGGTTCGAGGAATTCAAGCGAATGGAGACTTCGAGAAAGCGAATCGGATGGGCTTTGGGATTTTTTTTCTGGCCAAGTGGAAGCGATTATCGATTCGACGGGGCTGAGGAGATCAAATAAGGCCCGGTACTCATCGACAGGCCAGACACACAATCCGTGGCTCATACACAGGTCAGATAGGTGTTGTGCCCATGAAGATGCGAAAACTCAGAGACAAATGAGGAGGAATGGGAATGAAGGGCGAGAGAACGATAGAAGCCTTAAAAGCAAACTCAGGATGGACAGCCCGGGGCCGATGTTTCCTTCTGGCATGTTCAACCTGCCCCCTGGATGGCTCCTTCCATTAATCGAGGCAACACACATACTTTCAAGTAAGGAGTTTTTCGGTGCTCACAGGGGATGGTCCTATTAAATGTGAGGGTCCGACCATCCAGTTTGCTTGGTTACAGCCGAAGGTCCTGAGCTGGCTGGCCTGCACACACACCGACGGTCCCGGGTTCGTCTGGTCTCGTCTTCGTATGGACCTTGGTGGTGCACAGGACGGGAAGGGACAAACACAATTGAGGTGCTACCCGAACCGGAGCCATAACAGGTACATAATGGACAGACTTGAGCCTTGAGACTTGCAATACGGGTGCACTATGCACACATTGGTAAAATTGGGTAACACTGTCCAACTGGAGTTGAACGTGGGTTCCGTCAAAAACCACTCAAAATGACCGTATGGTTTGCAAATTCATTCTAATAATTTGAAGCGACCCGACCCGTAATACAAAGGGCCGAGTTGGTGGGCCAGAAAACTTCTCGGAGCCAATTCGAATATTTTACCAGCTGGTTCCCATGTGGTGACCAGCTCCACTGCTCGGAATGAAACTGGCTCAGCCAGAGCAAGTATCTTTACGGGAAGGATTTGTATCTTGATTCGAATTTGGTGTAAATAACTGGTATAATATGATCATATTTTGCTATACTTCTTATCAGCCCAATCATTACCCAGGTAGGAAGGACATATGCATATTTACCACTGTGTGTAGGTGGTTATCATCTTGTGGGACGCTCAGGTCTTGCTCTTAACTTCAGCCGAACAGAGAAAATAAGAATCCTGCATGGAGCAGACCAAGAGAGTGTACTCTTCTTGTTTACAACTACATCTGAATAACGATTCTTGAAAAGTTCGCACACAGTAGTAAAAAGCCAGGTTTTCTGCTTCTTCCAGTAAAGGTTGGGTGAATCCTGGTTGCTACTATACATTAAGCATTACCGGGTGTCTGCAGGGCTTCGTTGGCAGACTCTTTGGCAAAGAACCAAGATATTTTTTTCTTTTTTTCCAAGGTTTTTACAAACAAGGCTTGAAAATGCATTGAAATTCTCATTTTTCTGACTGTGAAGCTGGAAAGAGCCTGGTTCGAAGCCATGTTGATGTTGCCAGGGTTAGGTTTGGGCTGTCTAGGGATTTACACAGCGGGTGCTGTCCCCACACTGGAGCTGCAGCTTGTCACCCCACAATGAGCCTCACAGTGAAGACCAAACCGCCGACCCTTGGCCGCCGTGAGGACGCGCCCAGCCTTACGGTAGCGGCAGGCAGGGGAGGCAAGCTTCCAGCTCGCGCTCACCATCAACAAATACTCGGGCACCTTCCCTCCAAGCTTCAACAGGTCCCAATTCTGCCATTTATCTCTCCAAATATGTCCCAATTCCTTTCCTCTTTTCTGTCGTGATACCCTGTGAACTCTGCCGTGGACCACAACCCGTTCGCAACCCGTCGATATCGCAATGGCGCCCTCAGCGATCTACGAACCGCTCCCTGCGACGAAAGGGCCGAGGGAAGACCTCCCACCACCGACGACGTACCATGTCAAGGACCTCAAGTTCGAGAAAATCATACCGCCACAGCCAGACGGCCGCGAGAAGGCGTTACAACAGCCGGAAGGCAGCGCTGCAATTGTAATAGATAATGGTACACCACCTCATGCCTCTCCTCCGTTTGCGCGACCTGCGCCGGGGCTACACTGGCACTGACACTGACGATTGGGAACAGGGTCCTCCTCAGTCCGCGCAGGATGGAACTTCGAAGACACGCCCCGGTTTTCCATACCGCCCATCATGGCCAAATACCGCGACCGGAAGCTGGGAAAGACATTCTCTTTCGCCGGGCTGGACTGCTATTCCGACACCACCGCAAGAGGTCACATACGGAATGCGTTTGAGCAGGGCACGGGGGTGGTCAGCAACTGGGATGTCATGGAGCATGTACTTGACTACTTGTTCCTCAAGCTGGGAATGAATGGTGTCGAGGGAAACATCGACATGCCCATCGTCATGACCGAGGCGGTTGCGAATCTGCCATATTCGCGGAAGTGTGAGTCTCTGGGGCCAGGAAGTGCCCTGCAAGATACACAACACTGACGAGGAGGCAGCTATGACCGAGATTATCTTCGAATGCTACGGCGCCCCGAGCTTGACCTACGGAATCGACTCCTTGTTCTCGTACCGACACAATGGGGGCAAAACCGGCCTTGTCGTGTCGTCTTCATACAGTTCCACACACTTGATACCAGTCTACAGCCAAAAGCCGATGCTGGCTCAGGCTATCCGCCTGAATTGGGGTGGCTACCACGCTGCCGACTACCTGATGAAGCTGCTACGCCTCAAGTACGACCATTTCCCCGGGAAAATGAACCTCTCCCAGGCGGAGTTCATGGTGCGGGATCACTGTTACCTCTCAAAGGACTACGACAACGAGTTGGCGACATACCTCGACTGGACAGGTCTCGAAGACCGGGAACGAATTATACAATACCCATACACGGAGGAAGTCATCGTTCAAAAATCGGAAGAGGAGCTGGCGAAGATCGCAGAGCGCAAGAAGGAGAGTGGTCGTCGACTGCAGGCGCAAGCCGCTAAGATGCGGCTTGAGCGGTTGATGAAGAAAGAGCAGGATTTGGAGTACTACAAGGATGTCCAACGACGACTTGTCGACCAGAACAAGAAAGAGACAAAGCGTATCCTGGACGACGCCGAAGTGAAAGACGAGAACCAGCTTGCGAAGATAATCAAGGAGCTCGAGGGCTCTATCAAGCGAGCCCGACAAAAGGACCTCGGCGGAGAAGTCGAAGAAGAGCAAGTCGAGGAGCCTTCGTACCACCTGCTCGAAGTTCCCGATGATCAACTAGACGATGCAGGACTCAAAGAAAAGCGCCACCAGCGACTTCTCAAATCGAATCACGAGGCAAGAGCGCGGGCCAAGGCAGAAAAAGAGGCCGAAAAGGCTCGAGTTGCGGAGGTGGCTCGCCTGGACGAGGAGAAACGCACCAATGATTTGGAATCCTGGTTAGATGAGCGACGACAGGCACGCCTCGAGACGCTCGGGAAGATTAAAGACCGTGACCGTCTCAAGCAGGACCTAGGCAACCGCAAGTCCCTCGCCAGCCAGATGCGCATGAAGACGCTGGCCAACCTCGCCTCGGATAATCCAGCAGCCGCCACAGGCCGCAAACGCCGGCGAGGCGGAGACGACGACGACTTCGGCGCGGACGACGCGGACTGGGGCGTCTACCGCAACGTCGCAGTCGGCGCCAACAAGGGCGACAGCGACGACGAGGACGAGGAGGAGAACCTGGACGTCACCATCAAGAACCTCGAAGAGGACCTCCTCAAGTACGACCCGAACTTCACTTACGAGCACACCCTCGAAGCGCAGAATAACTGGACAAAGTCCATGCTCCACGCGTGGCGCTACGGGCCGCGGCCGGACAACGGCACCCAGGCGGAGCGGAACCAGCTGCACCTGAACGTGGAGCGCATCCGCGTGCCGGAGGTTGTCTTCCAGCCGGGGGCCATCGCGGGCGTCGACCAGGCCGGCATCGTCGAGATCGCGGGGGACATCCTGACGCAACGACTAACGGCCATCCCGGGCATCGACAGGAACGACTTCCTCAAGGACATCTTCCTCACGGGCGGCGCGACGCTCTTCGAGAACTTTGACGAGCGGCTGAGGGGCGGCCTGCAGGCGCTGCTGCCGGCCGAGTCGACCATACGAGTCAGGAGGGCCAAGGATGCCGTGCTCGACGCATGGAAGGGCGCGGCGGGCTGGGCCGGCACCGACGAGTGGAAGAGGGCGAGGGTCACGAGGGAGGAGTACCTCGAGAAGGGGCCGGAGTGGTTCAAGGTAAGCAAAGATTCCTCACGACTTATCGTACGTGATCAAATGGCGGTGTGGCTTACGTTCGCTGTACAGGATCATGACCTCGGTAATGCATTCTCTTAGTAGACCGCCCGCGTGACGCTCGGTGGCGAGAAAGGCTGAAGGAGACGCCGGGAGACAACAGTGTGCTTTAAGAATTTGCTGATAGCTTAGGGGGAGGATCGAACGACGGAGAGATGCAGGCTCAATGGGATAGAAGTGCTAGACAATAGGGCCGTGGCCTGTTCATTGTCGGGTATGTGTGTTGGTTAAGAGGAAAAAAGGAAAGGAAAAGCGGCGCATAGAAATTAATGGAGAAAGAGAAGACGAACATTTGAAGCCCTACTACGGTCGACACTGTGTGGCCGTCTCCTGAAGGCGTCCGTCCGCTTCTCGCATTTCCCTCGGCCATGGTCTCTTGATTGTATTTTCATGACCAATGTTCGCCGCCTCGTAGATTCATTGCCATCCCAGCCCCGCCTGCTAAGTCGCCCTTCCCCCTCCTTGCGGCAACGGTTTCTCGCTGCCATCGTAGACAAGGCCAACACAAAGCCACCAACCGCCCAGAAGAGAAAATCAACCCAACGGGCGAGGGCGAATTCTCTTGGTCGCAAATATGGCCAGGATGCCTGCGCTTCGGTAACTTTCTGATGTTGAGACGCAGACAGGCAAGGCTGCGCGCCCGCCAGCCACTTCGAACCCGAGGAGTTCAACGAGACAGCAACCGTTCCCGTCTCTGGGGTGTCTTATCGGGGGCTCTCGTATCTCTTTCTTGACCTCGCCAATCTTTCCACGTGCAGCCAGAATGTGTCATCAGAGCCGCGAACGAAAGCGGAGTTCATTACTCATTCTGACGCTTTTGTATGTGGTGAGATCACATGAGGGGCCTGTTTGGGGCAAACGTGATGGTGAAGAGGATGTGGCACCCCCAGGCGCGTGATCTTTGCCCTTGCCAGCATTTTGCGTCAGGAACTCTTTTGGTCCTGGGACAGCTGCGTTCTTGAATCTGAGGGGCGGACATGCTGCTCATCACTAAGCCCGTGGAGACAACGCTTTGTGGTGGGTGGTGGTATGGTTAAGCAGCCACCTTGGTAGACTGTCCGCCAATGGCCAGCACCTATAGGTGCCAAAATTGCAGCGTCCCAACCCTTGGGAAGACCCATGTCCATCTGTGGTCGGAGCACATTTTCCATGCAGGATTGCGAGTGCCCCTACGGCACACGAGATCGATATACTTAACAAATACAATTTCTGCTATGCTACCAGCAGACTGAAGCCAGACCCCTCACCCGCTCTCAAACTGTTATCAACGAATAAGAGAGCTGCATCTTCTTCCGTAAATCGTGCTTTCCCCCGTTCAAAAAGTCAAGAAGTTTGTCGATACCCTTCTTACCTCACATCTGAACACCGTAAACACCACAAGCCCTTGTAAAGAAAAAAGAATGGGCATGCTTCTAAGACCATGTTGGTAGCCCTCGCCCCCACCCCCAATGAGAGAGTTTCATGGCGCAAAGGGCAGGTAGAGACCGTCGACTCTTGCCTGCCTGTTGGCCTGCTGATACTCTCCACGCAACTCCGGATTGATAACGTAGCCGCTGGCGTTAATCATGCCCTACATGTTAGCCGCCGGAACTGCTTCCGCTTGCTGCAGTTGTCTCGATATTTCCTCTGCCGTGCGTGCGTCCTCCGCAGCCTGCGACTCAGCCGCTGTCGGCTCGGTCTTGTAAGATGCCGCCTCGGACCGGCTCAGGCTCTGGACTGCTTGCGCAACGGCGTCTAGTGTCGATGCTCCGGTAGCGGCCCCGGTGTTGGGCGTAGGATCAGTCATAGGGGCATCCTCTTGTGCAGGCACAGGTGCCGGTTGTTCAGGAAGGCCATGACTTGGGGGCACAGAGAGATTGACGTTCGGGGGGCGGCTGAGGAGGTTCGACTTGGGCATCCAGGAGTCGAGACTGCAGGTGAACAATGTACTCCCTCAGTGCATAGTTCTCTGATTCAATGTTTTTGTAATGTTGCTCCAGTTCACCAAACTCGCGAACCTGTTGCTCCAACTTCTTGATATAACCTTCCTTGCGTTGACGGAATGCTCGCTATGAAAACCGGGTTAGCAAATCCAAGTCCACGTGCCCGGTACGAATGGACATATAAATTGATGTAGCATCGGCGGCACGACTCTCGCGCATCTACTCGCTGGCGCATGGAGCAGTGTGAGTCTTACCTGGGCAGCCCTATTTTGGGCAGCGCGCTTTGATTGCGACAGCTCCCGCTTGGCCTTCCGTCCGTCTGCATTTGGGTCTTCGGCATCAAGTGGAGCGGACGAGTTTGGCGGCATGGGAACCGCGCTGGGATGCTCGGGGGGAGGTTGAGCACCGCTTGGCATCATATTTGGCGTGGGAACGTAGCCAGGACTCCTCAGTGTCGGGTGGATGGACAATTCAGGGTCGAGGACCGGAGCAGCTGTGGTTGGGGTTGTCGCGTCGCTGAAACCATGCGACAGCGGCTGAGTAACCGACGAGACCGGCGCCGGCTGAGGCCGCGGGACCAGCTTTGGATGTGAATTGGCGGCAGCGACCGATGACCTTGCGGCGTTACCGTTGCTGCTCGAAGGCGACGATCCGCCCTGGCTGTCCACGTGTCTCTGCTATTGCACCTATGTCAGCGCCATGGCAGCAGCGTCTCAGGGGGCAATTGTCTATATGAAGAGAGCGGGCTGCTTAGTCCAGCGTCTCCCGTGCTCATAGTGACTCAGTCTAGTCATCCTGAACAGTGACTGCTAGATTCTGTTGGTGCGGAGCGCACGAGGCAGTGAGAGCAGGAGGCGTCTTAGAAGGACTGCGCATTGATCAGATGTCCCGGTGTGGGGGGGGGGGGAGGTTCGTCAAGCACAGGTACGGGGTCGGTTATTACCGTTTCAGGAAAACGGTCGGACGCTTGTCGCCTGGCCTAACCGCAAAGAAGTGCAGCACACAAGGGAGTGAAGGGGGACTCAGTAGCAGCTGAGGTAATATGGGAGAGGGGGGATGTTGAAGTGGTGATGAGGTAAGCCGGGATGGTGTTGACGGAGACGGGGCTCGTTTTGGCGAGTACATTCAACAGGCAAGGCGAGAGAGAGATGAGGCTGACTCTGATGCAAGCTGGAGCGTAGCAGTAGCAGCGAGAGATCGGTTCGGATCTGATCTGCAGTAGAGCCCGGTCCAGATATAATGTCGGGACGACAACTGGGGCAGTATGGTGAAGGACGGGCTGTGATTACTTATTGTCGGTGTTGGCGGAGAAGGAAGACGCGGTGGGATAGTACCGTCAAGGTACCCTGACGATTCGTCGCGTAGGAACGGTGGAAGGGTGGATGACAATTATGTAAGAAGTGCTGGTTGGATAGGTATAAGTGGACTGAGTCCTCTTGAGTCGCTCGGACGCGATCTGCTCACACAGCAATCTTGATCTCTCCGTTTCTCTTTCGAGCAGCGAGTGAGTGGGAGACAGACTGCACCAGCAGCAGAAGCAACAGCAGCATGTCCAGGGCCCACTTGACACCATGAACATGAGGGCACAGAGAATGGCATGACCTGGGCAGACCCCAGCTGGCGGAGCTGAGGAAACCGAGCAAGTGCCAGTGGAGTGCGAGGTAGGTCGGCTTGCTCGGTGGTGGGTGCACTGGGCTAGGCCAGGAGCAAATAGGCGTTGGTCCCCGTCTCGAGGCAGGCAACAACTTAGACCGCAGACAGTAGGCTGCACAGGACGAAACGGGACAGTGCCGAAAGGAGATGGGTGAGATGAGGAGGTGAGGAGGCGGATACATGAATACATGAAGGGTACTCACCAGGTTTGTTGTTGGCAGCCTGCATCTTGCGCAGCGCTGGACTTGCTGCCAAAGTCGAGATGCAGTCTTGTGCTTCGCTCAGCTGGCAGGCTCACTCTGACTCAGCAGCAGCAGCAAGCAGACAGACAAAACCGGGGCCAGGATCGGGACCAAGGAGTCAGGAGTCAGGACTCAGGACCAGGACTGGGATCAGGACCAGGACCAAACCGACAAGAGCCCTGAGAAGTCAAATAAATACTGTACCTGTCGGCGACGATACCGACTGGGGCAGCTTGGGCCAGGGAGTCCGAGAGGGTGCGAGCAGTGTGATGACTAAATGAAATGCAAGTGTCCAAGAAGGCGTTGTCTGGGGGGAGGGATGATGGTATTGCCGATAGGGCCGAAGACTGGGGCCAAGTGAACGGCGACTGATTGAGGTGATAGATGCACAAGATGAGTCTGCTTTCTCGCCTGGGTGCTGCGAGTGGATTTCGAAGAGCTGACAGTGCTGGCAGTAGCAGTAGCAGTGGCAGTAGCAGAAGCAGTTTGGCAGTCGTCGTGGTGGTGACAGGCGACTGGCTCAATGGTCATTGGGGCCGCTTCAAGTACGACCAAGAATTGACGCGTGGTCTCCCTCGCTCGCTCGAGACGGGCGCGTGGCGCAAGACAGACTGATGATTCAAGCAGGTGTTAGCCAATGTTAGCCAGTGCCATGCTGCAGTGTGCTCTGCGAGCCTGCACAGGAGCGCACCGTGCCGGAGGGCGACGACGGCTGGGATTGGGTGAGTGGTGATGATGACTGATGACTGATTGACAGCCGCAGGCCACTGGGCAACTCACCTCCGAAGGACGACAGCTGGATGTCACTTTGGCACGGCACCCTGAGTCTTGACACTTTGACTGGATGTGCCAGTCCTTGCAAGGCTGCTAAGTCAGCGGAAGGGTCGGGAGTGGTGTTTATGTAAGATGGATTTCCGGTGGGAAGAGGGGGGGGAGCGCAAAATGGAGTTTTTAAACGACGGCCACAGACGCCAAGGTGGCCGGCCGCTGGAGAGGTGGGGAAGGTCGATTACGTAATTGACACCCGTTTGTTCGTTTGTTCGGCAGCGCCATTCCCCTTCCGTCTCCGTCTCGGTCTTACTACCTCAGTTTCCCTTCAGTCACAATCCTCCCTTTCATGCCTCAGCTTTCAGCCTTCAGCCTTCCACCCGTAGCCGCCTGGTTCTTCCCTCTGACTGGACGTGCAAGGCAGCGAGGTATCTGAATAGGCAGGTGACTCCAAGTCTGCTTAGCGACTCACTGCAAGACCAGACCACGGAGGGCTTAATTTCAAATGTAGAAGTAGGCAGTGATTGATCGATCACCTCCTGCAACCGGCGGCATCCCCGTCACCGTCGAGATCCTCGGCCGTAAAGTAGCGTATACCGTCTACTGTGCCCCGTACCCACCTTTGATGTTTGTCAGCAAACACATTTGACGCGGCGGGGCGGGGTGGCGGCTGCTGGGGTCGTACAAAGCCCGATCATACTTTCCTCTGGTGACTAGCAGATAGTTTGCCATGCCCTGTGGTCCTTTTGCTGTAAAATTCCCCGACTTGGTAGATACATGACTAGACACAGTCTACAATATTGCCCTCGCTTTGCTGCCTTTAGTAATCACTGCCAGTCTCTTCACTCAGGCGACCATGAAGACGGTAATCAGCCATTTTGCCCCGTCCAATCCTCTCTGCTTGGTCTTTGCGCGATGCTGTCTGAAGGCGCCTGCTCGTAGCCGACAAGGAGGCTAATGTGATACCGTACACGACACCCGAATCCTTTAGAGATCCGCCCTAGTCTCCTGGTCGGGTGTCACAATCCTCCGAAGCACCCGGACATGGCTTGCTTACCGTATGCAGCTCCTGCCGTCGTACCGTAAATCCCTCGGTTGGGACCCTCCCCCCCCTTCTCGCCCCGAGAAGTGTGCAACTACATGCTGGCATCAATGAAGAAGGCGAATCAGCTGGGCCAGTCCACCGTCGAAAACTGTCAGAAAACGGAAAATGCTTGCGCAGGAGCTGCACACCACCATGTAATGAGCCCTATCTCCGACAGGCCAGCCACGCGGTGTCGCTTCTGGGCTTCTCTTTGTGGCCGCGCCGGCCACACAAAGTGGCTGGCTGTTTCATGATGACAAATTTCTCAGCAATTCTCAAATGGGATCATGGAAATTCCCATATCCACCCGGACCGATTTGTGCCAATTCAATGCCGTGCCTGGCCGTTCTCGTTAACTCCGAGCACTCCTGCTGATGCGCATTCTTGGCTATCTACATGTAGGTACGCTCTGCTGGCCGGCGGCTTTTGACCCTCCAGCCTGGCGCACACCAGCCGCTGGCAAACACCCTCTTGCTTTACTTGTCTGCGTACCAATGATGCCTTGCCTGATCATCATGGGGATCCTGCGTTGTAGTCCCCGCTAAGTCTCGAGATTGGCCGTCTTGACAGTTGTCACTGCCCCAGAGTGTCGATGCTCGATGAGGAGCTGACCATCTTCCAATAAAATGGATTCGGGGCATTTGGCTTGGCTGTGTGATTGCTTTGCAGTTGATATATAGGAACAACGCTCCCGTTTTCCGCAAGTGGAAATAATCAGCACAGATGCTGACGCCCACCTCTCAGGTGACGGACCAAGCCATTCAGGATCTACGATCCATAGCAACCACGTACCATTGCTAACCTATGCGATTAATGTGCATCCGCTCCCTGTCCCAATTCCCGATCCATGCTTGAGGCCTGCATATCTAAGGTCCTTGCAGATAAATCCAATATTGCGCTGCGAGGATGAGGAACGAGGAACGGACAGAACTCCTTGGCTAATGAGCACACGATGGTTAATAAATCCAACGGATCTGAGCAAAATCACCGACCAATTTGTTTATCCCGAAAGGAAAAAGAAGATGATATATGTATAATTTCAATGGCTATTCTACTCGTTTGCAAGGCCAAGGCGATCGATCTCCAGCGGCTTCCAAGCACATTCGGGGTTTGGCTGCCCCTCAGCAAGACGACTCATTGAGCAGCCTCGCTCGTATCTGCTTACGCTTCCCTTCATTCACCGGTGATTGATCCATAGAATTGACATCTGACTGCATGTTGACGTATCATTGCGGAGAAGAAGGTCCCCGGCACGCTGCCCGGAGTTGGGTCATGTTTGATGAGGTTGGTGTACTTGCCACGCATTTCACCGTGTTATCTTCACCTCAGTGATCTGAGATAGCCATGAAACCTGAGTAAAGAGGTAGCGGAAATAGTCATGGGGTCCTTGGTTGGTTTGGATTACTTCACATAAAAAGAAATGGAGTACCATTGTGGATCAATCCCGACAGAAGTTGCGCGTTTGTCAGACGGCGAAAAGGTATGCAACGTTGATTTCCGCTCACGAGGAATTCCTCTCTTACAGGTTTAACGATCCATGCCATTTATAAATCAGTCAGTGCATGAATTTTAAAATATTGTGCTTATTGATCAGGTTGATTTTGTGCGGCGGATGTTTTGAACGTACACGTGTGTGACTGCCTACGTGAGTGATTCCACAAAAAAAAAACACATCTTCCAGCCACGTCGCTAACCTCCCCTCGTATTCCATAAGTCCCATGGGGTTGTTCTCATGGACATGATTAATCACCCTCATGTAGTGATGACGAAGAGCAACGCCGAGAATCTCCGGAGGTGAGATCTTCCGTTTGGGGATAGCGCTCAGCGCCACATGGCCGTGGCCCCAGAAGTCTCATGCATAAGTCCCTCTCCAATTCGTTCACAGATACAGTTTTATTGGCCTGGGATTTGGGCCTACATGGATTCGTTTTAGGAAATCATATTGCTGACATGCTGCTACTTGTACCTCAACGAAAGTCCACCGCAGCGGTCGACGCGGCGGCCATGGTAAGATTCTGAGATTGATCATCATCATATAAGTCACCCGCACGGCCTCGCAGAAAAGATTGGCCACCCGGCCGTTCCGGCAAAAGAATTTAGAACTTAAGCCAACTTCGTGTTCACCGGGCGATCATTAGGGCGTTGTTCAGGCGGAGATCTCAGCACAGTCAGGGGAGGTTTGAACACGACCCCAGCCCAGGGGTAGGAGATGGACTTGAATTTGAAATTGGTGGAGTCTACTGAGCCCATGCTCAAGAATTCCTCCCCTGAATCCACGCTGAAAGATAGTAAAATCGAATGACTTCCGAACAGACTTCACTTCATAATCATCCAGTAATGAAGAAGGACTCACTGAGGATGAATCCCAAGCGAAGCTGCTACCGAGAACTTCTATCACCAAAAGATAGTCCGAAAAGCAGTTTCAGTCTGATTTTGCTGAGGGCGAGAGCATCAGTCGAAGGACATCGGAAATGGAATACATATGCTTCACAAATGCCATGTCCTGCAGAATTCGACCGACGACTATGATATGTCTCATGCTACGAATGGGATCCTTTTGCTTCAGAAGGTTGAAGGTATTTACATGTCGGACTTTTCCCATCTTAGAATTCAGTAATAAGCATGAAATTGGACTGGAGTCACGTATCTACATGCACAGCACCGCCGGTCTCGCGCGGCTGTTTTGGTCACACAACCCCTTACGTACTAACCACAGAGCATTTGCAAGCTGACATCGCCATTATTCGTTCCATTCAGAGGCCATAGAATTAATTCTAACCATCTGGTACAATCACGCAAAGTTTCGCAGGAAGGATGTGCTTATCGTGAGGATACCCGCTTACGGAACACCTTATTAAGACGTTCAAAGTCCCAAGTGCTCACACATTCAACCAGCATAAACGTCTTGCATGCAAGATAGCCTGCCAGCATAATGATGTCCATCGCTTGTGCCCTTGGACTCAATGACAAGTTACAATTCAGGCAATATCTCCATTCAATTTAGCGCCACGAGATATTGATGTGTTGGTTACACACATCTTCCGTCGCAGTTGGTGTCGCATGTGGGGCTCCTTTCTTTAAATAGGACTCTGCCTCCTTCAATAACATATTGGGCTAACTTCCGGATTGGCCTGGGTTATTGCCCCAGAGAGCCTGAAGATATTTCTTGCATGCTCCAAGCGCGTAACTTTCATATAGTCCCGCAGGTGCTTGCTATCCCAGCATCGTTATAAAAGCACTACCTCCTCGCACTGCGGCGAGTTACTCACAATGTGGCCTCAGTCTTTCCCTGATCGAGACAAAGGGAATCCAGTAGAGTGTAATCACGAACCTGTACAAGGACACCGAGCAACCCCCCAACGCAATTTGAATCTAGTGTGGGACCAAACTTCGATTCAAACAGAGTCATAACTGTGTTGTAATGGTTCAGTGCTGGTTTGATTGCAGCAAGTCAATCGCTCATATGGTCTTGGAGCAGTGCCTGCAAAGCTTCCGAAGAGTGCAAGGTGTGCATCTTGGGGAGGTCGCTGGGCTCCAGCGCCCTGGAGCGTTTAGATTTCTCCATGGTGGCATGCCAGTGACTGGCAAGGAATTGTCTGCTGTACATGCGTACCAGAGTGGGCTTGGATCAGGACTCAGGCCAAAAAGGGAAAAAGGAAATGGTTACTCATAGGGTCTCCGTGTTCATCTTGAGTCTTAGTGACGGACTAGCTCAACTATGTTCAGAGGGAGAGTCGGTGTCAAAAGTCAATATGAGAAGGAAGAAAAGCAATTTTCTTCCGATCTAACAGCTAGTGGGGATGGGAAAGAAGCTTGAAATCAACGGCGTGGGAATTCTCTTCATGTGAAAGTACACTGGTCTTGTTTGGACGGCCGTTTGATGTCTGTTTCTTGAGAAGGCCTCGTAATCTGATGAAGCCCAATGTGTGACTAGATATAAACCACCCAGAAATGTTCACCGATCCATGCTGTGTGACGTAGATTGGCTAGATCACACATTAACCAGTCGAGCACATTCCACAATGGGAATCTGGCAATTGCACAGAGTGGCACATCAAGTTACAGCAAGCAACTGCCACCAGAAAGCTGCTACTGTGGAAGTACAAGTACTCTCTTCAGGGCTGTATCACTGACACACGGTCTTGAAAGGAGATAGAAAAAGTACGAAGGGAGACGCGTCCTCACCGGTGAACATTACTCACTCGGGTACCGAAGGTACCTACTGGTCATCGCACAGGTCACTTTCAACTACAAGTCATTTCAGACAGTGAAACAACCAACAAAATCAGCAGCGCGGCGGTCAACATTCCCGGCCAAAGCCCACTTCAGAGGTCCGATTTTATCTTCATCATTCGTGTGATTCTCTAGCTTTTGGCCACAAACGCCTCCTGTTGAAGTATATAGGTACCGAAATTGCACGGCAATTGCAGCGTCGCTTTTGTTCAACAGTTATGAGCCGGTTCGCTGGCCTAGCGGTACAAAACCCTGGGATCCCTCACACTCGCAACCACGCTAGCCTTATATTCTTCCACTTTAGCAATACCAATCTACAAAAAGGTTCTGAGTTCGACCCTTGTGCGTAAAAACTTACGTCTTGGGGCACATTTCGGCCAGTTGGATTCTGCCCAAAAGGGTGGGAGGGGGTTGTGTTGAAGTATATAGATAGGTACCGCAATTGCACGGCAATTGCGGCGTCGCTTTTGTTCAACACCTCCTCCATCACCTTGAGCAATAGAAGAGCCAGAATGTCGAATCAAGGCGCCCCTACCCATCAGCTGGCCATCCGAGAAGCCTTTGATCGCCTGACAGATCGGCAAAGGTTCTATGCTCACCATCTAGCCCAATCTGCTTGGTATGGCCGCCAGGATTATTATGCGTCAAGTCTCGCCGGAGTCAAACCGCATTTTCGACCTTATCATTGAGCTTTATCGGTCATGCTCTGGCCAGTGGGCCATCTTTGTTGATGAGGGATCTGTGTCAGAGGAAGAGCTCTCGGCCTGTCTTGACTACGCTGCCCTTTTTCTGAGCAATCTAGGAAATTATTTTGTAAGTAAAAGAGTATGACAACAGTGACGTCAGAAGGTTGAGTTATTGACGCAATGGAGGCGGATGGGGGTAGCAAAATCCTTCCAAGGGTCTCTGCAGAAACTCTCTAGGCTGGTCAAATCTCAACCAAAAGCTGCAGCCATACTCGACGAGCTTGCTGGATCCATCACTTCGACAGCACCCTCCAGTTCCGGGTTGCCCAGCAAGACTGCCCAAGCGAACTACTACCCGGGAAGCACGCCGGTGACTCGAGATGATGTCACCTTGGTCTCACAGACATTGAAAGTATACGGCATCGAGCTGGAGAATACTCGGGTCCAGAAGACAGTAGAAAGGGGAAGGTGTACGTTACAAGTCCTGCAAGCATCCACCATCGTTGGAGTCATCCAAGAGTGGGAAAATCTGGACAGGCATGGAACAACCGTCCGTGTCGAAGGTGGTGACCACGCTGGAGAGTTGTCAAAGACCTGTGTCTCGCTTCTAACAGCAAAAGAATACTCCGAAAATAACATACAGGCTAGGACAATTGTCACAAAATATAGGTTAGCCAGTGTACTACACACTGGCAGCTGCTTTTGCGCGTCACAGTTATGAGCCCGGTAATTTAGTGGTTTAATCCACACTCACCTAAGTTTGTGATAATATACTAACTAGCCTTATATTTACGCCCTATACATACTTTATTAAGCAAAAGATGCTAAAATACTATAAGTTAAGCGCAAGATAGCGCTAAGTTTAATCCCATACTGGATTATTTGCCTAACGGGCTTTTTTAGTCCGTAAAGGAACGTGCTCTTCACTCCTAAGCCTCTTTACGAACTGGGGGGTGTGTCACAAAATATAGGTTAGCCAGTGTACTGCACACTGGCAGCTGCTTTTGCGCGTCACAACAGTTGACAAGTACGTGGATAGCTTCAGGTCTGGAAGTCTTTTGGCATACCGAGACTCACAGAAACTTTGGGTCACGGATAAGTACCAGCTGTCGAGACGTTCATCGGTTGTGGAGCCCTACAGAGACCCCCACGCGTCCGAGGCGAGTGGCAGGGCATTGTCTGCATATCAGACCCAATTAAGAGCTCGCAACTGAAGCAACTGAAGCAATTGATGGAAAAGTCAGACACCTTTATACATCTTTTTCCTTGGCCTGTCCCTGAGTCGAATGATCATGAAAATTTGGTACCCGTCAAGGTTGAAAACAAGTTAGTCCATCAAGGTTGAAGTTATCTCAACCTAGGACGATACCGTTAAGGGACGATGGTAAAGATCCGTCGCCTCATAACTCAGGAGGCCTATACGAACACAAATTCTCAACAAGGACAAACATTTTAATGCTGCTATGCTAACCTTTTGAATCCCTAGCCATTTAAGTTCTGAAAAAGTCCATATGTATCTTGGGGCCAGTGTTTATGTACGTATATAAACTCAACACTGCCCTAGATTGTGGACTGATACATTCTAGCCTCCGTCCAAAGTCCCTCGTATCGTTCATGTACGTGCATCTCCCACGCGGATCACAGCTAGTCATTAATAGCCAATATATGATATGAGGGATGGTCATACAGTGCGTGTTATCCTGCGACTTTGTGATTGTAATTCTGTCTTTGCATAGCCACCAGTATAAGTCGAACAGATCAATGCATATCCTGTCTGTCGGAACAGTCTCAAGCTGATAAGATGATAATGTTACACCGATTCCGATGCAGTGAAATTCCTCGGGGTTGTGGGGCGAGGGGCGCCCGATGGCATCGAACTGCTCGAGCCTGAAAACGACATCTGTAGGCTCGATGTCGCTTTGCGACAACACGATACGCCATGGCGACATGAATTGGTCGCCGGGATACATCCTGCTCGGGTCGAACTGAGCATTGATAGCAACGTCGTTAGTTCCCTCCCGAACTCAATTGGTCTTTCGGACGCACAGAGATCGATGACTTCGAAAAAAAGCTTGGCCCTATCGCAGGTGTAGTCCGGGACGAGAGGGGGTGTTTTGTCCCTACTGGCAAGTAAAGCCTGGTAATCAGTTGCCACCGACAATAAGGCGAGAACTCGATCTCTTGAGTCCCAACAGTACCACTTCTTGTATTGTAGAAGAAGGCCTTCAAGGTTGGACTCCACTGCTTTGGAAGGAGCCCCAGCGTGATCTCGGGTCAACCGTCTGGCGAACAACATGCCCGCAGCAGTCTGACGGAGAGCCAGCCACAACAGACCTATAGCTTCTGCGGCAACCATGGGTTCAAAATTGTTGCTGTCGAACTCGAGTGCCTCACTTGGTACGAAAGATGCATGTCCTTGTGATTCGAACCCGAGGTGCCGCGATTGAGGAAAATTGGGGTCAACCATCACTTCAGGACGCCAGCTTTCATGACCTGGAAGGCGAGAAAAGGGCAGGAGAAAATAATATGAGGTGTTATAGCTGTAAAGTCGGAAAGGCCTTTCCAATGAAGTAGAATCTGCGTCTCTAATCCAGGTTCCCAAAAATTCATGACCCAAGCCGGGAAGGCCCGTCCATGGATCTGATGGTTTGAAACCGGGATCAAAGTCTGCACAGTGCCTGGGCTTGTGGTCTTTCATGTGCAGCAGCCATTCGGAGCACAGAGCAGCAAAAACTCTCCAACCAACATCTCGAGAGCCGCAGATTATCCTGATGTCCTTGGCTAGGAAGACTTCCTGGAGGATCCAGACGCGTTGCCAGTAGGGCCTAGTATAAAGCTTGAGAAGAGGCTTCCCGACTCGCTGCCTGTACACTTCTCTGACAATATTGTTGCGCTGCTCGTCCATGGTCCGACCACTTCCCTCAATTTCAAGCAACAAGTCCATGGCTTGGTCGCTGTTATCCGCAGCCTCGCCCAGCCAGACCTGGACATCGCGGGCTGATCTGTAGATATCTCCCATCATGGCCACCTGGTGACCCTTTTCAACGGGGTTCTCCTGGTCGATGCATATTGCATCTATCCATATGACACAGGTTGATTTGTCGTGTCGGATTCTTCGGAGAAAGTTGTGAAGATTGGGCCGGACCATGAACAACTGGCCGTCGAGTTCGATCTCTTGTCGCGGTTCCTCCAGACCCCAAGTGTAGGAGAGCGCGGTGTATGGCGGTGCTCTGTCGACTGGGTGGACTTCAGTGACACACCGAATCTGCATGCTGCCGAATCCCGGCAACAAGTTGAGGATGCGAATCAAGGCTTGCCCCTGGGACATAGGGAGGTACTTGTAGGCAGGTTGACGATCTGGCTCTAAGGCCATCATGGATATCTTGCACTGATGGTAACGCTCTGGGCAGGGTTCATATAGATTCTGTTATGTTCAGTCTGGATTGTGTTGACCTAGCATGAGCTTTTTGATCGCAGAACAACATGAATTTAAGTATTACATATGGTGCGGCGATATACTTGGTGTCAGCAAGAGAGAGCACTCAGGCACTACTGGAGTGCATCGGGCGCCAGGCAAGCATGTCAGATTAGGCCACTCTGCAGAAGGCATGCATGGTGGTATCTCTTAATATGAGGTTTGCCAGCGTGGGATTCGTTCATCCCCTCAGCCTGCTGCCAGGTAGCCCACCTTCTGATACTTATTGCCTTAATCATCTGTATTGTTCATATGATTCGTGGGTTCATTAGGTGGCCAAAATGCTGGCTTGCTCACCGTGACATGCAGCTCTTGTCATTGTCCAACGTCGGCTGCATCTGGGACACAATGATCTCGACCTTGGAATGAATGAATTTCATCACATGCAAGTAGGTCAACACAAAATTGAAGTAGTATTGGTTGAGAGTACAGCTGGGGAATCACAACATACATTGATCGGGGTGAGAACAGGCCAGGTTCTCGCCTTTCGCACCGGTGAGGCTCTACTTCGCCATTGATGTGCTAGGCCCTTTTTCTTTTTTGAATCCATGCCAAGAAATTGTTGAAGGATGGAAGGCTTGATCCGTTAATGGATTAAGCATTTGCTTTTTCCATAGTTTTAAGCCCTTGGTTTGTTTATATAGCGTGATTAACTGCTATATTCCCTTAAATTATGCTAATTTAAGAAAGGTCTTTTAAATTAAGTCCCTTATACTCAAGTTTATAAAGATTTTAAGTTTAAAGGCTAAAAAGTTTATAAATTTAAAAATTGCTTATTATATAAATATATTAATATAAGTATATTTAAGGTATATAATCTAAGTAAAGCATTTCATAAGTATTAGGGCTACTTTGGCATCCACTTTACTTAGTGGGATCCACCTAGCAAACTGGGGTGTGTGTTAAAGGATATAAGGCTTGATCCGCTGATGGATTAAGCGTTCGCTTTTTCCACAGAAATCTCAAGTGGAACTGCAAGCCTGCATGAGGGGAGCTCGATGCTCTTCACAGTTACACGCGGCGGAATCTTCTCCCGAGGTCTCATTTGGAGCATTACAAAGTCCTGCTCGGGTATCACAGCATGAATGAGTTGGTCAAGACTTGCTATCATGGAGTCAAAAATGCATTCCACTCATGCCCCTCCATTGGGGTGCAGATCGTTGTTCAGCCACGGTGCAGGTAGTTGCACTACAGAAGAATATCAGCAAGCAAAGACAATCAAGTTTTGCCACCTAGTAATTTCTGCTTGGACTGACTCTGAAATCCATGAGCTCATTCATTCACTTTTACGTTGTTTTCTTCAAGATCCTACCAAAACCTTGCAATGGTCCTGGACACCAGTGTTGCCTATCTGGTAAGTGTTGAACAAAAGCGACGCCGCTAATGCGGCACAATTACACATACCTATACTTCCACAGTAAGAGATACGGTACTATCCTTGACACCGTGAAGGCATTCGATACCGACTTCCCAGTGGCACATGTACCAGGAGTACAAAGAATAAACCTGCGCTTGGACGTGAAGAATGTCCAGGCCCATGAAATCATGCTAGACTCGACTCGCTGGGATGTAGATATCCACAGACTCTGCGTAGTTTATGCAGACCTTACCTTGACCCTCAGGTCGTGTGGTCCCCAAAAAGCAGATGCAAACGGAACATGGGAATCAGATTGAGCGTATTCTCGAGCATGCGTTCCCTCAGTACTCCCGGATTTAATCCTACGACTTAACTGTGAGATTGTTCTCCGACGTGCCGTGGGATCTTGGTACTCGTTATTTCGTCCAACATTCAGCTGCGGAGTAGAGATGCCGACTTTCCTAAGAATCCAGGTGTCTACGTGGATAGCCACGAGCAGCCTGCAACCATGCCCCCATGCTGATGTCTCCCGCGGTGGAGCAGAGACTGGACTCAGCCATGTTTTCCCAGCGCGGAAAGGATTACGATATTATCAAGTGAGTAATGGCCCCTCTTGGTACCTGTCCCCTGGGTTGAGTTTCATAAATTACTGCTGATTTCTTGAAGTGTATGGAGGCTGTTAGAGGCACCAAATGATGATTGACCTCTAGCAATCTGTTACTGGACGACCGTTGATCAGGAGAACAACATCCTACTCAGCGATAGGATCAGACGGGACAGAGTGGATGAGACTTCAATATTGCATCACAACGCGAACCACAAATGGTATTACATCAAGGATCAGACACTGGAAGACCTCTTGGTCTTTCGGAACACGGATTCGCTCGGACATCGTGCACGTGAGTTCAATATCTGCCCTCTCCACTTGAACGCTGAGTACCTAACACGACTAGGCGGGTTCCACTGTGCTGTCTTTAATCCACAGGCATCAGGGCCTCCCCGGCAAAGTGTTGAAGTTAGGCTGGTGGCTTTCAGACATCTCAAGTAACGTATTGACGCCTAAAATATTGAATGTAAGATACTGGGGGAAGAGAGAGGTTCTCTCAGATGTCAGAGCGAAGTTGACTAGCTACGACTTCAAGTCTCTGCAAACCTTTGGCCTAAGGATGATTGAGGAAGCAACTTGGTATGCAAGGCTCACACGTAGTGAAGGCGCTTAGAATAAGACTTAGGACCTTGGACCTCAGGGAAACCCTCTTCACAACCCTTAAATACACATACACAGAATTAATTTCCCTCAGCTTCTCTCCACAGAGCCAGATTTAAGTACGTTCTTCTCCAAGCCTTACCTTTCAGAAGTGCCGTTCAACAGACTGCCGCCGCCGTACAATTTGATGAGGATGGATCTGGTGGCCCAGTTTAGGGAGATCTCAGTTGACTAACAATCCGCTGTACCCGGACCGACCTCATAGAAAGAGAATCTGAAGATGAACAGACCATTCGCAATCCCCAACGGAAGCGCAATGGATGGGAGTCTGTCAGATGGCCATATCTTGAGTCCCTCAGAGTAGCCAGTCATTTGGATTATGGCATAACATCGCATCTTTTCACTCGCTGACCGTCGCAAGGGGCTGTTCCCGAGGGCTCGGACTAACACGCGTGAGGTAGCAGTTCAAAGGTATCCTCGCCCACAGCGCGTAGCTCCTTTGCCTTTCGATCCATCTATGGCTGTCTTCGGCAAGTCGCAGGTCGAAGTTGTAGATGAGGCGTGCTAGAATTATTCTCATCTCGACATAGGCCAAGCTGAGCGGTTGCGTTTTTGTTAGTGGCCACATAATCCACGAGAATAAAGCAGGACGAAGGGATTACATGGGTGAGATACGTACTTGCGTCCGATGCAATTTCTTGGGCCAACACTGAAGGTACCTTATGTCAGCACCTTACCGAGGAATTTTACGAGCGAGCGTAGCGAGCGATCGCAGCGAATTGTCACCACTCACCTAAAGGCTTGCAGGGCTTCCAGCTTATTCCCTGGTATTTCCTCCAGGAACCTCTCTGGCTTGAATGCCCACGGATCGTCCCAGTTCTCCGCGCTGTGGTTCATTGACCAGTGTTGGCACTCGACCATTGTCTTCCGAATCGTTAGCAGGTGCTAGATCATTGTGGTAATCCAGTGTAAGGAGGAAAGGCAGTCAGGCCAAGACTTCTGCTTACACCCTCGGGGACCCAATGATCTGTGATCATATCACCACCAGGGGGCACGACCCGCACCAGACTAGATGTCACCGGCGGATACAGCCTGAGTGCCTCGTTGAGGACTCCGAGCATATACGACAGCTTGTTGACGGAGCTTGCCGTGATCTCGCTCTCGCTCGCAAATGCCGACCGGACCTCATGCTTCAGCTTCTCCATCTTGTCCGGGTTTGTAAGCAACAGGTAGGTGCAGCCCGAGAGCAGCGTCGCTGTGGTCTCGCTACCAGCAAGCACGAGGATCTCAGCGTTGGCCGAGAGCTGCTCAAAAGACATTTTCTGGTGCACAAAACGGAGTAGCCGTCAGCGGGGTTCTCTTCTGGTCCGCACAGTGACAGCCGAGCAACAGAGATAATTACTTACCCATTCAGCTTGTTTCTTAACAATCCCCTCAAACAGATCATTCCTCTCCTGGGTCAAATTAAGCCTCGAGACAACCATTGCGTGCGTGTACTTGTGTAGCTGTTTTATGCTCTTGCTCCCAACAAAGCGGAAGAACAGCTGGACAAAAGCATTCAACCCCACGTATATCATGCCCGACATGGTGGCGCCGTACTTGATGCTCGCCAGCATGGAGTGGACCCAGGGGTTGTACCGGAACTGGTCGAGGCAGCCGAACGAGAGACCAAAGACCAGATCGCCGACGACGTCAAAGGTCGTCCAGTTGTACCAAGCCTCAATGTTTAGCGGCTTCCCCTCTTTGCAGCGGTCCTTCAGCCCAATCATCAACTTGTCGACGTACTCCATGATCAGCGGCTCCTGCGACCGGATGGAGGCGTCGCTGAAGCCGTGGCTCAGCGCCCTTCTCAGGCGCTGGTGCTCCTCCTTGTCCGAGTTGACGATCGTGGAGGGGAGGGCATCAATCGGGGACGAGGTGACGCGCGACTTGGACATCTCCAGCCGGTGGTTGCCATCTTTCTCGCCCCCGGTGCGGTGGCCATAGATGTCCTTCCACGCCCTAGGGTCGGTGAAGGAGAGGTGGTTCGGCCCGATGCGCACCACGGGCCCATACTTCTCGTGCTGCCGATGCGTGTAGAACGCCTGCACCCCGACGGACTGGCGGAGAGCCCACGGCCATGGCGTTGCTCGGGACAGCAGAGGCCCCGGGATGGCGCGCAGCGGGTGGAAGAAGAGGTTGTAGATGATGAGGCCCAGTTGATGGGTCAGGATCTGCATGTGCTTTGCTCAGCCTGGTTACACAGAATATCTACTTTGTCTACCAACGGGAATCTTGGATATGCTGAGGGTGGTCAGATCTCACCGCGCCAAGGATCACAACGACAACTGTCCCTGCACCGACGGGGGACCCTGCATCCACGATACTGTTTAGGATAGCCATGCTGTCGTCTGTATCCTCCCTGGGTCGGTTTGAAGATGATATTCAGGACACTGATCTTGAATTTGTAGGTCATGAGGGTGGCAAGGAACGGGTTCAAAAGGATGTCCGACGACCTCCAACGTCAAGGATCTTGTGCGGGGCATCTTGACGAGAAAGCAACAGACACACTGCAGAATGAAACGCTGCGTCAAAGATCGGCCGCAGCGGAAACGTGCCTCCCGACGAGCTTAAAACATAATACTTTACCTCTGCTCTAATTTTAACAGCCTGCCACATATATTAAGTTAAACCTATCAACTACTCTTCACGCAATCTCATCAATCCCGGACAGAGTTGTAAATATTGACTTAGAATCATGGGGTCGGGGCCCAGAACAGGAGAACAAAAAGCACATTATACGCTCCCGCACTGGAGGTTTGGCGAGGTTGCATTTCAATGCAGACTGCCCCCATGCTGTCATCGATTGGTCCAAACCTGACGCACGATCACGCCCCATGTTGCCGTTACGCGGAGGCAGCTGAAAGGGTAGCGGCCGTTGGGCTGCTTCTGTCAGCCCTAGCATGGCAGGACAGTTGCCTCACTTGGACTGCGCCCGCCGATCTCCGGTGGCCTCCCTCTTGGAAAAGCTCCCCAGTTTGTTCCTCGCGACTTCGTATGAACATTCCGAAAGCACAAGCGAGCTCGACCGTAACCCTTGGCATGGTGATGTGGAGGATGTCATACAGCCACCCGGCTCCTCGTGGTTGTGTGACTATTCCTGGGCGCTCTTGTCGTTGAAACTCCGTATTCGCAATCATGGATCCCTTGTCAATCATAAGCCTCACAGGCAACATCGCCCAGTTTATCTCCCTCGGCTACGGGATAGTGTCGACATCCCGGGAGATATACCACTCGGGAACCGGCACAAGCGAGAAGATCCAAACCTGCACGCTGCTGGTGGAGGACATGAGGCGGTCGATAAGGACCATATCCAAGCACCCCGTGCTGGCGGAGCCGCCGGGCGAGGACACCAAGATCCTGCACGCGATCGTCGACGAGTGCGACAGGCTGGCCGCGAAGCTCCTGGCGGAGCTCGACACCCTGCGCGTGAACCGCAAGGCCGTCTCGCGGCACATCGAGGCCCTGCGGGTGTCCGGGACGATGTGGTGGAAGAAGAAGGACATTGACGATGTCCTGTCGAGGCTCGCCATGCTGGAGGCGCGCCTGAGGGCCTGGTGGGACGTTGCCTTGCCGCTGTGAGGCCCTCATTATGTGTGCCTGATACCTACGTATGCCCCCTGCTGACCACCGTGCAGGCCGAAAGAGGAAGACCTCTCAAATCAGCTCCAAGAAATTAGAGCTGGATTGTCTGTAGACCAAATCATGGAGAAGCGGCGTGGGAATGATGCGAGGGAAGCAGCCAGGCGTCCTTCCTTGATTCAGTCGGACCTCAACCTGCTTAGGGACACGGCAGAGAAACTCAACACGCCTGAGCGTCTGCTAAGTGTGGAACGCAGAGTACAGAGTTCCCACAGCGCCTTGAGGGAGGATGAAAAGCTGGTAGAGCCACAGGCTCTCGACGCAGAGGCTCAAAAGAAGGTCATGGAGGAGGCGGCGGCAAGCCTGGAAGCCTATGCCAGGCAGGCAGAACGCGTGAGGAGGCAGCATCGTGTCCTGAAGACACTGGTATTCCAAAGCCTCTGGACGCGGCACGAAAGAATAGAGGATGCGTACGTGGAGACTCTGCAATGGGTTTGGGACAGCCCGATCACGAAGTTTGGCAACTGGCTTGAGAAGGGCGAGGGTGTCTATTGGATCGAGGGCCTGGTGAGAACAAGCTCCACGATCCCCGTTCGCGCTCGTCAACAGTGCCACTAACTCAGAAGTCCACACGCAGGCTGGGAGTGGCAAGTCGACCATGATGAAGTACATATCATCACACCCATCAACAACTATCTACCTGAGGAGGTGGGCCAGTGCCATGAAGTTCAAGATGGGTTGGGACCCCAAGGAGGAGCCCGAGCTGCTCGTCGCGAGCCATTACTTCTGGTATGCCGGGACCGAGATGCAGAAGTCCCACAGGGGTCTCCTGCAGACGCTCCTCTTCCACGTCCTACGGACGTCCCTCGAGGTGCAGAGCGCCATCTGCCCGGACCGCCTGTCCAGCCAGCCCTGGAGCCTGCGCGAGCTCAAGGACATCATCCACGAGCTCAAGAGGGCGGACCTGCGCTGCTGCGTGTGCTTCTTCATCGACGGGCTGGACGAGTACCTGGGCGACGAGGAGGAGATCATCGAGGTGGTCAAGGACCTCGCCGCCTGCCCCTGGATCAAGGTGTGCGCGTCGAGCCGCCCGTGGCCGGCCTTCTTTGCCGAGTGGAACTCGAGCCCGCTCACGTTCAAGATGCAGGAGTACACCAAGAGGGACATGGCCAGGTTCGTCCACGGGTCCGCAAGGTGTAGGTCCACGGCCGACGGGACGGGGGCTGAAGTCGTGGGTGGTTTCTATCTTTGGCATGTCAGAAGCATAGGACGTTTGCAGCTAGACCCCATCGCACAGGGGGACTAAACGGTGAGAAACTGGGACCTGCTGCATTAGAAACTCTCAGATGTGTCACCCACACCTGCTCATGTCGCCACACATGTGCCCCGGCCGGCTGTATGAGAGCCAGGGCGTCAACCAACTCCGTCACATCCACTGGGATCTGTAGTATGATGGGGTGGGAAGTCCGCAGCCATCAATGTAATTAGGTTAAGTAGATGGGGTTCTCCAGCTTATCAAGGGAGAGGAAGGGGGAAGGCACGAGGTAGAGCCACTAGTAAATATCTATAATAAGCAGCCTATTTAATAATTGTGTAGTAAGTAGAGACAGTACCTTCTAAATAGAGGCCGCCGATTGGGGAGCAACTTTCTTCGAAAACCAAGACTTTCAGTAACCAGCGTCAGGCTTCACAGACACAGAACTGGCGACTTGTCGAGCTCACAAGCCTCTACTAGTAGGAAGGAGTTACCAAAGAGTGACCTGGTTGCGAAGTCCAGGAAAACCAGCCGGTGTGCTACGCTGACCAGGGGCAGCTGATGACGCGAGGTTTCCGAAAGCCAGAGCGGCTGCATGTTGCCCGCGGCTGGATGAGTACAGAATGGCGTGATGCTCGAATGGCCATCACGCCGGTCAGCTTATACGACATGTATGTAATCAGGAAGATGCTCCTCACCGATTAATGAGGGCGCACAAACGGAAAGTCTTGGAAATGGAGTGTAAAGAACTCCCTTGGTGACTGTTTTCATGCGCATATGCTTTCATGTGACGGCTACTGGGATTGATACCTTGCTTCCCTTCGAGCAGCATTTCAGTTGGTAATAGATTAGCCTCGGATTATCAAATGGTTCGATACAGGCCTGAGTAAAAATGGGAGATCCCTGCTTAATAACCAGATATCTAGGAATCAAGATCTGAGTAATGTCACAAGAAGCTTAAGTTAGCCGCCCCTTCCTCCCTGCTCCATTTCGTCTGCCTCCAATGTTGATTACTTCACCTCGAAGGTCTATGGATTATTCAGCAATTAAAGCCCTGCGTATACGCAGACCTGGTAGTATGAGAACTTCGTCAATACTGCGTCTAATTTTGTAGTGTTATCTGTTCCCCCCCCCCCCCCTCTTGCTTCACAGTTGATGGCACGTGGGACACAATTCCGTCGGGTCTCGAGGCGGACATGTCACCACAATGAAACATTTCAGCACCGGCCTAAATTTGAGAGTTCCTATTTGATACGGGCAGTCGTTGGTAAGGTTGGATATTTCACTCGTATTCGTCCGGATGAGCATAGATACGTCACACGACCAAAACGGTGAGGAAACGCTCGAACAAGTACCGGCACACGGAATCAGTATTTGTCTAGGCTCGTGGGGCCTACACCGTGCTCCACCAAGTCTGCCCCCTCCTACTAAGACTTGAACAGCTTGCCTCCTTTCCACACATGAGTCACGTTGCTTGAATCCGTGAGCACTTCGATATCGTCGAGGGGGTTCTTGGAAACCGCAATGAAATCAGCATCAAAGCCCTCCTTCAGCTGTCCTGCCTTGGGACCCTGCCGGCCGAGGGTCTCGGGCGGCGTGGCAGTGGCAGCCTCGATGGCCTGCAACGGCGTCATGCCAGCGACCTTCATCCAGTGCAACTCCTTCGCGTTGCGGCCGTGGGCAAGGGGGCTCTGCCGGTCGCTGCTGTAGGTGTCTGTGCCGAGCGCGATACGGACTCCTTCAGCGACAGCGAACTTGAAGCTGTCCCTGCTGAGTTGGGCTATCCGGTGGAGCTTTTTCAGGATCACCGGCGGGAGGTCCTCAGACCCCGCGGCGAGGCTTTCGACGATGTGGCGGGTGGGCACCAGGATGGCCCCCTTCTCCTTCATGAGGTCCGCGACCTCCTTGTCCAGGTACATTCCGTGCTCAATGCTCTTCACCCCGGCGTGCAGGGCGTTGATGATCCCGGGCTTCCCGATCGCGTGGGACGCCACCACCCTGCCGCTCCTCGCTGCCTCCTGCACGATTGCCTCGAGCTCCGCGGGCGAGAACTGCGTGTCCTCGGGCTGGTCGTTGATGCTCAGGACACCGCCGCTGCTGCAGATCTTGATGACCTTTGCGCCGTTCCGAACAACTGACCTCGTCATCTTGACGCACTCGTCCACGCCGTCGCACAGAGCGATTCCGTTGCTGCCGTCGTTCTCGCCTCTGACCAACCCCAGGGGGCAGTCGTGTTGGTCGCCATGGCCGCCAGTGATACTAAGTGCGCACAGAGAAGAGTAAACGGTAGGTCCCACGATGGCGCCTTTGTCGATGACAGGTTGGAGGTAGCCTGCCATTCCGCCCAGCTCCCGAACAGATGTAAACCCGGCCATAAGAGTGGACCGGAGGTCGTCCACAGTTACGGCACCAACTTGGAACTGAGTGCCTGGCATGAAGGGCTTGACTGAATCCTCTAATCCGCTCACGACGTTGGCTCCCCCGAAATGCGTGTGGACATCCCACAGACCAGGCATTAGCGCGCCGGAGTGCTTCGTGAAGGATACCTGGCTGTACTTGGAGGGGAGATCGGCGTGGGCTCCGACCCAGATGATAACCCCTTCTGAGACTGAGACTACGATCCCGCCATTGGAAATGGGTTCGCCGCGCCCGGGGATCAGGACGTCAGCACGAACACCGAATAGGTCTTTTGAGTCTGGACCTCCGCCCATGGTGTTGTCGGCGTCGTTGATCGGTGTCTCTTGCCCAGTCGGTCTGTAGGGTATTCTCATGTTGGGAGGCAGTTCTATCGCACTATGAAGGGCCGAAAAAGATAGTACGAGGAGAACTTGAATGTGTAAGAGACCGTAGGATGAGGTACGCAATATCTTTTATGTACGCGTATCAGTGCATATACAAGTGTGATCACTGCATCATTACGGGTAAACCTTCACTCCGCACACTGAATTGGCGTGTGTGATAGGCTTAGGCGCCCACTACCGTGTTGACCTTCCAAAGGCGGGTAAGTTCTGATCCTCACATCCTCCGCCGGCAGACAGGCCGAGAACGGCACCGAGGAGTAGGGCCTCTCAAGATTGTCCCAGCCGCTGCACGTACTTGGCCTGTCTTTATACACCAAATTTCTTCATGTATTTGCATGATTGATACCGTGCAATTGACCATGAGAAAGAATATGAAGGAGGAGAAAGAAACGAATCCTTACCATCTCCGTTGTATACCACTCCCCGTCTGTGAAGAATGCTGGAGTCTGAGTTAACGCATGCTTATCCTTCTAATGAAGCAGAGGCAAACACTTGCGCTCGTACCCCTTCATTTTTACCGGGGCTTACAGGTATATCCCTTACTTGGGAGTGAACACAGGCCTCTGCAGATCAATTTGAGCTATTCCCCATTGAAATGCATAATGCAGTAGTCAGCACTCCTGCATGCGCACAGTATTCCTCGGTAAGCTTAGCCAATATGCAGGTAAACAGGCGGGGCCAACACATCACCTCCGCAACGAGAACTTCTCCAGCTGCATCAAAGGAACCGGAGCCAATGCAGCAAGCGGTTTTCATGTGCGGTCGCCCACTATGGAAGCCCTTGCAGCGATCAGATTGGCCAGCAATGTGGCAGAATTTGTTGAATGTGCAGTTCAATTCACCAAGCTCGCCCACAAATTTGCCTCGAGCGATAGTGGGCCCATCGGCGAGCATGAAGGCATCGTTGCCATCACAAATAGTATGGCCGAGGCAATGAAGGAGATCAACCAGGACAACACAGACGCAGCACTGAACAGTCTTGCAAGCCAATGCCTGACTGTCGCCGCCAATGTGCAGAACATCGTCAACGAGCTGTCGAAGAAACCAGAAGATAGCTTCATCAGCAGCCTTCACAACTTGAAGGCTGGGAGGACGGTATACAAGCAAAAGGAGATCCAGGAGCTATCGGACTTGCTCTCGAACACGGGTGCTCAAGTCTCTCACCACTTGTTAAAGTTGATACGGTCAGTTCCTGCTTCATGGCGGCAGATGGGTTGGCGCTGACTTCGGATGCAATGAAAAGCGCGCAGCAGCTTTCAATTGGGAAAGCACTGGATACCTTGGTGTCACCAAACGAGGATTACCGCGAGCGTTTTACGAATTCCTTGGAGTTGACTGTTAATATTCTCGATGGAGTCTCCCAGAAACTTGACAGCAGACAAAAAAAGCCAGGTCCAGGTCATAAAGGCCCGTCAGATATTAGCATTTCTTTGACACCATCAGGTCTGGGAGCCGCGGCCCGAGACCACATTACTCCGTATATTATGGATGTAGAGAAGCTCATCAGTGAGAAACGACAGTCGATATTACGGAGCCTGTACTATGAGCAACTGAGGGAGAGAGAGTTCGCCATCACGGATGCTCATACGAAAACGTTTCAGTGGGTGTTTGGCGACAACACAACCTTCAAATTCCGTGAGTGGCTCCGGGAACAGAACGGGGTCTACTGGATCACCGGCAAGGCAGGATCGGGGAAGTCGACCTTGATGAAGTTCATTATCGAGCAGTATGCTACGAGCATAGCTTTGCGTGAGTGGGCAGGCGGCGATGATCTGATCATCGCAAAGCACTTTTTCTGGAGCCCGGGAACGGCGATTCAGAAATCCCAGGAAGGCTTGTTCCGGGATCTACTATTCCAGGTTCTCAGCCAACGCCCAGAAATAATCGACAAGGTCTGCGCAGAAAGACTCCATACCTCTTACGCCGAGGGCTTTGGTCCTTGGAATCGCCGTCAGCTTTTGCGGGCGCTGGACAATATCGGAGCGATAAAGAATCCCAAATTCAAGGCTTGTCTTTTCATAGATGGTCTTGACGAGTACCAAGGAGATCATGCGGAACTTGTGCAAGTAATCCAGAGAATCGCCAGCCACCACCATCTGAAGATATGCGCCTCGAGCAGACCTTGGCTGGGCTTCATGGACGCTTTCGACAGCTCTCCGTGGAAGCTGTACGTGCATGACCTGACACAACAGGATATGTACCATTTTGTCAGAGACACTCTTTGCGAGGACTCCCGGTTCAAAAGGCTTCAGTCAAGCTACAGATCCGCGACTAACGTCCCCGGCCCAGATTCGGCCCACCCCCTGATTCGGCCCGGCCCACATGCGCATACGCGCATGCACGCATCTAAACCCACCCTATAAACACTCCTTAATATCTTTACAAGGGATTTTCTTTAATTACTAAACTTTTCCTTAATATTAATTTAGTTATTATAAAGATATATTTTAAAGATAATATAGTAAATGCCATTATTATTATTATTAAGGGTATGGGAAAATAAAAGGCTTTTAAAACTTAATATATACCTTATATAATACTTTAAAAATATCTTTTTAATATATAAAGTTATTATAATGCCGCCCTTTCTTAAAGACTTTTTTTTAATTATTAAGAAAATTAATTAATTATATTCTTAATTAATTAAAGTGCTTTAAGGTTAACATTAACTTAATATAAAATAAAGGCTTTGATAGTGTGGTTATGGACGTGCCATAGGGGGACAGCAGCACTGGGCACGATAGGCACTATGGGCAATTGGCACTAGAGCACCGGCAGGCAAGGGTCACGTGCGGCAGCACGTGACCACCCCTAGATAGTCTATAACCAGAAGGAGGTTCTGCAGCCTATGGCCGCAACCCTCCTTCCTTCTATATAGCCAATTTAAATACAACCAGTCTGCTATTAACCAACGTACATTAACCCAACCAACAGGTAGCTTAATTAACCTTTTTAAATAAAAATTATGCTTTTTTTAAAAGGAAATAGCTTAAAGCCTTTTTCTTTTATTATATTATACTTTAAAATTAAAAGAATTAATATATAAAGGTTATTAATTTTTAATTAATAATTAAAAAGAATATTAAGTTATAATTTGCCTTTTTTAAATTACTTATTATAAAGGAAATTAAATTAAAGAATTATTAAAATATTAATAAGAGAGGGTTAATAAAGGGTTGCTTTAAGAATGCCTTAATAATTAGCTATTTAAATAATAACCCTTTTTTGCAAAAAAACTTTAATTTAAAAGCATAAACCTTTTTTATAAAGTATATCTTTATTATTAATAAGTTTCTTATACCTTTTATTATTTTTAAGGGACTTAATATATAATAATAATGATTTCTTATTATTTTTAAGAATTATAATAGCTAATAATTTATAATAATAAAAAAAAGGTAAATAAAAAAGAAAATAATAATTAAATAGCTTAAAAGAGTATTTATTCTTTAAATTACCCTTATAAACCCTTTTAATTAATATTTATTAATTATAAATAAGTATTATATATATATAATTATTGTGATGGGCTTGGGCTATTGCCCAAGCCTTATATAGTGTAGCTAGATAATCCAAGGGAGCTTAGATTATTACATACCTTTTGGCTTAATTAAAAGGTTGCTGCTTTGCAGCTTATGGAAGAAGGCGCTAGCCAGCCTATAGCCCCCCTAAGGCTAGCCCATAATAAATAATCTAAGCTTTAGGGTTAAGGGTTTAAGTTATGTTTGCTGTAAGTAAATATAGGTACCCTTTTCATGAAGAAGAACCTTGGCTTAAAAGGCGATATTGTGAGTAAGCCTTAGGGGTAATTATACCACTATATTAAGGGGGTCCTAAGGGAAGGGGCTATATAATGGGCTTAGGCTATTGCTCAAGCCTTATATAGTGTAGCTAAATAATCCAAGGGAGCTTGAATTATTACGTATCTTTTGGCCTAGTTAAAAAGTTACTGCTTTGCAGCTTATAAAAAAAGGCGCTAGCCAGCCTATAGCCCCCCTGGGGCCAGCTCATAACAATTATTAACTTTATATAAAAGTGCTTTTTATATTAAATATATATAATCTTTTTACTTATATATACTTTTTATAACGTGGTTTATTAAGTAATGGTTAATATTAAATAATAATTAATTTTTTTAATTTTAATTAAGTTTCATTAACCTTAATACTTGCCTAGTGTAAAAGAATTAATTAAATTTAATATTAATTAATGTTAATTGCTTTTAATTGCTTATTTTTAATTAATGTTATGGGCTGGCCCCAAAGGGGCTGCAGGCTGGCTAGCGCCTTTTCCCATAAGCTGTAAAGCAGTAACCAATTAAGCCAAAAGGTACGTAATAATCTAAGCTCCCTTAGATTACCTAGCCAGCCATTATAAAGCTTGGGCTTCTAGCCCAAGCCCATTACATAGCCCCCTTCCCTAACTACTAGTAGCGCACAATTACCCCTAAGGCTTACCCATAATATTGCCTTTTCAAGCCAAGGTTCTTCTTTATAAAAAGGGTATTTATATATTGCGGTAAATATAACTTAAACATTTAACCCTAAAGCTTAAATTATTTATTATGAGCTAACCCTAAAGGGGTTGCAAGCTAGCTAGCATCTTCTCCCATAAGCTGCAAAGCAGCAATTAATTAAGCTAAAAGGTACATAATAATCCAAGCTCCCTTGGATTACCTAGCCAGCCATTATAAGGCTTGGGCTTCCAGCCCAAGCTTATTACAATTAATTTTATTAATTTAAAGGGGTTAGCATGGTTATAATATTAATTTAAATAGGCTAACTTTTAATGAAAAATATATACTTTGCATTAAATAATATTAACTTTACCATTAAAAACATAATTTACTATAAATTATAAAAATAAATATATTTATATTAATTAATATTAATTAAGCTAGATTTGCTATAATATAATTAAAATTTAATTAATTAAATCCTTTTTTATCTTTTTTATAAGTTCTTATATTATGCTTAGTTTTATTATAATTGCTATATTATCTTTTAATTAATTTATCATAAATTAACTCCTTAGCGCTACTACTTATTTTATTAATTGATTGCTTCCCTTTTTATTTCTTTTAAATAAAAGCTTAAAATTTCTTAATAATAAGTATTTCTTTAAGCTGCATTTAAGTTCTTTTAGCCCTTTAATGTTTTATAAATGCTATATTAGCCTTTTTAAAAGTATAAACTTAATCCTTTAAGATAATAAGCTTATACGCTATTATTTATGCATTTTTCGCTATTTAGTTAATAGTATTTATAATTAATATAGGGGAGTTTTTTTAATAGGTGAAAATCTTGCCCTTAATAAAACTTAATTATTAAATAATTTATTAAGTATTTAATAAAGTTTAAAACTTTTATTTTTATAAAGAAATAAAAAGGGATTATATTAATGTTTATAAGTGGATATTAAGCTTAGAAATTATAAAGTTAGAGTTTTAAGGAGAAATTTTAGCTTTTTTAAATATAAACTTAATGTTATTTTTTATAAAAATCTTATTATAGGCTACCTTAAATATAAGAAAGAATTTGAATTTAATAATATAGTTAATAAAGGCTTAAATGAAAAGATTAATTTCGTTATTATTTATATGCTTTAAAGGTAAATATAATGTAATATTTAATGGCTAAAGTAAGTAAAATAAATATAGCAATATGCTAATAATAATAATTTTATTATCTTTATAATATTAATTAAACTTAATTAATATATAATAAAAACAAGCTACCCAAACAATAAGGGATAGATTTTATTAAACCCTTTTAAGGATAACTTAAGGAGGAGCTTTAATATAATAAAAAGGAAAGATAGGAATAAAAAAAAATTAAAAAAAGGGAAAAGATAAATATTTTAAAAATTCTTAAAAATAAGAAAAGCTTAATTAAAGTACTAAATATATAAGAAAAGAAAAGAGTTAATTTCTTAAAAGAATATTTAAAATAAATATAAAAGCTAGCTTTTTATAATTAATTAAAATTTAGTATAATATTATTTTTATATAATTCCTTATATCTATTAATATACTCTTTTTTAAGTACTTTATAATAAGTATTATAAAAACTGCTAAAATAAAACTTTACTATCTTTAATTAAGCCTTTAGGTTTTAAAATTTACTTTATTATAATTTTAATTATTATTACTATTTTTAATTCTTTGCTTACTTATCTTATTATAACTTTTATACTTTTATAAAAGCTTTAAATATTCTTAAGATTTATTTAGTAGTATATTTATTAATTATATCCTTTTAGCCATTAAAATTTATTTTAATAATTAGTATTAATATAATTATTAAAAATTTAAATACTTTTATAAAATAAAAAATAAATTTATTTTTCCTTTTAATTATTATATTAAGCATAGTATATTAATTTTGCTAATTTTTGCTTTTGCTTTTTATAAAGCTTTTATTTTTACTTTTACTTTTTATAATACTTTTGCTTTTAATATTTATGTCTTGCATTTAATTATTTAGTTAACTTATTTATAAGCCTTTTAAATTATTTTTAAGCAAACTTTATTATTATTTTAATTATTTTAAATTAATTAATATGCTTTAAATTTTATTTATATTTATTATTAAGATAAATAAGTAAAAAAGATTTTTATATATGCTAAGGTAAGCATTCTTTATTAACTTTAAAATATTTTATAATATAATGCTTAAATTAAAGGCTTATTTAATTAAAGTTATACTTAATTAATTTTAAGTTATTTAAAAGTTTATACTTTATTATATATTAAATATTTAAAATTAAGTTATTAAATTAATTTATATTAAAAATATTATTTTCCTTATACCCTTTTTATAATTAGCAGTAATCTTAATATATTATAATTTAAATAATTATTATTAAATAATATTCCTTTATAATAAAAGCTTACTTTTTACTTTAATTATTCTTATGCTATTAATTTTAATAAAGGGAATTAATATAAGCATTTAAATAGCTTTATTAATTTTATTAAGCTTTAATTAAATAATAAATATTTAAGTAATAATGCTAATAATAGCTTTAAGCATTTTATAATATATAGTTTTAATTAAAAAAGCCTTAACTTAATTCCATACTTTTTAATTATTCTTTCTTTAATTTTCTTTAAAGTAGTTTTTTAATAAACTTAATAATATACTATTTATAAAATACTTTATTAATTTATCTTAATCTTAATATAAATTCCTTATTAAAATCTTATATTTTATTTTTTAAAATAGCTATTAAATATTTATAAATAAGCACTTTAGCATTCTTATTTATCTTACT